ACGCATGTGCGACCCCTGGTGTTTCAGGCTACGGAAACTGTTTACCATCAGATGTGCCGTAAGATTGTTTGCCACCATCATACTGTAAAAAAATGAAGTAATTGCAAACAAACAGCGACAGCCCACCTGTTGGAATATATATACGAACAGTTCTACGGATATCACTTTAACATATAGGGTCGGCAATAAGCACGTGACACCCCTGGTGTTTCAGGCGTCCATAGGCTACGATAAACATTTACCATCCGATAGGCCGTACACTTGTTTAGTACCACCATAGTAGTATAAAAAAAACATGTGATACCCGTGATACCACTCATTGCCATCCCAGAGAACTTAGATATCATGCTACTTATAGTGTAATTTCTTTGCCTAATCTGTACCCCACAACCGCAAATTTTAAAGTCAGTTGCCTGGCAGCTGAAAATTTGTAAGTGAGTTAACTCCATGCAGATGATTTTTACAGTCGAACTCTAGTAAACCAATGAAAAACGTTGCAAAACGAGGAATATGTGACGCAGACGAAATTGCGATTGTCATCTAGTCTTTATCGTTTTAAATTACAGTCGATTTGTCAAAATTAGATTTTTCTTAGAGCCAATAACTTAAATTGTTATTTAAACAAAACTAAAACATTTTCAGCACGAAATTATGAACTCCTCGGTAAATGGAAGTAACTTGTAAGCACTTAGATATTTTGGCAAATCCAATTCGTACTCGTATAATATAAGTAGGTCAATAATTTGTGTTTTTAAACAATTTGTACACATACACGTACACACAATTTGTACCCGTATATAGGTAAGCCTAATGGCGTACCAACACGGATCACAGATCTCATCTGTTTAGGAAACCATCCTCATGCGATTTACCTACATGCATCAACAAGCTCTACCAAAATTAATTATTTATCACTAATTAGCAGTTTTGTATCGGACCAAGCAGTCGGCAGATCAGAGCGCCTCGTCGTGCCGGAAACAGGAAAAGGGCAATCAACATTCCTAAAAATATCACACATTTGGTGTTCATCCGGCAAGCGACGCGACGCGGAGCGTCATACTGACGCTTGCGGCGTATACCAGTATTACGAATATAAACCCGCTATAAACTAATTTGAGGCCTGCCTTAATTATCCTCAATCCTAGGGAGTCTAAAGACATTACTTTAAATGGACAGTTATATTATTCCTAGCAACCCATCCCCCGGGGTCTGCACGGGTGCATATTACAATTTTCCTGATTTCTGTACTAGGAATGTATTATACATAAAAAAAAACTTCCTTTTTAATCTTTCTATATCTTTATCTCTTGCTGAAAAGTGCATTAGCATCTAAGAGATCTAAGGGTCCAAGACAGCAGGTGCTACTTTTTATACTATGTAAAGGTATTTATTTACCAGAAGTAAACTCTACAAAGTCGTTATTTTGTTATCATGGGCACCTGTCTTACCTATACCAACAACCCAGCAGCTTGTTTTATAAGAAATGTTTCCGTTAAAATATGCAAGAAAGTGGTAAAATTCCAAGGTACGGAAGTACGTCATGTATGATGCCACGTGGCATTGCATGATAATGTTGTATCGGAGATAAATTCGTGTATTATATATATATTTGCGTTATATAGCTGACGGTAACCGCGTACCATCAATAATCTATCAAGAGAACCGAGCATATTGTTTTATATAAAACGCGGTTTATATAAAACAAGTTCTATTATATTTCGACCATTAAAAAATAAGGATGTGTGTTATAAATGGCATTGTAACATCATACAGTCAGTTTCGAATTAGCCTAGCAGCATGAGTAGCAAATGCTGTGTCCTGGCAATAAGGAGGCCCGCGCACTCACAACTTTCTGAACATAATATACATGAATAAAATAATCATTAAGTTTTTTATTTGTCAAATTCTAAATAAAGTATTATTACAATAATAATAATAATCTCAGGACAATTCACACAGCGCCATCTAGACCCAAGTTAAGCTAGCTAAAGCTTGTATTGGGGGTTACTAGATAACTGATACAAATACGTAAATACATACATATTATACATAGAAAATATCCAGACCAATACAAACAATCATACTAATGAATACAAATGTTTGAGCCGTGCGAGGAATCGAAGCCGCGATCATCGGAAGTAAGGCGGTGTACGAAACCGCTAGACCTCCGAGGCCGTAATCGTCGTGTTATAAGATTTGTTACACTTAAGCGAAAGTTGTTTTTTTTAAGTTAAAATTAAGAACCGATACCAAACCATGAATCTTTTAAAAGAAATACCTATAGGCCCCGCCCTGACTTAAACCGACATACATACCGCCGAGACATATACTGCGAACATTTATTAAACATAACCTAGCGTCTCAAGTTTCTTATATACTACGATGGTGGCAAACAAGCACACGGCCCATCTGATGGCAAGCGGTTACCGTCTCATATGTACGCCTGAAACATCAGGGGTGTCACGTGCGCGTTGCAAAAGTGATCTAGAGTTTAAATCTGCATTTTTAATGTTGCGTTTACCACAATATAAACCGTTAACAATACCTTTATCCACCCCATCTGGGATAACAGTTGTGGCAGTATATATGTTTGTCTATTTTTTTATTAATATATATCAGGAGTTAAACGATGGTTCATGTGAAGGTTGACCTAACAGACTATAAACCAATAATGATTAGCAATGGATGGCCATGTTTACTAGTCATTACTCATAATCCCCTATTATATATAGTACGCTATTAATGAACACTCGGTAAAGTTTTCGTAACTAATACCTACTCTAACATGTTAACACACAAATTAGGCAGCTTATCGCGCTATTACAATATGTAATAGCTGTTAACCGATAACATCGACCTTACCTATCGACAAAAAACGTTCAATATACTTATAATTTTATCGAAATGTCATCGTAATTATTATTTATTGTTGGCCATCGCCACTGATATTACGATTCCCGACAAGTGCGTCTAGTACACTACACCGGCACATAATTAGATAATTTCTATTATTTATATGCGGAGTGGGTTGTGTGCTTCGCATCAAAACGACGTGGCTTCCTTCGACTGTGCCCTACGTAGAAATACAACTATGAGTTCCCGCTAAAGAGGATGTAGGCATCGGCAGCAATGATTTAATTTACAAAAAGTTCCCGTCGTGACGCTTTCCTGCAGGTGACGCCAGCATATAGCTCCCGTTTCCTCGATGCTATGAGGACGTCCATAGCGTTAGCGTACTAATGAGATACGTTATGTACTTACTCGTTATTTATCTTCGTGAATTTAATGATCACGAATCCATACACGTGGACACTATGGATCTAGCATATAAATAAACATAGGCAGGTAAAAACATAGATTGTATTGATATATCTATGTAATTTATATATCAATGTTGATTTTAATATCGACTTTACTAAATTGTATTTCGGCGCTAGGCTGGACCATTTAAAATATTAATTTTGATTATGAATTTTCCGTTCGATTTCCAATTGCAACAATGATGTCATAGGTCTCAAAAATGACATTATTTGTTCCAAACTAGAGTTGAGAGCAATTGAGTTATAGAGACGCATTGGTCAATTTTCATTTGCAACCTAACCTAAATCTAATGTAGATTCTCGTGATATCGAGATCTTGTATTACCTTTCGGTTGTGACTGGTTGTGAATGCCCAGGATCTATCTGATCAAATACATTTCTTTTACAATTCGACATATATACATTTATTTGAAATGACCAGCTGACTAGCCACTTTATGTGGTACATGGTCTAACAAATATATGAATACTGGACATAGAAACTGGTCACTTCTAATGCTAAGCTTTATATACACTACAGCTCTTGAGGAAAATCCTATATTTTTTCATTATTCTTCTCATCTTTTCATTGTAAACATAAACAATTATGTGTTACTGTAATGAAGTATGTACAATCGCATTAGATAAGTGTGAGGGCAGTTTCTTCTAAGTTCTTCTTGAGTCGCCTTATTTTCGAAACTAACGGTAGACTAACTTAGAAATTATTTTGATTTGATTTGTGTCAGAGATTGGACTGGCATTGTAATCCTTCAGGCCAAATGAACCGACCTATTACGTTTTTTAACTTACTTTTGGAACTACTAACGCCATCTAGTCAACACAGCAAGGAATGACACATAAATAATTTGATTAATTCATACTTAAATTCAGGGTTAGTGTGGACAGTATGTCAGTTTCACCATTTCAGTTCAGATAAGGAGGCATCTGGTTCTATTAATACAATGTATTCAAAACAAATACAATATTACGTGAGCGGAATACATAAATTCTTATTGATTGCAAATGTATTGTATTGCCATATTTGTTTACAATGGGCATTCAAAAATAAATCTTCTACAAACGTTTAGGTTTGCTTTATCTATTAGGGTGTAAATAAAACTAAAACTATATAATAAATTGTAGTTTAATCTTTGTATTCAATTTTTTACACAAGTATAATATAATATAATTATTCAAAATTAAATCAGTTATATTGTCTTAGTAAAAGAAGGGTGATTTTTGTTAATATTAATTTTTATGGAATGTATTTTATTAAAATTTAAGTAATGTATATAGTGTGTAAACAGTGGTATCGAAAAATTAATTGTATGGTTTATTCGTTAATTCATTGTATAGTATAGTCATAACACGCAAATGTAAAAACTTTTATTTAGGAATAATATTTATGCATGTCGGAATTTTTAAAGCATAAAGTGCTTAATTATGATGTATTGATACCATATGCTAGCTACACAATTAATTCAATAAGAAATAAATTAATACAATTTCGGTAAAAATAAAAATATAACGATTTACACAACACTAAAATGTTGTTACAACTATGATTAATCTATTTATGCAAATACCGATAACACTTTACAGTTATAACTTATTTAATTATATCATTAGTATTTTTAATACCATGTGACATACAGTACTCATCTAAACATATATTAAATATAAATTATATAATATTATATTATATAATTCATCGGAGATGTGCACACATTCTTTTAAATACTTATACTAGAAGTGGTATTGAAGCTAGACAAAAAGTACAAACTTTTGTGTAATTATTGTTAGGGAAACATAAGAATGAAATCATATATTTAGGGGCAAAGGAACACAAATAAATCTAAACTATTTACTTAAGTTACAATTTATACAATAAAAATTTCGTATAAAATTAATAATTAGATACAGTACATGGCAATAATTATATATTGAAATTATACGTCTTAAAATACCAGTATCATTGGTAGACGGACTTTGTGGATATTTTTTTAACAAAATAACAATATCTCTAAAGTAAATTAAACTTGTCACATATTAAGTGTGTAGAAATGCATTAAAAGCAAATGACTAGGAAATGCGTCGCTCCTGTGCAGATACCTTAGACGTAGAAGAGTCTCACTCGTGATGTAGTGATCAACAAATCACCATCAAAAAATTTTGTTTCTATTATAACATTGCCACTGAAAAAAAGAGTGTTAAATTAAAATGTATAATTCATAGTTTGAATTGTGAAAAAATATTATATTCTTAATATAATATTTTTCAATTTTTAACAATAGCATTCTATACTAAAATAATTTGATGGCTAATGTACTGTAAGAATTGTCGAGAATTGCTGTTATGTTATTTAATTTTATGTTAAAACTATAAAAATCCTATAATATTATTTCTTGATGATGAAATTCAATAAATCATATAGAGATGTAACTTATTATTATACATCTCTATAATGTAATCATCATTGTAACAATCATCTCTCTTAATGTAAATTACATAAAAAATCTTAATTTTTTATGTAATTTACATTAAAGAAGGAATATCAATATTAGTTTTGAGCAGATGATTACAGCTTTTATATTAATTGAACAGCAGATTAATCTTTTGAGCCCAGTAGTATGACTTGGCTCCAATAGTAGTTATAATTTAACTCTTCCTAGAGTGACTCTCGATTATCTCATGTCTGGTTATTAAATTGTCATTGACATCCTTGTCTGAGCTACCACTTTTCTTATATAGGCGACAGCTACCACCACCCATAGAGTGTATGTAAGTGACAGATTATTAATACTACTCTCTTTAATATAAATATGTATTAATTAACTTACTTCAGTACATTAGCGGGCATCATTTGAGACTCTGGTGCAGATTCAATAACAGATTGCCACGTATTTGTAGAATTTTGGATTACAAAGCCAAACTCAAAAAACCACTCTTCTAGACAACGGCCTTTAAATAATACTTTCTGAAAAATATAGATATTATTTAAGGTTAAGGTTTACTCTTTTTTTTTTAAATCATATATGTTGTTAAGATGATTAAGATAGGAACACATGGAAAACGCTGGAGGAGGCCTTTGTGTCTAAAGGACACATTGACTCAAAGACTGATGTGCAGAATTAAAAGTAACATAAAACGTTTAAAAGATTAAAGTAATATATAAGTTATATATATTACTTTAATCTTTTACTTTTATCTTTTAAACTTTTAATTAAACATTTTTGATAGATTGTATATGTTTGTGTCCATTAATAAAGGCTTTGAATATGTTGATACAAGTAAAGCAGAAGACAGTTTGAAAATAGCCTTTGATAGAGATTATATTCAGAACAAAATCAAATCATAGGAGCATTACTATTTCGAAATATGCATAGTCCATGATATCTATTTGGAAGGAATAGCAAACATAAAAACTTTTTCCTTCTGTTGTTTGCTATTGTATCTACCATTATGTTATTTATTTATTTTGACAATATTTATTTATATAATGCCATCTATTACTTTAATAAGTTGCTAAGTACAATAATTTGAAATATATTTGACAGCCTCTGTGGTCTAGTGTTTTAGCACACCGCTTTACTATCCGATGGTTGTGGGTTTGATTCCTAGCATGGTACAAACATTTGTATTCATGAGTTGTTTGTTTCGGTCTGGGTGTTTTCTATGTATAATATGTATTTCTATACAAAAAAAAATGTATGCATGTATTTATATCAGTTGTCTAAAAAGCTCTGCTTAACTAGATAGTGCTGTGTAAATTGTCCTGAGATATTATATTAAAATGATTCAGTAGTCTATGGTAACCATCAGATGGGCAAACAAGCATACAACTTGTTTGCCACCACTACAGTATGAAAAATAATACATTTCTCATTTTTCCCAAACTTCCTTAGTTTATCTGTTTATCCATATTTTACATCATATCAGGTGAACATTTAATCATCATTGCCCAAGCCAATTCTACCTGAAACCTTAGCAGACAAACAGAAAGTTTTAGTCCATGATTTTACTAGATTTAAGCATTATATACCAACCTGTTCTAGCCGGAACTTATCCATAGATTCAATAGAACTGAAGTTCATTTCCCGGGAGACAACACGGCACTTCAGTATGCGCTTTGGAACTCGTGCCTCATGTTCCACATGAGGATTAGACATGTCTTCATTATGTTGCCATAGTATTTTACCTAGAACATAAACATAGTCTAAAATAGAGATGTCCAACTCAATTTGCAAAAGGCCATATATTAAATTTTGAATGTGTAGGCAGGCCAGATTCAAATTGAAAAATGAACTTTAACATTTCATTTATTTAATTATTATATTTTTTTTTAAATAAATAAAATGGTAAAATAATTCAGTTCAGTTTTATATGGTTATATGGTTCTTAAATATATATGCGATAGTGGGTCTTATTAATATAGCCCAATGGCCGGATGCAGCTCAAATGGTCTAAAGTAAGGTAATGGAGATAGATCATCAGTAATGTTAAGAGAAAACATGGGATTCAAAACTTTAAAAAATAGCATTTGAGTATTATAGTGTCTTGATGGTCCAAGTAGAGTCTGAGATTTTTGATGATTGCTAAAGATTCAACAGCACATAGTAATGCTGTTCATATTTTATTAGAAGATTATTTTATCATTTCACTTTAGCAAAGTAAGATACATTTCTGAATAAGTGATAGAAAATATCAGGTAAAAAAAAATAAAACAGTACTGACCTGTATCTGCATCTCGCAAATTCATCCAATTTCTATATTTTGAATTAGATATTGAGGAAATTAATGAGGTAGACTTTGTACAGAGTTGTCAAAATGAGTACCTCCGTGTCACCTACTTCAGTTACTGAACAGCTTGATTTGTAAGCTGGTTTCTAGTTGGAGGCCTTGATTAGTGTAGTGACATTACACACTACAGAGGCATTGTCTTATTTTTCCGGAAAGGCAATACATGAGGACTAGCAACAACATCACATAATAAAATGTCCACATTAATTTGATGTGTCCATGTTCATGTAAAGTGGCTATGGTGCCCACTTACCATCAGATGGTCATTAGCTTTTTTGGAAAACCGGTTACACAACAAATATCTAAATAATAGTATTATAAACGCGAAAGTTTAAAAGGTTAGAAGAACGAGTAGAAGAATAAGACCTATAGTTTATAGATAAATGTAGGTATACCATTTATAATCTACTGTAGTCTGAATTAGAAAACATTGTAATTAATATTAGAAATAGAAGACTTTGTTACGGTATGAAGGGTCAAATAATAATAATAATGAAATTTGGCATACACGTATCATTTCGGATCTACCATCCGAAATGATACGTGTACATATGCACTTTTATCCCGGTCAAACAAAGTAATGCTGACAAAGCAAAAGTTAGAAACATAATAAAACTGAATAGAAATGACACCAAATGAAAAGGATACACTTGAAAACCATTGAGAATATCTTTAATACGATTTTGTTTTACTTCTTCTGCAGCCATAACTTCCGTCATATTGGATGATATATAGCAAGTCTTTTTAAGTATGATAAAATTTAAATGTAAGGTAAACTATCAGGAATATTATACTTGTGACGATTTATATTGTAAACAATTAAAATTTTATGAAACAACTAAAAATCAGTTGTCTGTCAATAGACCATAATGGTACAGTATGGTATGGTAATTTTTCTTTTTCTTTTGTGTTGTTGTTTTTTTAAGTATATTTATGGTTTGGTTACTTTGGTTACAAAGTTTTTAACTCAAACCCAAAGTGCAGCACTGTACTTTTACAGTCAGGGTTGCCAACCTTAAATCTTTGTCAGCACAAAGAGGTCATAAAAGGCAGAGACTAAATTTATTAAGTGTATTTTTTGACATTTTCTGCTCAACATAAAAACATATACGGAGACGCAGGTCGCACAAGCGACAGTTTAGCTTTTAATACAACTCAGTTTTTTGTAAACATCATGTTTATAAATTGAAAATTCGAATACAACGGTAAGGCCACGTCCGGGCGTCCCTCCCAAAGGCATATTTTTTCAGAGAGAGTGGTAAATTTTGGAGAGAGCGGATCCGTTTTGAAGATTATTTTAATTTTAAATAGTACTAAAGTTATTTCCATGTAAATGTTAATTTTTTGAAAATCTAATCTTATTTTTTATTTACAAGTTAATATCCTCAATATATGTATTATACAGTTCACTTGTTTTCTACCAGAAATTAAATTAGCACAAGAGAAACACTATAAAAAAAATATATTTTGCCGATGCCGATGCTAGTATGCTAAAGCCGTAACGCCTAAAAAATTAAAAACAATAGAATCAAAATGGATGGCTGGTTCGTTTCGTTTGACAGATGATATAGAATAAATTGATAGGAAAATACTTATTAATAATTGTTACAATTGATATTTTTTTGTGGAGCAGTTATTTATGTTTGTTATTAAAATATTGGAACAATATTATAATAACTGATGAATGAGTTCTCATGTATTCAATTTTAGCTTATTTGTGTTGTTTGTGGCGAGAAGTTATTCGTATTGAAAATCATTAATTTCTATGAACTCAAAAAGCAAAACTGACGAAGCTTCAAGGTAATAATATCTATATTTTTAAGCAATTTGTGTGTTGTATTTATACCAATTAATATATTGTATTTCGTTAATTCTGTAGGAAATATTTACATGTACCTAGTTATTAACAACTGCGTAATCGCGACGATGTTTAGGTTAGGCATTACTTGCTATTTTCGTTCTTTGTTTTCCTGTAGTCACGTGTAGTTTAATTGCGACATTTTAGGGGGAACGAAGCGTCATCGTCAAAGAGTATTCCAACCCCAAACAATTCGGAAGATCAGCCTGCATCGAGTTTATGTGGTACTACAGGATCGAACAATACCGAGGACATTATGAAGCGAGCCGCTGCTAAGCAGTTAATTGAGAGATATTTCTACCAGTTGCTAGATGGTTGTGGAAATCCCGATTGTGATAATCAATATTGTGCATCAAGTGGGGAGGTTCTGTATATTTATTATCTAATTAATCTTGACAATATGTGTTCTGATAAAACTAAAAACATGAAGTTGTATTATCTTGAAATTTTTATCCAGTCAGATGAAAAATCTCCATAAACTTATTAGAAAATCTGATAGTATATATACTTAGTGCAAAAGAAATCAACTAAGATTGTACTTGTTGCAATAGGTTGATAATGTGGGTGATATCCATGTTACTAATGTACCCTTATCATATTTATACATATACATATATTAGAAAATCATTACATTATTATTATTATTTTTTAGAAAGGTAAACAATTGGTTATCATACTTTTTAGCTTAATTTTATGTTATATCATATCTATAGAATGGTATCACTTTTATGAGATTAAATATGAAATATTACAACCATATCTATATATACCTAATCTCATCACTCATAAAACAAATTAAATGTAAGTGTAACAATGTAGGTGTAAATTCATAATATTATCTTATCATAATATTGCAGTATATATCATCACAAAATTATTTTAATGATAAATTGACATATATTTGATTTTTAGGCAAGGAATTTGACTCCTAATGAAGCAGCAGCGGAGGCCATAAAACTGTTCTACAAAGAGGCACGCTTGTGTGACTCACTACCAAATAAAGTACCTCGCACTGAAGCCAGCACTTGTGACTCTAGTGCCAGGTGAGAAACAATCATTTTTATTACATACACTTTTTCAAATAGTAACTTTTTATTCTACCTCTCATTTGGAATACAGGTTCAGCACAAGAAGAATCACAAAGTAACTTGTTTGTAGTACATTAAAAAAAATATAGTCCAATGTTACTTTCAAGAGTTTTACACACAAAAATGAGTACAAATACCAAATAGCAACAATTTACAAAAAAATAATATATAAATAGCTAATTGAGTAATAAAATAAATCAATCATAGGATCACAGTAGTAAGAAAGACAATAAATAATTCTATGTCACACCAACACTCAAATAGTATAGGCACCACAACAACAATAACTAATTTCACAATGAAAAAGTTAGTTCATATTTATTCTACTTATTTTTTTATATTTCAGATTAAGATCAGATTACTAAGGTATATAATCATCACTGAATATACCCAATAAATTTAAAATAGTACAATAATTAGGTATTTTTATCAAGGAATATTTTTTATTATTATTTTATAATTTAGGTAAGGATTGACAGGAATTTATTGTCAACTAATAACACACATGTACAAAATTACATTATTACATTATTAGTTGCCAACAATGGTTTACTGTCACAGTGCTGATATTCTGTGTAGGCCATAAGTGACAGCTGACAAAATAATAAAATAAATATCCTGCCAAACATATGTACATAATATAAGTGATTTTATACTGGTTAATTAAATGAAATTCCTAAATAAATAAATTGACACTGTCTACAAGTATAATAGATATAAATTCAATTAAAATGTATCCTAATACTATAGAGAAAGACAGTAGCTTTGTTTTTTTTTATTCATTGAATTCATAGAATAATAAACTTACAAGGAATTCAACACATTCACAGTTAAGGGCAACACATTTATATCTTAAAAATGTTATATGTATACTATTATTTTTACACATTATTTAAAGATAGGTATATTTTTTATTATTTTAAACTTTGATTTTGTTTCTGAAAGAAGACAAGGCTTTTGTGTAGATGACAACATGTTATAACTTATCAACTTGTTATGGGGAAAGTAAACTCTGAAACATAGCTTTGCACCTCTGGACAATTTGTGCCAATATCAAACTGCAAAATATTTACCTTCTAAGGGATATAATCAGGCTAGGTTAAAAAGTTCCTTTATTTTTATCATATTTGTTCTCCAAGTAAAGCCAATGATAATCCTATAGTGTTTTAAATTTAATTACACATTTTCTGACTGTAGGTGTCTGTAGGTACCATGTGACATAATTAAAAATGTTTTTGTCCATTAATTACTTTGGTGTTCCATCTATGATATTTATGTTAATGAGCCATGGACTATGATATTTTTTTTAGGTAACTGAAATTGCAAACAGGCTGACAGTTCATGTAATGGTTGGTGGCGAGTGTTCCTTATATTACAAAAACAGTAACAAAGACATTACTTCATCATGTGATGCCCGTGATACTCCATATTCATAGATTATACTATATATTCATAGCAATTTTATCGTCGTTCCGTGCATTATTATTGATATATCTAACATCATCTTCATGAAATGAAACACAACACAAAGCAATGTACTTGGCGACTGAAGGTGGTACAAGGTTAACTTTTAGGCAGGCAGCTAGGCAAATTTTCTTTACAAAGTGCATCTAAGTAATGAATAATTTATTTCTGTAATAATCATGATTAATAATATTGCAGCACAACATGTATGGTATCAAATACAGAAGACAAAGTAGATAACAAAGATTGTAAGATTGGAACTCCTTCATCAAGCACAACATCACAACAAGAGACCCCTACAAATGAGGCAAAACCAGAAACTAGTCATAAAATATCTCAACAAGAGGAATACAAAATATTTAGTCATAATAGTAAGAAAAAATATATTTATTTGCAATGATATTTTGGCTTAACTTATGTAAAATATGATTTATATAGGCATTTATATTACTATCAGTATTTTCTATTTTTGTCGTCCTCGATGTTTTAGTCTACCAATTAGTATAGCGGCTTATTTCCGATGGTCGCAGCTTCGATTCCTCTTACTCGTACGGTTTAAACACTTGTATTCATAAGCATGATTGTTTTATATCGGTCCTGGTATTGTATTAGTTATCTAGTACCCATAACACAAGCAGTGCTTAGCTTGGGTCTAGATGAAGCTGTGTGAGTTATCCACACTTATTATTATTACATTATCGGAATTTCCTATAACTACAACTAATATGGTTAATATAGATTCCACTATATTAAATGTGTATTCATTAATTTGCAGTATTCATTTACTTATAAGTACTTAATAGTTTAATTATTTCCATATAATCCTTTTTATTAACATAATCATCATTAGCAAATATATCTGAATCCATTATACATTTCTATAAAGCAATTAGCTTATGATGTAAGTATTCTACCATCATTATGAAATGACCTAATTTGCAATGATTTTAAAAACAAAATTTAACTTCAAACTGCTCAAAATCACTATCAGTTTCGCTTCACAAGTGCAATCAGCTCTATCCACATGGATGTCCAAAAGAAGTATTCGATTTTGATTGATATGATTGACGATTTACTGTTGAAATTGTTAGATGGTGCACCACTGACTGAGGAGCGTATATGCCAACTTTGTGATGAGTGCCTTGAAACGTCGAAGCCGCAGCCCCTTGTGAGGGCCTTAGGGGAAGCGTTCACACAACCTGTAATACTAGCTAGGTGTTTCCAGAGTAAAATTTCGGAAAATGTTAGTAGTAATGATGATGGCGGGAAAAATACAGGTAATACAAACCATTATATTATTTAATTTTACTTAATTTTAGACAATCACTTCATTTAATGTAAATTATCTTTAAACTAAACATTTATAATATTACAGATTAATAAGCATAGATCCATATAATATCTTCCCGTTTAATGTCATAGTTTACTATTTGATTTAACTTCCTATTTAATTTTTCTAGCACACTAATGGAATTGTTGTCTTCATAAAATAATTCTCTCTAAGGTTCTTTCCAAATATTCTACACATTGGTGTTAAATAGTTGGAAAAATTAGAAGTTATAAAATTTTTAAGCTGTCTTTCTACTTGCTACAAGACAAATGATTATTTTAATTTTAATCTTATATATAAAATTCCCGTGTCACAGTTTTCGTTCCCATACACCTCCGAAACGGCATGAAATTTTGTGAGCGTAGTGAGTAGGTCTGAGAATCGGCCAACATCTATTATTCATCCCCCTAAATGTTAGGGGTAGTCCACCCGTAAATTTTTATTTTTTATTTTAAGGCAAAACAACGTTTGCCGGGACAGCTAGTTATATATATAATATTTGCCTTTTTTGTTCAGATAAAGAATCAAAAGCAATGTGTTCATCTAGTGACCCGGACAAAGATGTAGATAGCGTTGTAGGACCTGGCTTAGATGTCGCATCGTGTCGCAGAGCGTTTCAGTACCTAACTAAAGTAAGTTTCAATAATATACCAAATGTAGTTTTCTGTTAATCAAGTGTTAAGTGTTCTGTGTGTATACAACGGTGAATTTATTTTCAAAGAAAATATTGTTATTAAGATTAACTGATTCCGAAGCTATTGAATTAAATACACGCTACAAAAATACTGTTGAATTTATACCATCGGCTTCTGGCTGAGAAAAGTGTAGATGTTTCATATGAATTCATATGTGAAACACCAAATGTGAGTGTTTGGTGTTTCAGAAGAATTGCAATTGCATAGAGTCTGTTAATTAAAATAACTGTATATTGATTTTAAATGGTTGAAAAAATATATTTCTATAGCTTTCGAGTAAAAAGAAATGTTATCAACAGGTGCCATCAGATTACTACAGTTCAGCTTTGGTGACGGCATTAATAACGCTTGCCGAAAATCTAGAAATAGATCTAAGGATAACAAAGAAGATGAGTATGGAGGATGCGGTCAACTGTTTTGTGATCGCATTCGAAGTTCCCGATCTTGGTTGCAGTGATTACTTGGAGATCGCTCTGCCAGCGCTCTGCCATGCAGCTGAGCATTTGTCAGTCAAAGGTAAGGATTTTTTTTATTAAAATAAATCAAATCAAGTCATAAATCATTTATGTCATGTTTTTTGTCCTTATAGTTTCCCCTATCGTCCAATTCTGTACACAGATTAAGAAGGATTGGCAAGAAACTCGACTAAATTTCTTGACATAAGCAAATAAATAGTTCCTTGAATAAAAAAATATTATAAATAAGTCATCACATCAGACCAGTCCCTACAAAACAACATATAAATAATTCTTAAACCCAGCACATGTGGCTCCAAAAGTATCCACGTGGCTGCATTTCGATCTGATTTCTTTTAAGTTTTATCATTATCGCAATTCGTGTTTCTCAACCGAAATTTATGTACGCAATTGTGTTTACGTACAATGCACTATGCCACGTGATATCGATTTGTAATTAATTTTCTATTTTAGACACACATTCCTGCTACTAATAGAATAATCTTAATTTGTTTTTTATTTATCTTTACCTAGTATAAAACAAAGACGCCACCGCTATCCGTTCGCTTATATCTTTTAAATTACGCAACGGATTTGAGTGCAATTTTCAGCAATAGATAAAGTGTGTATATTTGTATACAATATTAAAATGGATGTATATTTTTCTTAAAATAGCTTTTGAATGCTAAACGACATCAAAAAAAGTAAGTCCTAATTTGGACTGCGTTTTTTGTGTGTTATTTCAGAAGTTTTTTCTCCGTAAACCGAAAAAAATTTGATCAATATCAGATCAATTGGTTTTTTGTGTTCCCTTTTAGATCGGTTTTTTCGGGGCCTAATTACGGGATTATATAACATTTTAATTTTGGCAGCGCAAGCGAGGCTGGCACGAATATGGGCGCAGCACTGTAAGGAGAGCTTACGGCACATATTAGAAACGTTACAACAGTTAATAACGTTGCGTGTTATTTCTACTAATTATACCAACCATTTTACGGTGCAGGATGATGAGAGCGTCACCATGGCAACGAAACTAATGAAAGTAAGTGTTATGATAGTCGTATTTTTTTTTTTGTTAAGTTTAATTTTTCCTTTATTTTGGTGATATATATGTATAATGCTTTTTTGTTATTAGTATTGCTGGAAAAATTTGGACTTGTTATATATATTTTAACATAAATTAAAATATTACCTGTTCAATGCTTACGATCTTTCTAACACTTTATATTCAGAAGGTATTGCCTGTTGCCACTACTATATCCTGGTATATATATGTTGTCATTCAGTAATAAACGATCATTATATTACAACGGATATTTTAATTAATAAATATGTATTGGACTTCAATTTAATTTCGTAATAAAATAATTCACGTATGAATAAAATACGTTTTAAATATTTCTCTTCCATTACTTTTTACAAGCATTTTTTTAATAATAATTTAAATAGCAACTCGTTTTATATATATTTTTAAAACCTTTGGTGAGTCGTATGTACGTATGTTTGTGGCATCGGAGCTCCTAATGGACCGATTATTTGTTTTGTTTGAAAGCTGACGACTTGGACAATTTTTTTTATTAGTTGTTTTTTTATTTTTCAAAAACCACTCATCCTTACAGATATTATACTACGCAAATATGTTAGCGGGAGTTATGGAGTCCAATACGTTGCGCGAAGAGCCCATAGTGATAGCAAACCAATTGGACCCATTAAGTGATGTTATAGAACATTTGTTCCCGCCCATGAAGAGCTCGAAACACTCGCAACCTGATGATCCTTTAGGTAAGAAAATACACACGTTTTCATAATAATTTAAACGTCTTACAAACAATATCATCCTGATTAACTGGTATGAATGTTTTACATGTTGTATTTTATATCCCTCACTGTCATATGATAGAACCGGCTCCTGCACGGTGAATCCAAGGAATGCTAAGATTTCATCTCTATATATGATATTGTTTTAATCTGCTCAACTCTACATTTTTAAAGTATTTATTTTGTTCATATCTTTTTTCTTGATGTATTCTTGTAAATATACTACTTTTCGTTTTCTTGTACATATTTTTCTGTATAATACAATGACAAAAGTGAACGAAGGAACATCATATTAAATATAACAAAAATGTATCATAAATACCACATAATAAGCATATCTTCACTACTGTTATCCTAAATGGGATGGCATTGTCAACTATTGACGCAACTCTTTACATACTGACATTTTAAAAAATATATTTTAATTCAATGTCACAAAAATTGAATTGAATGTTTAACTGTATTGTAATATTTAACTGTACTTATTATTATATTTACTTAATATTTCTGTTTTTAATATTCTAATGAATATGTATTTTTTACAGCTATTGAATTAGGTATAAATGTATTAGATGCTAGAAGACCGTACTTGCCATTTGAGGAATTCTACAACGAACCTCTTAGTGATACTATAGAAATGGAAATAGATTTTGCGAATTATAAATCTGAAATAAATAGTGGTAAGTGGTAATTTAACATTAACATAGAATGTATAATGATATCGGATATATTCTATCTTTGACTCAAAAAATAATCTGTAAGGATGTGACACAGGGATGGAAGTTTAAAACATCGAGGAGTGCTTTTTCGTTGTTACGTACCCACTAATCAAGAACGTCTGCTGTTTTTGAATGATTACAATAGAAAGAATAATGTTGTCGATTATTTGTAATAAATAATACATAGTATGGAATAGAAATAAAAATTTAATCGCATTCAGAAATAGTGCTAGTGGCCCTTTCCAACTAACCCTGTATATTGTTAAACACAGGTAAGAAGTTCACGTTCCTAAAATACCCGTTCATACTGACGACGGCCAGTAAGTCGCTGGGTCTGTACTACGAGAACCGCATCCGTATGCATTCTGAGCGGCGCGTGTCGATGTTCCACGCCGTGGTGGGCGCGGTGCCTCCGATGCCGTTCCTGCGATTGAAGGTCCGCCGCTCGCACATCATCGACGATGCACTCGTTGAGGTCAGTGTTCGAATTTATAGAATTAAGGCGCCAACATACGACTCTGAGCAGCGCGTGTCGATGTTCCACGTTGTGATGGGCGTGGCGCCTTCGAAAGTGCGTGCTCACACATCACCGACGATGCACTTGTTGAGGTGAGGTGAGGTGTACAAATTTACAGAATTAGGGTGCCACCACACCACTATAAGCGGCGCGAGTCCATGTTCCACGTATTAATGGTCGTGGTGTCTTCGAAACTCCGCCGCTTGAACATCATCAACGAAACACTCGTTGAGGTCAGTGTTAAAATCTACAGAATTAGGACGCCACCATATGACAACGGCAGTAAACGTGGTGCCGATAGGGGCATCCTTACACGAATTTCATGATTTTATGACCCCTCCCCCGTTATTGTTAAAGCTAGTCACATGCAAAACTCCAACCCCAATCCCTTTCTGATGTTGTGAACTCACATATTTAGCAATGACCCCATTGGTAGCTAGTCAGGTTGGCCTCTACATGGTTCTCTCTGGAAACCATCGTGATAAGTTCCTGGTGAATTTGTTATGATCCCATGTTTATTCTGTCACTCTTGTATTATAATATTAGATTTTAAAATATGTCAAACTTTATTTCGTTTATAATATTAGTAAGATTATTATCTTCATTGTTACTTATTTTACAGCTAGAAATGGTTGCAATGGAACGTGTGTTGGACCTAAAGAAACAGTTAGTGGTCGAATTCGAAGGCGAACAAGGCGTCGACGAAGGCGGCGTGAGTAAAGAATTCTTCCAACTTATTGTGGAGGAGATATTCAATCCAGACTATGGCATGTTCACGCATCATCAAGATTCCAATAATGTGTGGTAAGAGAATCTACTTTATATAAGTTATATCGCTGCTATTTAAAATCGGGAAATACACATTACTAGCAAACATAAAATACTGTATAGAAACTAAGTAAAAATTATATAAAGGCGGTAACAACCTCCGACATCGTTTATTTTTTGGGATTGAGATTTTCGGTCCAATTCTCATTAATATCAGCTATTTAGTCATGAAAAAGTTAAGTAATTATTAATAAAGATATTAATTAACTAACAGAACGCGCGTTTTTAATAATATGAGCATAAGGTCAGGTACACTTAGCCCTACGTAACTTAATCACCAGGAATTTATGACGCGACCTTCAAATATCTTTAAGATTTAAGACCTACATGGGTGGAATTTCTTTTTTTTTTCAGGTTTAACCCCACATCATTTGAAACGGAGGCTCAGTTTACACTAATAGGCATAGTTCTAGGTCTAGCAATATATAATAATATTATTCTAGCTGTAGATTTTCCTATGGTTGTATATAGGAAACTTATGGGGAAGAAGGGATCCTTTGAGGACTTAGCAGATTGGAATTCAGTAAGTCTAAAATATTTATTATATATTATTGTTATTCAAAAAGCTGTTACAATTGAGATTCGTTAATAACATCGTTATATATATAATAAGGCCTAGGATGTTTGTTATAATTATTATTATATAAATATAACTTGATGATTCTTATTCCGCTATGGGATACGTATATGTATACATTACAATGGTTATATTTGAATGAATCAGTATCTATCACCGGATCTATCACGGAAACTCGGTCTGAAATATATATAAACACACGATTTTTTTAACTATTAGTGTATATGTAGTATGTTTTACAAATGTTGTTGCCATTCCTGAAATAGCCTAAAATCACTGCCCTACTAATGTTTTTAAATGGAGTACAGCTTACTAAGTTGCTTAGTAGTAGAATTAAGCGAGATAATTGGTACCAACATACTAGTGAGTTTAAGCAAAGTCTACTTTGATGAAATATATGAAGACTACAACAAGGTATTGCACTTTCAGACGTTGTACAGAGGTTTAAAAGATATGCTGGATTACACAGGTGATGACTTACAAGAAGTATATTACCAAACATTTAGGATATGCCAACAAGATGTCTTTGGTAATAATATATTCTACGACTTAAAGAAGGATGGTGATAGCATATTTGTAACTCAAGAAAACAAACGGGTGAGTATCTTTTTCTGTGGGAAACGGTTTAATGTTATATTTTTATATTGTTATTTAAAAGCTAAAGCTAAAGCATCTCATTTGAACTTGTGTACTTTTGTGTGTATGAATAGTAAATTTCTTGTTAATATAAAAATTCTGTGATGTCACTAACGTCTAGGTACAATTTGTTAACGGCAAGATGTAGTAATGTCCTCTGCTACAATTTAGTTCCATTATTTACAAATATATGAGAATACATTTTATTTTTTTAGGAATTCATAGATTTATATGCAGACTTCCTACTAAATAAGTCGGTGGAGACACAGTTTAAAGCGTTCCGGCGCGGTTTTGTTATGGTCACCGACGAGAGTCCTCTGTCGGCGCTCTTCAGGCCGGAAGAAGTTGAGACTCTTGTTTGTGGCAGTAAGGTCAGTAAAATTGTCTTTTTTTAATTAGCATCAAGTATAGCAAATTTTTCAATGAATGTCTCTCTGAAAATTTATTTTGGAACCCATCTCTGGGTTCTAATTTAACATGACGTAAAAATAAATGTGACTAACCTTTGCAATAACCGTATAGTTTCGTCAAGAATTGAAGATTTCCATTTGTAACTAATATTTTTTTTAGCTTTGTCTCTACATTTATCATCATCATCATCACATCATGGGTATGTGGTCTCCCGTCTTTTACCATGACCACGCCTCACGATATCGAGGTATGGTCATGGTTATGGACGTGTGTTCACTCTCAGCACTCCAAGTTTCAAGAAGCGAAGATTATTATTTGGAACCTAACCTTTTTTAAACTTGTCTCTAGATCTATTATCATCATCATCACATGGTGGGAAAGTGGTCTCCCGTCTTTTACCATGTCCCAAGCCACACAATAACGTGGTTTGTATCATGGTTATGGACGTGAGTCCTCTCACAGCACTCCAGACTTGAAGAAGTGAAGATTTATATTCGTGACTAACAGCCGTTTTTAGTTTTAACTCTGCATCTATTATCATTATCATCACATCATGGGAATGTGGTCTCCCGTCTTGTACCATGACTACGCCTCACGATATCGTGGTTTAGTCATGGTTGTGGACGTGAGCCCGCTCTCGGCACTCAAGACTTCAAGAAGCGAAGATTATTTTTTGGAACCTAATCTTTTTAGCCTATGCTCTAGAATTCTAGATCTATCATCATCATTATCACATGGTGGGAAAGTGGTCTCCCGTCTTTTACCATGTCCCAAGCCACAAATAACGTGGTTTGTGTCATGGTTATGGGCGTGAGTCCTCTCACAGCGCTCCAGACTTCAAGAAGTGAAGATTTATATTAGTGATTAACAGCCGTTTTTAGCTTTGGCTTTACATCTATCATCATTATCATCACATCATGGGAATGTGGTCTCCCGTCTTGTACCATGACTACGCCTCACAATATCGTGGTTTAGTCATGGTTATGGACGTGAATCCTCGCACAGCACTCCAGATTTCAAGAAGTGAAGATTCCTATTTGTGAATAACAACCGTATTTAGTTTTGTGTCTAGATCTATCATCATCACATCGTGGGAAAGTGGTCTCCCGTCTTTTACCATCTCCCAAGCCACATAACGTGGTTTGTGTCATGGTTATGGACGTGAGTCCTCGCACAGCATTCCAGACTTCCAAGAAGTGAAGATCCTTGTATGTAGTACACAGTTGATGTTTCTGTATTTAATATCTATACGATAACCTAACAATAGTCATTCCATAGTAAGTTAAAATTATTATTGTCCATATATATATATATCCTTACTATAATTACATTGCAGTGTGTACATTTTTTTTGATAACTAATTTCAAAGGTTAGAACTCGTAACCAATCATTATCACATTACAAGAAATGGTCTCCCGTCTTTTACCATGACTACGCCTCACGGTAACGTGGCTTGGTCATGGTTATAGACGTGGGTCCTCTCTCAGCATTCAAGACTGCAAGAAGTGAAGATGCTGGATTGTTATCAACAGCCTTTTTTTAACTTTTACTCTCTACAACTGTCATCACTATCACATCATAGCAATGTGATCGCACGTGTTTTACTATGACCATGCCTCACGATAATAACGTGGACGTGATTCCTCTGTCCGCAATGTTCTAACTAAAAGAACAGAAACTTGTTCTTCTATAATTATAGTTATTGGTGAATAACTTAATTTATATTATTCCACAGAACTTCGACTTCAAAGAGCTGGAGAAGTCTACGGAGTACGATGGCGGGTATACAGCGGACTCGCGCGTAATCAAACAGTTTTGGAATATTGTCCATGGTCTCCCGCGTGAACACAAGCGCAAGCTGCTCGAATTCACGACCGGTTCAGACCGAGTGCCCGTCGGCGGGCTCAGTTATCTCAAGCTGGTAATCGCCCGCAATGGTCCCGATTGCGACCGCCTTCCCACCGCTCATACCTGCTTTAATGTACTACTGCTGCCGGAGTATGACTCCGAGGAGAAGCTACAGGACAGACTCATGAAGGCGATCAGCTATTCTAAGGGCTTCGGCATGCTCTAAACACTACAGCGGTACCCCCGCAATTGTATAAAGCCATGACATCCACGGTGTCTTTGTAACATTAATAAAAGTTTGTTCTATTTATACTATCAGCTTTTCTTTTCATAGACTACCCCAAATTTCGTTTAATTTTTTCTTATTTATCCACATTATATAGACAGGATATGTAGCAAGATTATAACATTTACGAGCCCCCGAGACGCTGTTACAAACGTCCTGGTCACAAGTGCCGTGACCAGGATGTTTGCTAAATTTATAATGTATACTCGTAAACAATGGTGAAAAAAGGTTAAAAATACCAAAAATAATCAAGTTCCACACCGATTTAAATACATAGGTCCGCATGAAAATTATTGTCTTTTGAATCTTATTCTCATTCTGGGCCACAACTTTAATGGAAATATACCTACATATTTTTCTTCGAAATTTTGTCTGTTGAAATATTTCTTGTCTTATCGAAATACTTCTAGGTTGGTCGAATGAATAACTTTTTATTAAAACAAAGATATTTATTTATATTATAATTTAATATGATATTAAAAGAGAATAGAAATATCTATAAAGTAATAATCAAACAGGAACTTTTACCGCTAGATATTACTAGATGAACATAGGTAATGGCTAAAATCTTAGAAATATATTTTTTTTAATTAGCAGTGTACCCAATTGTTCTCTTACTAGATTGATGAATATTAAAAGTACCACTTAACCATCGTTTTCTGACAGAACTAAGTCCAAGATAGACAATGGTATAATTTAACAAATACGAATAATATTACACAGAAATCTTGTCTGAAGATATTTCATCGCATAATATTAAAATACAATAGTTCATTTATTTTTTTTAAAACAAGATAAAGGACGTCATAGAAAATAGAATACGGGCAAATTAACGACTGTAGTAACGACGTAAGTTATCATGAAAAACTAATTTTATTGTGTTATTTAACTTCTGTACGAAAAAACTGTGGCTATTTGCTAGTATAAATATTAGATACTATTAATATAATATAAAAAAGGGTAATTGACATAACTATAAAAATACGTCCTACGACTTATTTACAAAACACTGCTAACTTTTCTGTGTCTAAGTTAGAAATGAAATTCCAAAAACAAAATTGAGGAAAAAGCCAACAGTCTATTATATTCATTTTAAAATCAGTATAACCTATATTACGATTTTTTTAATAGACTAATAATCTGTCGCGGTATCTATCCGGTTACATTCATGCTTGGCTTGGCTTTTACAATGATGATGAATTTTCGATTTTTTTATTAGACTAAAACGAAGCCGATTTTTGTGGATACATCAATTAGCCTTTCTCTTGATGATCAATTTTCTATGCTTGATATATGAGCGTGATGCGTCAGGCGAGGACCTTGTAGGGCGCGACAGCCTTCAGCCTCAGGTCGTGGACCACTAGAGGGAAGGGCCGACGACACGGCGGTGACGGCGCTCGCGGGGGAGACGACGCAGACGCAGACGCGCGCCGCTTCTGCACTCTGCATATGCACGCATAATTTATTTATGCCTTAATATTGAATGCTGTTAAAAAATATTTAGAAAGGTGCTCCTGTCTGGGCAGAACAAATACGCGGACGCAGGTGTTGAACGGAGTGGAGGCCAGGACGAGGAGAAGTCAGATTAGTTAATGATTTTAACCCTGCAAAAATCACAGCGCATTCGCCTAGATTAGGGTTTTTAATAAGTAGTCTCACAGTACTCGTACGTCCAACCCATAGTATACTTATTTTACTCTGGTCCAACTCCTGAGACGGTAGTGTCTCTACGAGGGATATCCTTCACGTAAAATAAGACGAAGCGTGCCCATGTAGTGTAGACCAGATTTGTGTCTATGTGCGTAAACTATTTCATTATGCTTTACCTGTGTCTTGCGTCGCAAGTGCAAATGGCAGCGGAGAATGCGGCGGCGGCGGCTTGGCGACGAGTGTGTCGCGAGCACACGGGTTGTACTTCGTCCAAATTTTGCTCGAGACAATGCTCGTGCTCGTGATCATGTTCGAGCGCGCAGTCACGACCGATGCAAGCAGGCGCGCTGCCACGCCTCGAAGACCGCGACATCGACGCGTACGTAGGCGCCGCTATGCGCTCCACCTTTATACAGTTATTACGCTACATTTACATTCAGCCGCTTCCCCTGCCACTCGCGCTGCCGGAAATATTTCCCGGCGACAACTGAGCGAGAGGGCGGAATGTAAACAAACGCTGCCAGTTCTTTGACTCGCGCACTAAAAACCGACAAATGAAGGAGCGCCGGGCAGCGCAAGTGGCAGCGCCATAGGCATGGGAAGTATTGTGTTTACACTCTCGCGCTGCTCACTTCCCAACCCACTCGGGCTGAGGGTAAATTGGGCTTTAGCTTTATTTAACCCTTGCTTACTTTAATTTAGTTTTAAGTAACCCGGCAATACTTTATAATATTTCTTTTACAAGAGCATAGAAACCAACGTGGTATTTTCCAAGATGGGCTAACTGACCTAATTTCATGCTCATTATATCACCCTACTCTGATATGCCATGGCAGTGTTAAACCGTTAGTTCCATTAGTATCCATAAAAAAACTACCTCAAAGCCATTTGCTTTTCGCCGCCGTTGTTTGGGGGTGGACACGGCCTCGCGTTTGCGTCGCGTCGACGGCGGCTGCTGTGAGGGCCCAAAGAGGCCGCGCTCCTCTGCCACACGTATCATATACTTAGCGTCGAGCCGGGTGATCTCCTGCGGTCAACCTACCGTTGTGTTATGCAACTAAGCACGATTACATATAAATGATATTTTTGTAGCATTATCCGATTATTGAAGGTCAGTATGTCCTCTTCTTCTACTGATCCCTATCATCCGTAACATCTGAGCATACTCTCCTTTTATACACATCATCTTTCCCATAATCCATCCATCTTTTTTGGAACGTTCTGATCCTTTTCATCCATCCACATTCATGTTAAACACTTTTTCTGATTTTGTTGTGAAGAAAGTTAACTCCGGATTTTATAGTATCTTTCACTATTAGAAAGTTATATTATTCCAGAGCGGCATAGGCTATATCTTCTTATACCTACCTACCTACCTACCGTACCTACTCGGGCCAGCAGGGCGCCGTTAGTATAAAATATATTTAGTAGTGATAACATTATTCAGACTAACCTTTCTTTGGATTAGACCAAGGTAGCAGCCGTCTCTGTCCAGGATGTAATTAATGTCCAGCCCGTTTCCCAGATTTGGCAAATTTCTTAGTTCAAATAAATCACAACTTGGCACCTGGTCATTTAGACAGATAATAAGTAAATAATCACAGTATTATTTTATTCGCGCCTTTGACGGATCGTTTTAAGAATAGTGCGTAGTAATTCTATCTCAACTGTGTTGTTTGTGAACTGATTGGTTGTAATAAAACAAGGGCTAAATATTACCTGCTTGCTGCAATAAATTGGTAAAAACTGTATTCAAAGTTGTAAAGTCGTTCCAAAGTAATTAAATTTTTATGATTGAAAGACTAGGAGACAACGTGTAAATCTTAAAATAGAAACTTACATATATATTAGGGTTATCCTTGTCTGGATCTCTTGGGAAGTGATCTTTGTCGAGCATCTCTGGAATGGGTCTTGCTTTAGTCGTACCCGGCCGAGCGGCTATATCTAGACTGTTTGCTTGTTTCTTCAGAGCCGAATCTTCACTCGGAGGCCTTGTTCTATTTGTGGAGGGGGGAGAACCTGACGGAGGTCTTTTGGAGGTTGGAGTGCTGATAGAATCATCTTGGCTATCTTTGTCTAAGTCCGATCGAGTTATTGTATTTTCCAAAGTACTCGAAGAGTCTACGGCTTCAGTCTCTTTCTGAAAAGAATAAATCACAGAATAAGTATAATTTACAAATTATACGACAAATTAATATTTTGTATGGGTCCCACATAAAACAATGATTGTATTATAGGTACATATATATTCCAGTAAACAACTAAGATCACCTAAAATAAAAAGAGTAATAAGATAAGGCCTTCTTGCACTTTTCGACGACTATTTACGATTATATACGGTGTTTGTTGTATTAGAACTTACAGACATAGTCAAATATCATAGAATGTCTATATGGTAGGGAGATCAACTCGCCACCGCCACAATTAAACAGTTTAACCACAAAAACTGGTAAGGTACACATGTGATTGCTTGTTGGCTAATGTAAAAACGACTTCATATTCAGGCACTACATTGTTTTTAAAACCCACAAATATGTTTAAAATTTTACAACAATAGACAGAGTGAACAATTTCGATTTCTAAACAAAGGTAATAAGAGGATTATTAAAGGTATTAATAATCATATCAACACAATATTATTTTTGTCGTTGTAAAAAAAGTGGAAAGGCACAAACACACAACAGAACACGAATCTAATAAACTAATACGTTGATACTTGAATCGGTACGAGGCGAGCGTTACCAGTGTATCGTACTTATCTTTCGGAAGACTACTGCATGAAGTTGATACGATTGTCGCGAAAGACGAAAAAATAGTAGTAATTAAATTCCCCATATACAGTTCTAAAAACTACCTAAATACACTTACATGCGGCCGTTCTTTGTGTTTCTTTTTGAGTAATGCATGCCGTTCTCTGGCCAGGCGATTTGCTTCTGCGACAGCTCGTGTCACTTGTGCTTGGTTCTCCGCCTCCAGAGCTGAATGCGTTTCGTACAATATTAACTGAATCTAAAATAAAATGCAATAGACAACCCATTGAGATCTTACTAATATCACAGATAAGATAATATTATATGTTAGTATTATAAACACGAAAGTTTGTGAGTGTGAATGGATGGACGCATGTTTGTTACTCTTTAACGCAAAAACTACTAAACGGATGGAACTTTACAGTAGGTAAAATAGAAATAGAAATAATCTTTATTCAAATAAACTCAATACAATACTTTTGAATAGTCATTTTTTATTCTACCCCTCATTCGGAACGCAGATTCATCACAAGAAGAATGAGCAAGAAACTTGTGGCTTATACATCAGAATAAGACAAGAAATATAGTGATAAATGTCAAGTAAGTGCGATGAAGACGAAGTAGTCAGTAGTGAAGTAGTCAGCTAGTGGTCCATAAAGCGTCTAAAATTTCGACGACAGAGAAAAGTCATTACTGATATGGATGGCAAAGAACACACAAAGGTTACGAGTACGTAATAACGTGATTTCCGTGTGCTGTTCATGGATGTAGGCTTTAGTTACCTCTTATCATCAGATGACCCGTCGGCTTCTTTGCCATTCCAGTTACATAAAAAATTTAGATTATATCTAGCAATAGTTAAAACTGATATTTACCTGTGGTTTAGACAAAAGAACTTTTAAAGTTCTTTTCTGTTCCTCCAGAATAGATTGTACTCGAGCCTTGCCTTGAGCGTCTATCTCCGATTCCGTCAAGACCTGCAAAGTAAAATTTAAATGTATTAAACTATTAAGAAACTAGCTGTTCAATTTCGTACAGGCACAAATAACATAATATTACATAGTACAGGTACTTAACAAAATTTTCAAAATTATTAAAATACGAATAAAGTGTCCTATTTTGTACCCGCGTGTAGTATATGCACAATTTAACCTGCAAAATTAGTTAATACTAACTAGAACCCACCTCAAGCATAGCCAAATCTCCACCTCGGCCGCAGACTAGATCAATAGGATCAGTAACTGCAGAATAAGAGTTGGGTGGAGTTGCGAGTACAGCGACGACTCCGTCGAGAGCACTCGCCACTGTGGGTGTATCACAGTGCACCTGCTCCTTTAGCACGCACACTGGTGCACCAGAGTGTAGCAACTCAGATGCTTCTATGCCGAGCTCCCGAAGCGCATATACGTAACTCTCCACTCTGTACATGTTGCTATATGTATATAAAGTAATAATAATAATAATACTATCTCCCGATAATTCACACAGGGACATATAGACTTACGCTAAGCAGAGTCTGTGTTATAAGTACTAGACAACTGAAATAAATACATAGAATACATTTTTTGTAAATTCTTACATAATATACATAGAAAAAATCCAGACTGATACAAACAATCATACTCATGAATACAAAATTTTGTTTTAAACAAGAAGTTTTAAATCAGGTAAATAAGATGAATAATGAATGAATAGATAAATGCCATAAGAGAATAGGTTTCTTTATTTACTTGTCTCCAGCACCGAACACCACCAACTTGCCCAACTCAGGAGTAGCTGGTGCTGTCGGCAACTTGGCTTTGAATACAGCAGCTAGCTCCCGAAGCTGCGCCGCCAAGTAAGCTGAACAGCGCGGAGATGACGCGTGAGTTTGTGCCACAACCCCTCGCAATGAATTCGCTCGTAAAACTTTGCATAGCGTTGATGCACCCTCGCAGAATTCGCGTTCCTAATGAAAATCACCTAATTTTATTTACATCGGACGGATTCCGCCTGCGATTTTGTCCGATTGATCATCATGAATTAATTTAAGCACATTTGTATAGTCATAACAATTTTTTTTAATCTACCGCTTATTCGGAAAGCTATCTCATCACAAGAAGAACGAGCAAGAAACTTGTGTGCAAACTATTTGAAATGCTACGTTTATGCTAAAATTGGGTATCCCGTAATATTTTGTGAAACTGGAACAAACAAATTCACTTTCGCCTTCATTTATTTATATAATACTAGTTAGGATATGGCAAAACTGGTTAGTTTATTGAAACATAATAAGGTAATTTTATTAGACGACAGGAATAATGCAAATATAGGGGAAGGCCAAAGTGAATAAAGTAGTAGTATTAGAAGTCTTTGGCACACGATTATCTATATATCTACATAGTAAGTCACTTGATGTTAAAATATACTTGTACCAGCATACTAATCTGTTGAGGATGTTCCCGAGTCTTAATGAACACACTAGAATGTAAATATACATTTATACTGTTAATAATGTAGGACTTTGTAAGTAATAAAAACATTCAACTGACCTGTAGTACTATAACTCCATCTTTGACCAAATCCAGCTGACCAATGCCTGTATTTTCTGGTGGACGTAGCGTAATGAACCTGTTCAAATATATATACCGTATTGTATGTCTACAATGTAATCTATGGAAAATATTGATATACCAATTATTCATAGTATTTTCATAGTATTGTGGTTAACTTTGTAGTTATTTTACAACTGGAGATCGAATAGATCATAATTTACTTAGGAAGAACTTTTAATTTGATATTTTTGTATATTCATGATAGAAGTACTTAGATATCCCTATGTAGTAAATAAAAATACAATTCAAATATGTACAAATTGATACTACCGCCATAATATTCACCTTGGACACACGCGATCAAATCTGTACTCCCCGGCACAGAGCTGACGAGAGTTGCTGTAGGAATATCCTAATTCGTGAAGTTTTTTTACAAGTAACGCTACTTTTCTGAAACAATAGAACAACATACGCTAAACAATATATAAATTAACTGACTACTGGTCTGTTACTAAGCTCTAATAAAGATGTGTAATTTTGTTTTACAGGTATGTTGCAAACTCTTTGCACATTTTTAGATATTTATCATATTTTTTATTGACACTTTTGTCTTTCTACTGTTTGTACCTTAAGTATTTATCATTTTCTATCCATTGTTTGATTTATATCACGCATACAGTCCATTCATACTATCGCTCACATTTTGGTAATAAGGCATCAGGAATAAAAACGCTGTATTATGTCTTGTTTCAATTAAGCTGGTTCAATTCAGTTATACAAAATAAATATACAGATTTCTGTAGGTCGCAGGGCTACATGTATAAATACCTAAGTAAGTACACAAAATAAATAAGCAAATGAGCGATAACAGTTACAAACGCTCATCGCACGCTGTTATCAAGTTGTGATCTATCAAACTTACTTGGCCTTGAAGGTGTTCACCCAACCCGTGACAGTTTCTTTATTAACGCACGCCGATATACGTTCCTCACGCAAATGAAGTGGCAGTAGATCGGATAATCTAAAATAGTAAATAATGAAAACATTAATATCCTATAACGTTCCCAACGTTCCCCATAAAGAAAGACATATTTACATAAAAACTAGAACATTATATAGACAATATAATTGTAGAAGCAAGCAATAGAGAGAAAAAGTACTTTATGAGCATTCAACAGCCGAGATTACAAATACGATTTTATTTCTTGAACAGAAATTTTTATGCAATATAAATTAAATTTTTGATTGAAGAAATTGGCTTTAGATAGGTATAAAGTTTTTACTATTTTAGTTAAAGAACTCTAACCTATATTTAGAAACTTAACAAAGTTACATTTCTAATTTGACTATCAAAATCCAAATAGGTATTTATATTTATTCATATAGGTCTATTTATTACAGACTCTTATGATATGTCAAATCTACAGTCAGTTCGGAGTGCTTTCGACCTAAGAATACTCATCATGGACAATCTCTTATTCTTTTCAAAAGAGCTTGTACATTATTACTTAAATACAGATTCGGTTTCTATTAATTTAGGAAGAATATAGTGACCACCAGCATATGCTTTTGCATCTTTGTGAAACGGAAATAATGTAATCAGCGGCCGTAGCCCGACCATACCAGTCCCCACAAGCGTAGTTTGTATAAACCTAAATTGCATCGCCTTTGTAAAGTGCTGAGAAGTAATTAATGTAATTACTTACGAAAATGCTTTATTCTTGATCCGTATCCTCGCGATGGCAGCGGCAAAGTGCACTCTTTGGTTCCAAATGGTACGTTCGATTTCTATATATGGCGATCCAAATTTATTCAATAGATGCGTAGCTCTTTCCATTTCTGCCCTTGTTCGGGCGCCCCAACGTCTTCTGGCGAGTTCCATTAGAAATAACCATACCATGTGTCGATAGTTTACCAACTGAAAAAAAAATTTCGTATAAAGTAATTTTATGTACAACGAAGTTGAATGTTGATATTAATTGGCTATCCTTACACTGAATTTTCTCGCTTGCAACACTAATGCTTTTAGAATTATTATAACATTAACTTCTTGATTCACAAATACAATAATTTCAGAGGCATTACCTTACGCCTTTCTAACCAGAATACAGCAATAAAATTTTGAAACAGATATAACTCTTGTCTTCCTCAGAGATATTAGATTATCTATTACAAATTTTAGAAAATTAGTAATTATACTTGCCGTATTGCATTAATAATTGTCCAATCCGACTACTCTTTAGTAAATTACTTAACACCTTACTTGAAATGACTAGAGTTTTGAATCGTGAACCTTATCATTCCACGCTAACATATAAGGCGCCTCAGTTGAAGGCTTCGGCGCTACGATTGGTGGTGGATTATAATGATTAATCGGATCCACTTTAACGACCCCGAAAGCTACGAATTCCGATTCCTTTCGTTCACCGAAATAGCCTGTCATAAATATAAAGCTTATTTTTCGTGAGCTGAGCATCTTTAACATTTGAAAAAGAAATGGTTTCGGTCACGAGATTGGTATAATGCGAGTTAGATAGGGCCATATTTTATTTTTATCTTGTCGAACCTACCCTAACTGAATGTTATAGCGATTTCATTAGCTTTCTAATCATATGCAACCTTGATACCGGTTCAAGAATAAAAATACCATCAATTTTACAAGTTCAAGAACGTAATTACAATGGCTTAAAAGATACCTTTGTTAGTTTTCAAAGTTTCGATAGCTATTACTTTTTATAGCAATAACTCAAAATATCTTTAAAAGTTTATAAATATTTGGGAAATAAAATATCCTTTCTTGCTAATCATGTATACGAATTTGAATGATTTGATTTTTGTAATCCTTATTAATATTATAAATGCGAAATTAACTCTGTCTCACTTTCACGGCAAAACTACTATACCGATTTCAATTAAATTTGGTACACCATATAGTCTAGACCCTGAGAAAAGACAAGCTTCTTTTGCCAAAAAACGGTTGTAAGGGATTGAAAGGAGAGATGAAGGGTGGTACAGCAACATCATTTTTAAAGCTAGAGACTTGAAATTTATTTTTTAGACTATTGATTACATACATCACAATATTATCTAATATAATAAATGTGAAAGTAATGTCTGTCGGTCAGTCTCGCCTTCACGGCAAAACTACTGAACCAATTTAAATGAAGTTCGGTACACAGATAGTCTAGACTCAGTGATCATAAGGTTAGTTATTATATCATAAATGTGTATGAAAACATTTCTTAAAATGGGTCATGTTATTGTAATTAATCTCTCAGCTCTGTGTATACACTTACCTCTGGAAAGTTACCGAAGAAATCAACATCTTCAATTGCCTGTTCTAATATTGTTTTATCTGAAAATAAGATAGAATATATATAAAACACTCGTCATAAAATGATGATTATATATATTGACAAGTGTTTATGTTTGTTTATTCACAAGTGTGTAAACTTATGAGTTAAGCTCAGAATAAATAAATCACTATTATTTATTTGGGAAATTTTCATGATACGATCATGAAAATTTTATTGTTTTTTTAACATGCGTAGGTTTTTTTAGGTAGGCACAGTACGTAAACAAAGGCACTAGGTATACTTTACATTGCGTGATAAAAAAGATCACATGAAAAAAAACAGACACGACTGAAGTGCTGAATATAATGAATAGTAAACAGGTCACAAATAAAAATAAGGCACGTTTCTATTGCAGTATTCTGTCGATGACAGACAAGTTATGGAGACAATTTTTATAATATATTATCAACATGCAAGTGGGTGTATCATTCTTGTTTCATGTTGATATTACCAATATTACCTACAGTTATAGATTCATCTGTACTTACATAATATTCCTACTCATAGTGTAACAAACATATACTTCGCAATAAATGATTTGAGAGAAACATTAATTAAAATCTTTCAGATGACAGTATTTACAGACAAATAACCAAAAAAAAAACTACTAAAATAAAATTAAGTAACAAAAGAGAATAAAATTACCCGCAAGTGCAACATTATTACAATAACCGCGTGGAGGTCAACCTGAAACGGTACATTGCTAGCAATAAGATCATCAGTCCACATTACTAACAATCCCCTTTTCCCCACACAAAGTTGTGATGGTGTATTATTATAATTCGGAAGTGATTTGAAATTTAGACAGACATTACTGATCTACCATGAATCAACATGAGTTATCGTTATTAGTTAGGGAATGGTAAAAGTTTTCGGGTGTTCATTTATCGCGACAAATAATCGCGTAGGCTTCGTGAAAGCTTAAGTTAAACACTGCCGTAGAACGATAGTAAACTAGTTTCGGTAGTGGCGTGAGGTAATTTACAGCTTGTGGTACAACACTAGGGTTACCATACGCACATGAATATAGGACATGTATGAAAATTAAAAGTATAATAAATCAAATCACATGAATGTAGCTATAATCTTACAGTTTAATTTTTCACTTAGTTTAATTACTAAATTTTATAACCACCAACGAATGGTCGAAAAAATATTTAAAATATTACAGATACTAAATGCCCGTTATACATATGTAACATAAATTAAAAGATGAATCTATAAAAGAACACTGCATCTATTAGGTACAGATATATAATTGGTTTCTTGATTGTGATATTAATATTAAGACGTAACGGTAAGTATTGAAATTCATTTTACACTAGTAAACACCTACGAATTAGACTGATGGTAACCCTATTGGCAGCTCTACTTTTGTATCAGTTTCGTGACCGGCTTCATATAAAATGAGTTTTTAGGAGACACCTATTAAATATATCGTTCTTTGATACTTCACGATTTATAGTACAAAAATATATTCACACGTACTTGTAAAATAGTATCGAAATCGTTAAAACAAACTGTTTTGGTCCTTTGGATGGGATTGTTTTATGGAAAGAATTTATATGATGATTCCCTGAGTTTTCATTGTTCAAACCATTGATAGAAGATATAATAAGCTTCATCTTTAGACATTATCTGTATATAATAAAATCATGGCGAGGCGAAAACTGTCTGTTGGTGTTATAAGTGAAAAGGGCTAGTGGAATTATGATATTTTTTTACAGAACCTACCTAAAATATACCCCAATCTATTTCTATTTCTATTTCTATGGCTATGCTATAAAAAATATAGATGTGTAAGAAGTAGCTAGTAGCAATAGTTAAAATATCGTTGAAATGGTTTACTTACATTACATATTTTTAAATAAATCCGGCTGTTTATGTAATGAAATCAAGTGTAGTTCTACATACGCGTATAGTAATATATCTATGTAGAATTAGTCCCTATGTGAAAAATTAGAATTCCTGATAATTCAAATAAAAATTTAAAACTTACATCGAAAAACATCGTAGATGACAGAGTAGACGCATCTCATTTCCTGTTCATCCACAAAGTCCACCTTTACCGGCGGTTTGCGCAGCAGATGACCTGCTTTCAGAACCTAAAGAATTTCATAGTATTGTATATAAATTTAATAGGTATTACCATATATTATATATAGGTACATATTTAGGTAACAGCTTAACGTGTGTAAATTTAGTGTTACAATACATCCAAAAATATTTGGTTGCTTTAACAAAAACTGAGATCTGTAAGACTGTGTAATCTTTTTATTCTAGTAGAAACATATACTATAATAATATAAACGATAACGCTTTATGAAAATACTTACTCTACAAAGGGCGATAAGGTATCCCTTTACGATTTTATCACAAGAAGTTAAACGTGTTAAGCGAAAAATATCTAACTGTTGAGCTTTTTCGTACGATTAAGATAAGTGAAAACTTATATTTCTGGGGCACATGCAGTGATGGTAGATATAAAGTTTTGCAATTTATACTGATGAAGGCGGCGAGGTAAATAGGTTAGCGTTCCTATAACCTGGGCTATGGTATGTTATCTGTGGCCATACCATACACCTAGAATGTGCGTCCATTACATTTTCGCTTTGTGTAACTTTCTTTTTTTATTAACTACAAGATTATAAAAATAATAAAATAATTTTATAAATAATAAAATAATTATAAAATATAAAATGATAATATTAGAATTAAGTTTAAAAGTATACCTACCAACATAATTATAGCAGTTATAATTACAGTCAATAGTTATACACACTCAATTCATCTTTTATAAACGTATAAAAAATTACAATAAATAGGAAAATCTATAATTAAATCCATAATAAATATATCTGTATATGGTTCGGTAATAGATATACCTACATAATACAGTGATGAACTGTTTGGTAAGTCTGTTCAAAGAACTAATTACCAATTTAATAGAACCAGTGTTGCATATGTGATTAAATTTCGATCACGGATAGAAAAGAAAAAAAGTAACGGAATGTAGGACGATTACCTGCCCGATGTCCCACGCTGGTCCTGGAGTAGTTTTGACAGCGACCGGTGGTGGCGCATTGGGATTCTTGATAGAAGCCACCAGGTTCCACGGTGCCCACTCCTCCGGAGGTTCTTCCATAGGTTTTTGGGGTTTATCATCATTCTCCTCCCTGGGAATTAAAATTTTAAAAAAGGTAGAGCAGGTTTGACTAACAAATTGCAACTATTACTTCGTGCAATAAAATTATTAAAACTACTTGATTATCATTTTATTATAGGGAAGAATATTGAAATAAAAATGTAGGAAGGTTATTTTATGATTACTTCTAATAATAATAAATTAGATAAAAAATAAACCTTAAATCGTATTCTTTATTTTGGATATACATTCCATCCAATCAAGTAATTAATAAATCCATCGTAAATCAAACGTAATCAATATTTATATTGTACCCATTTAATTTGTTTTAAATATCTATCGATTGAATACAATAATAGTCAGTCAATAATTGTTAAAAACAGTTAAGAAAGTCAAATATGTACATAAAACTTGCGTAAAATAATTAATTGTTTATGTGATAAGTGACATTTTGCACTCTTGGCTGAAATTGACCGTACAAAAACGAAATATTATTCTATACAAAAACGAAATATTAAAAAATATTCTATAAAAATGTTAATGTATTTTGGCCAGTATCGATATATTATTCGGAACGTTTTGTATTTATAACCATAGACTTGTGTGTCTGTTAATAAAATCTCTTGAAGTTTGAGTAATTTATACTCGTATATTAATATGCAAAGCGAAAACTTTGTACCCCGTTTTACGAAAATTGCATGAGTGAGCATGGAGTTCGCACATAGTTCATATATAAAAAAGTGAAGATGAAATATTTTTTAAAATTATGCATAAAAATACACTAAATCTATTACTAGCACGTATTTGATACAGACACGCATATATACCTATTAGATTTTTTTTGTTATTGCTAGTACAAAGATCATTAGATAATGTATTTTTATTATGGTCGAATAGCGACCACTAGTTAAACATAAATACTTATATTTATGTTTAACTAGTGGTATCAATTTTCATTAAAAAGGTGGCTCTACAATAAGTTTCTATTAATGAGCAAGATAAATAAACAAAAAGTTTCTATACTAAGTAATATTTTCAACCTTGAATAAGATATTATTTTAACTGGGAATCGATTCAAGTGAAATATCTTCAAGTCACATTTCAAGGCGAAAGCTATTGTAACAGAGAAAAATGACAAGATCAACCTGATCCATTGACATTGGCATGCTTAGTAAGTAGGTATAATAAAATTGACTACTATAATTATGTTGTGGTAGAATTACTACTTTATTGGAGTTCCTTCTAGGGTCCCAGCTTCTACTACATTTGCCACATGGGCTAAATGATCTACCATCCCTACCTCCTTCACGGGTGGGGAATGCATTCTCGGTATGTATTCCACTTCATATTCATTATTTTTCTTGTGCTTCTAGGGAAGTGGGTTATTATGAATAAATAATTTGAACTTATGGTTGCATTCCTAAAAAAGTATCGTAGTTAGAAATTGATTGTATACCATCTTCTTATCTATACTCTATACTAGGGTTCATTCCCGGGAATTCTCGGTTCGAGAATTCCCGGGAAATTCATGGGTTTTGTTCCCGGGAAATCAAGCTCGAGAAAAGTCGAGAACTCGAGAAATCATGTACCTATATAGATATTAAATTGCCCTTTGTTTTGTTGCGTGGCGGCGCAATAATTTAAGATATTAACGTTTTTGTTTTCTTTCATGTTATTTTTTTATTTTGTAGTCACTATTTTTGTTTACGTTGTTTTTATTTTCTAAATAAGCAGCCAAAAATGGTGCTGTCATTATAAATATATAATATATGTCATTATAAATAAGTCTAATTATAAGAACAATTAGGTCCTGAAAAATTTAAATTGGCGTTTTGTAAGGGAATAAATAACCTGAAGTATTTTTTTTTCAAAATATAATATATTTATTTAATCTAGGTACATAGGTACCATTTCTATTTATGCACTTTTGCCTTTTGTTTTTGCACTTTGGACTGCCCCATCGGAGTTTAATTTTTTCCCCTTGCAAGAAGTTATTAAAATTACTTAGTAAATTTTGAAAAAAATGGTAATCTGTTGGAGCAAGGTCCGGGAAGTACGGTGGTTGTCTTAGACATTCCAACTGAAGCTCTTCTAATTTGGTAACTGTCTGTTGTGCAGTATGTGGTCAAGCGTTCTTGGCGTTTGACCAGCCTCGGTTGTTTAGCAGCTAGCTTTTCCATCATGGTTTCTCAATTGCTGACAATACACATTGCCGAAGTGAACAACACCGGAAATAGTCCACCAAACGTTCACAAGTAACATTTGTTGAGCCAATTTTCGCTTGGGGCAGGATTTTGATGATTTTATGATGATTTTATTTAAAATCCCTTCATTATTATGCCGGTTGACTAATGTAACGCAGCAAGCTACGCGCGTTTGTCGATTTACTCCATTGAATTCTTGAGGGACCCACTTTTCAAGCTTTCTCACCTTCCCAATTTGCTAAAGGATTAAAACAGTTTTGTCACTAACACCGCAGCCTGCAGCTAACTCGGACGGGTTTGCGATGAATCCGCTTCCACAATAGCCTTCAATTCTTCATTATCAACCTTGGATTCCGGCCGACCACCGAGATTGCTTTGCATTTTTTTTTTTCGGACTACTCCGATGGTGTTGCCCGTAGCTGGCCTTTACAGCTTCACCGGACGTTAGGAGGCGAGTGCAGATGATACTCCAAACCCGCGGAAGGACTTGCGCGCACAGCCGCGGAAGCGGCTGAAGGCCAACTCTTGCCTGACGGATACGACTTTAGTCTGAGGGCACCACTAGGGGTTCGAATCTCGGCTCGGGCCGTTGTAATTTCGATCCCCGTTTGAATTGGGGATCGATCGAAGGGGCGCCGGTGTGGAGCGCACAGGCGCCCGGTATGCGCGATATTGTGTCTTTGAGGTCGTCGTCTTCGCCGGTGAGGACGGTGTCGTGTGTATGTGTAAGTGTGGTCGGAGTAGAACGGGTGGGCCCGTGGAGAAGTTACCTGCCGTTATGGGGTCGTCGGAGTCAATGAGAACGTGCCTCGGGCGACGTTGTCGCGTATGTCTGATATTACTCCTTGGTGCGTAGTTGACCGCACTGACTATAAGCGGGTTAGGGTGGGATTGGGCAGAGTCGCTTCCTTCATAAACTGCTTGATGGAGGGCAGATTAAGATCGCGGTGGAGGTCTACGCTGCGAACGAACCACGGCGCACCGGTGGCTCGACGCAGAAACCTATTCTGTATGATTTGTAGTCGGTTGATTAAACAGTAGGGTATGTGGGCGAATACGAGACTAGCGTAAGTCATGATGGGACGGATGCAAGCCTTGTATAGTGTCAGCTTGTTGCGAAGCGACATTTTACTGTGCTTGTTAGGCGGCTCGGTCGCGGACATGCTTGATGTGAGGACGAAACGTTAGTTTCCTATCTAGGGTGACGCCGAGGTATTTCGTTTTCGAAACCCTCGGGATGTTTTGGCCGAATAGTTCGATCGGGTGATTCATAGAGTCGAATTCCCTGCTAAAGTACACTGCTGCACTTTTTTCGGGATTGACTTCTATGCGCCACCGACGGAACCATTCGCCCAGTATCGTTATGGCTTTCTGAAGCCGTCTGGCTATTGTCGCACGGGACTTGGCGGATGTAAAGAGAGCCGGTGTCATCGGCAAACAGCGATATTTCGACTTTTAAGTCGGAGAATTTAGGGATGTCGTTGGTGTACAACGAGTAGATGAGTGACCCAAAGTGAATAGCTGTATAAATTTGGAAATGGAATTCCTAAAAAAGAGGAGATATTTGAGATCAAAGTGGCCAGTACGACAAAACGCCAATTTCATATGTAAGGACCTAATATTATATCTCTATTTAAAAAAAAAATAATTTATTCATAATATTAATGTTTTTAAATATACTCAATAAAAGTTTAATTTGATACTTTTATTTGAGAGGAAAATCACTGAATTTTTTGACGTTATTGGAACCAAATAATATGAGAAAACGTACGTAAATGTAAATTTCTCGACAACCCGAGAAGACCCGAGAAATTGACCTCGAGAATTCTCGAGACCCGAGAAATTGAAAAGCTCGAGAAATCATGAACCCTACTCTATACATATAAATAAACTTGGAGTGTCTGTTTGTAATATTGAAATAACCGTCTTTTACTATATGCATATGAATATAAATACGATACATAAACCAAAATACCATTTTTTACAATTTTTGTCTGTCTGTCTGTCCGTCTGATCTTTGAAATGGCTGGATTTTGACGGGATTTTTTTTTGGTAGGTAGCTAATGTAATATGGAGTAACTTAGGCTACTTTTATTTTAGAAAAAATAATGTTAAATTCCACACGGACGGAGTCGCGGGAACAGCTAGTTGTACAATAAAGATGCTTAGATATATTTTACTTTATTTGTTACGGAACCATGATTTTAGTCCAGACAACCAAACCTAGGAATTTGTATTTAATCAGTAATTTTGTATGTAATCACACATTAACATTTATGTCTAGTGTATTTATGCTTAGATAAATATTACCTACGTTATATGCTCGGAACCCTCTCTGGGAGAGTTCAAATCAAACATTTCTTTTATTGTACAACAACCTGGCTCGGCTTCGCATGGGAATATATTATAAACCTTCCTCTTGAATTCCTCTATTTATTGCTAAAAACTGCATTAAAATCCGTTGTGTAGTTTAAAAGATCTATGCTAACAGACAGCGGAAGCGAATTCATTTTATACTACGTAAAGATTATAAATAGGAAATTTAAAAGGACTCTTTTATTTTCTTGCCTTTGTGAACAGAAGAGGCGTTACATAAAAGCAGAGAGGTTTATATATTGATTATATGTATGTAATGACGTGAGCACAAAATGTGTTGTGTATATAAGTATTCAGTAATAGGCGGGTCACGGTCGTCCCAATGTTTCCACATGTTACGTAGGCTTACAGGTCAGACTATCTATCATACATTATTTTTAGGTAGACGTACGTCGTGTGCTACGTAAATTAAGTTTAGGTATTGGTTTAACGGAACTTTTTATGTAGTATGTATTTATATGACGAAGCAGATATTTTCAATATTCATTGCGGTTTTAAATGCCAAGGTACCTTCTAGGCACTTAACGAATAATCATGAAATTTGGCATATAACTACGTAGCATCTATAATGAAGAAGGATATATTTACATTTTATCCCAGTAAATTGTTATAGTGCGGATGAAGCTATGTGAAAAGCTAAGAGACCAACATTTACTAATAAAATCTATTGATTGAAAATCTTTTCAAACTTGTGTAAGACATCGTGGGACACGGTAAAAATTATTTTGGTCTTTTTCAATTACTAACATTTCCAATTCCAATGTTTTCTGCATTTCGACGAGAAGAAAGTATTGGTGTAGTCTCCATTCTCTGTCGCTTGGCAGCACCAGTTTTTCCGCTTCACTGGTATCACCTTCTTGTCTCCCTGCTTCCTCTTGCAGCAACAGCTGTGCCAGCACCTTGGGATAAACGTTGAAGAGGTTTCCATCGCTGCATTCACTGAGCGCCACCCATAAAGTGTTAGGGTCGTATTTATATGACATATTTTGAACATTTCAAAGATATAGTGAATATTTCGTCGGTGTTATTGTAATTGTGAAGATTCCATTGGTTATATTAAATATATTATTAATTGGTAGATATACTTTTTATGTACTTATGATACAAAATAGTCGTTAGTATTCTCATATCTTTATCTTTGTGTTTGTATACGTTTATCCGAGAAATGTCTAAATTTGAAGGAGGTGAAGTCCAAATTAAAATGATGAATTTTAGCTAATTTCCCTAACGTTTAATATTAGCTTTACTCCATTCTGTCCACAAACAAAACAGTTAATATTTCTAAAATGTACGAAGTCGCGGGCTTAGTTAGTGTATTTCTAAGTTACTGGTGTACGGCCGCACTAGGAGGCGTTTCATTGAGAGACACCCGCCAACTGAGCGATTCCGCGAACTTCAAACTCGAATAAGCCATGACTTGTTGCTGTGTCAGCTGTTTTATTTTATTCTGTAAATAGGTTCCTGAAAGTGCCTGCTTGAACTTATAAAACTGTTTTATTGCTTTTCGTGTTAGCTGATCAAAGTAGCAAATAGCCTTGATATAAAATATTGATACGAATAAATATTAGTAATTTATTCGTTCTATATCTTTAATACTTTCAATATCTTTGATTTTATTATGCGAATATAACTGGTCCATATTTTCATATTCCATAATGATCCTATAAAAAACGTACATACCTTTATTATATCATTGTCTTTTGCTAACACCACGTGAAACAAAAACTGAAATAGTTTTAATTAAAACAAAGACAAAGTAAAATAAAAAAGTTTTAGACAATTTTTTGACATTCCCCTACAAATCAATGGTAGCCCTAAAATCAATAACAAAATAATTACAACAAAAATGTCAGATTAATAATAATCTTTAGAAAAATAATGTCCATACAATAAGCAAATAGTACCTAAGTCTACTTATAGAAATTGTAATATCTCATACTATGGAGATTTGGTACTAAAACAGGAAGATGGAACAACTGATGACAGTACAGGAGAGTTACGTGGAACGAAGGCGACTGTTCAAAGACATTTGGGATACGGCCATGAACATTGATGTGAAGGAAGAGGAGTTTCTGAATAAACCGAAAGTTATCAAGTAATAGTTTTTAAACTTCCGAGTCCAGTACACATCTTTTAATATTTGAGAAGTCTCGCTCCTCAACCAACCCTAGCAACCTCAATGTTTTGAGTTATCTAACTAATCAATAATAGTGATTTGGGATCCCATTTATAATGTAAGAAAGTTCTTAACTATTATGGGGTAAGTATTTGAAAATAGACCTCACATAAAACACTGCTAAATAGGGATCTGAGGGGAATATGAGGTCTACTATGTTTGATAGTTTGAATTCACAAAAACAATGGATTATAAAATTACAGATTATTTCAATAGGTACTGTTCTAATAAAGTATATCGGTTTTAGAACACTTCGCTTGGATGAGGTGGACCGTTGCGTCGCAGGAAAAAAGAAGACACAGAAAATAAAGAATTTAAGAACTGTTTGTAATAAGATCCTTGACTTTTGTGACCGGCAGGACGCTGATGACATATTCTATGAACAGGTAACAATTTATCATATAAAAGTTAGTATCTCATTATAGTTTATGTACCTGTACATTTCTTGGTAATATTTCATATTAGTAATAACAATCATTTTAGGATTTTATTTTCTAGACTGCCCGAATTATTGTAATATTTCTGCTTCGCTCCTAACTTATTTATGTGTACTCAGCTCGTAAAGATGTCTCAGCGTGATATTAAATAGCTGATAACTTTAGAAAGTTTAACGCCATCCTATGGAACCAGATATTTCACATCCAAGTGGTAGTATCGAAGATTTAGTTTAAATAATAATGAAAAAAGTCGGATAGATTCATTTGCATTTAATCAGTGTTTCATTTTAGATGGCAGCAGAGCATAATAATGTTCCAGCACAACATAAAATAGAAAACAAACTTAAAAAAAATAAACCTACTCGTATAAGGAAGAAGGTAAAAATAACAAAAAGTTTGTTTTCATCTGGTAAAAACTTAACGCAACCAAGAGCCGCGACATCGGAAAGAAAAGAAGAATTTAGCGCTGACTACGGCAATAAAACTTCTAGAAATACGTCACCTATCAAATTTCGACATGCGATAGTCTTCAAAAAGCCGCTTCTGCCAGCGAAAAATGTTCCTAAATCAATAACGGGCCCTGCGAATAAAAACACAACATTACTTTACCCGTTTGGAGATACAAGTAGTCTTAATAAAGCAGGAAATAAAAAAAATAGCAGACATAAAAAGATATTGAATATCAAATTATCAACTCCTACAGGAAAATTACAATAGTTATGTTTATTCGTAGCAACCAATTTAACTAACAAATTAATAAATGCTATATCTCCTCAATCCCAATCCCAATTTTATATTTTTTTATTTGTACATCGACGAGTAAAAATAAGTATGTGGAGCTTATGCAGCTGTATTATTATAGTGATAAAAATTTTGGGATTTATTTATTATTACGTATAATTTATTCTTAGAAGCAACAATTTTTTTAAATGCTGCCGCCTATACTCGGTCTTGTAATTAAAAAAAAAAACAGGAAGTGACGCGTGGTATAGAACAAAAATAGTAGCCAAGTTCTATCATTTGATTGGTTTTGCTTTTTACAAGACAAACTTAATATTGAGAATGTAATAGACATTAATTGTAGGAAATAAATTTATGAAAACATTTCAAAATAAATTATTTTTTTATTAATATTATTAAACCTGATAAAAGGCTAAATACAAGATGTAACAACAAATATAATATAAGTTGATGTGTTATATCGAACTTGAAGAATGTTTTAGATTTAATCGTAGTGGTTACTTGCTTAGTGCATTTAGTGACATTCTATTGGGTAAATAATAAATCTGGTGCTGTCATGTTGACGTTGTCAGCTGACATTGACAGAACATATGTGCTATTTTTTATTTATCTGTACTAAATCATATGCTGACATTTTGATTTTGATATTTGTTAATTAAAATATTCTGATTACGATGACTCCATAAAGTCCCTATGGGGATTGAATCAGATAATATAAAACCCCAATTTAAAAGAATCTTAGAATGTGAAATACTCAGAGTAATAAGTTTAATCGGAAGTATTGTGTTGTAGGTAAGGTTTTGTTTGAATAGCGTTTGTTTTGTATTTTGCTGCATATCAAAGAAAGTTTTTGTGTATTACGTTATGTGTATTTTATATGAGTGTGTTTACTGTTTTAATTCCCACGATCATTTACGCTCGTTGTAGACGGATATTAAGGAGCAAATGATGTCGGAATACGATCTGCAGTTCCAAGCTGATTTGGAGAAGGCACAAGCTCTGAGTTTAGAAAGTCTAGCTTTGGAACAGTTTCGTCGGCAGAAGCAACTATCGAACGCAGGTAACTGACGTAACTTTGTTTAATGAGAGATAACAAGTGGCTCACTCTTCAAATATTCCATAACTACGCTTCTTTGTTTGATGAGCATACAAAATATATCTACACATGCTTTAAGATCAACATTAAATTCAGATCTACAATATACTTTAGTACCAATGAGTGCACAATATAAAATATTAAAAATAAGTTACATATTTCTAATTATACTGTTTACTTAATAATATGAATTTTATGTGTTAATGTCAGTCGGAGCATATATCCACCCTCAGTCTATGTTTGTGCCTGTTTCTATTGGTTTAACTGCATTTCTAAATTTAATTATGAATTTTAAAGACCATAAAAATGTTATTATACAATATTTTAAAACAAATTCTGTCCATTAATATACCTTAAGAATACTCATTAACTTTATTTGGTAATTAATAATGATGTAAATACCATTAAATGTATTATTACAATAAAAATATTGCGAGTAACAATAAATGGACATGATTAAACAACGTAATAACTCTGTTTCACTACCACATTAAGCTCAATTGATATGTATCAACAGAAATTAGGGAGCATCATCATTTTAACGATACATATTGAATGATGCTATCAAAGTGGAAGGAAGCAGAGGTTGTTAACCTGTTACAACAAAATAGAGCATTGGTTAATGAAACTGCAATCAGTTTGGGTTCTATATCTGTTTTGTTGTGGACAGTTATGTCATTGAAATGTAATTTATTGTAATTATTCTATTTTCTACTAATGTTTTAAATGTGAAAGTTTGATATAATTACTTACTTTGATATAAGTTGTAATAAATGTAGTACAGGTGGCAACAGCAGAATGTCTTTTCTAGTTAAAATAAGCCACCTATCAATCTTTTATGTATTGCTTAGTGTATAGTTGTCACCAACTTAATAGAATAAACAAAAAATATAACAGTCAAAAATGTATATAAAAAAATGTGTCAAATTAAGATAATATTACAAAAAGAGGTTTGTCACCAACAAAATGATTATGGAATCATGCTGTCCTGATGGTGCTACATACACCACATTGACCACATGCTAGCAGGCAGTGGAGGATGACATGATGAAAATGAGGTTAGCTCAGTTAGTACATCATGATAAAGTCACAAAGAATATATCATGGTAGTTTCCAAGGGGAACCATGTGGACATGGTAACAAATAACTTTTGTTCTACAACTTTCCTTGAAACCATATAATTTTCTGAGATATTTGGTTCAAAGTTCTTATATTAAAATATAATGACAACAAAAATCACAGCTCTAACATCAGCTGTTAGCCCTATCATAATACGAAAATTTATAATGATATTATGAATATAAAATTTTTATTTATGAAAATTGTAGGCATGCTTTTTTTTGTTAGTATTGGCACCATACTTACCATTCCCCGAAATAAGAAGTCAGATGTTTTTGATTGAATGCTAAAGGTTTGTAATACTTAAATAAAAATTAATCTTTACTTTTTGTATGAAAAAAAAAAGTTATAGTGCTAGCAGCTTAGTATGCCCTTTCTGACTAATCCTATATATATAGAAAATACAATATAAATAATTCATAGTCATGAATACAATTATTTGCATCAGGTGAAAATAAAATACACTACCATGACTATTAAAATAGCATTATAAACTTTTACACCATGGATTTCATCATGGAAATTATGAAAACTTAAAAGATTCAAGAAACCATTAAATTATAATATGACTATCATAAATTTAATCTATGCATATCAATTACTAACAATGTCAACAGTAACAGCAACAATAAATAAAAATAACTAAATATTTTTTTACTGCATAGTTCACTCCAATGGATAAAATACAATATTGAAATATAAAACTTTGGAGCGGTGATAGGGGTCATAATGTGGTCATTAGTCTCAATTACTAAATACTAGCAATGTATCATGTTAGGTTGAATTTGTGATAAACCATTGTGTTAATTCGTGGTGAATTTGTCAAGATGGGCTAACCGACCTGATCTCATAGCTCATATTATTATCCTCTACTGTTACCCACTAACGTAAACCGTTACTGCAGACAGGAGCACCATTTCATTATCATCAGTAAAAAAGAAACAAACAAACATGCATACATTTTTAAAGAACTCTCGAGAGAATAAATAAAATAATTAATCATTATAATAACAAACTACTTAAGTACATAAGAGACATAATTTATATAGCAATCAATATATTGATGTACTTGCTGTGCACTGTGTGAAATTTATTGCCTATCTTTTATTCTGATGTATAAGGTATATTATTGTAAAGTATCATTAAAATTCATTCAGTCAGTTGCGTGAAAGAGTAACAAACGTCCATCCATCCATCCATCCATCCATCCATCCATCCAACCACACTTATAAACTTTCACGTTTATAGTATTAGTAAGATTTTATTATAATAATAATTGTCATATTTTTTGAACTCATTCTATTGCTCTCAAATTTTTCAATATAACAGCGATAATAATGAGGATTTACACATGCACTGTGTAGGCTAGCTAAATGAAGTATAATAGCTCTACAAAGACTGAGGGCGTAAAAAATATAATAGAGTACTTTAAACTGCGAAAAAACACCCGTACTAAAAACAACCGTGAGAAATCACGGTTGTTTTCAATTGTACATTTATATAAGTGCAATAGTAATCGGAAAATATCGGTAACTCATAATCGCGGTAAATATCCCATTTATATTGGATGACTATGTTTATCGTACGAAAAAATATGGCATAATAGGTAGTTATATGAGACGAGGAAATTGAGATTAAAACTTAAAAATGTTTTTCGTTACTTTGTTGATTTGACGGAAGGTTTATTCATTATTTAATGAGTACTCAGTGCCTAATAAATATGTAAAAATAATAATTTAACTTATTTTTTTCGCTATTAATCGATAAAAAGTCTATACCTTTCGTCTCTAGTCGCCCTATTCGACTAAATTATTATTATTATTAATATTTATATATAATATATTATTATATTTAAACGTTATTTGTAAGTGTATAGCATAGCGTAATTAGATAAAGTACGCCATTCCATACTAATGATGTGGAGGGTTGAACTTTTTACTACATTTTCAGAGATAATTAAAATCTTAGGACGTTTAGGATTTATTGTTAATAGTAGTTTGACCATATATACTTTATTTAGCTTATATACCCATATTTAGCTTATACAACTACTATTAATCAATCAAGTCATCCGGTATATTGTGTACAATTATAACTATGACAGACATAAATCTTTATAAATATGTAAAATTGAAGTGTCTGGTTGGTAAATGAAAATTAACAGCGTTTCACTAAATGCGTATGAAAATATATAAGGTACTTCTACCTACTTACATAAAAAAAATCTCTCTGTAAGCTAATGTTATAAAGAGTAAATTATATCTATTTTTATTTTAGAAATTTAATTTTATAATCCACGTAATTAATAAACGCTAGTAAATTAAATGTCAAACAACTTTGTTAGTCATAAGATAGTCTTTATTTTTAGTCTTTATTTGTTGAGTAAAATCTATCACTAACTTATCAATTCCTTATCAGTAGATAATGCCCATGAGATTGGAGCGACTAGTGCGCAACGACGTGACGAGAGCGAAGGACCGCCGCCAGCACTTCCGCCGCCGCCTAGGAAGACGTCCAGAGGACGCACGCCTTCGCATGATACCTCCAGGTAATAATTATTACTAATGGTCGATATTCGACCATATTTATTTAAATTATAAGTTTCATTATTAATGTTCTATTGTCAAAGACTATGACTTCTATAGTTACAGGCACTGGTAGTCTGGTAGACAGTAGTGTGTGTATCAAATACTCGTATTGTGTGTAATTTTGTTTATTGATAGTTGTATTTATAATTTAGAAATGCTTAATTAATAACTAGCATTATTCACTCATTTAAATTTCGTAATTAAGGGTACAACGTTTTTGTTTCACGTATCAATATAATGATTAATATGAACGAATATTGTCATAAATTCTTTGTGTGTAAAATCATGGTAGTGTAATGTTTTTTTTTATTATTTATTCAGCATTATTATAAATAGAAATAGTTTTCTGTGGTCCTTCAAATAAAACATTAAATGTACGAAATTTCAACTACATTAAAATATTATAATAAGTGATACATAATAATAATTAATATTATATATACACGAAATGTTTAATAATGCTTCATGTTTTATATTTAATAAATATCGTTTTCTCAGTTAATATGTTTTTATATACAATAAGTTCACGTCACATATGATCGTCGTTATAAACATAAACCCGTACACCATAAAAGAACTAATTAACAACCCAACAAATCTATTATAGTTGGTCTATTGAAGTTTAAATATATATTAATGACCTTATAATATTAAGTGTGATAACTACTACAATAAAATTTTAAAATATAAATAAAATGATGTACATAGTTGGTTATCTCTGAGTATATGTTTATATTACAATCTTTTCATTATCTTATAAATAAATTGTAATAGATAAATTAGGTTTCATTTAAACTCTGCTATCATTTCACATTTATGTTTTTGATGGGATATCATTACTTTTTGTACACAAATTATACGAGGTACTTATTTATAACTAAATTAATACCAAATTATTTTTGATAAACTACTGTATTTTCGTATGTTTTCGGGGTATATGATATTTCGACTATACTCTTAGTTATAAGTACGAGTATATTTTAGACAGAATCTAAATTATAGCAACTTGTGTTTACCGCTCAATGCAATATTTGAAGTTTGCTAGTTATCCACACTGATATGAAGGGGTTAACGTAAATTGGTAAAGATCGACGTTTTCATACAATATTACTTTCCGTCCAGTACAAGATGAGCTATATCTGCCAGGGATCAATGTTCATTGGTGGCTATCGATGTTTTCATAGAATTTTAGTATTCGTCCAATATAAGTAGAAATAGAATCAATTAAAATGAAAAATTATAATCAAATGATAACAATTTACCAGTTTCATTTTTTCCTTTATATTCACCTAATTACCTGTCTCCATGCCAAATTTGAACTTCCTAGGTCATCTGGAAGTGGGTTATAATTTTGATCTATAGTTGATCAGTGATAAAAATGACAATATTTGGACGTTAATATCTAAATAACCGTTTGAGATATGTTTATGAAATTTGGAACACATATTTATCTCGCAAGTTTCAATATATGAACCAAATTTGACAGGTTTATGTGAAAGAGTTTTTGAGTTATGAGGGGGTCAAAAGTGGCTCCAAATGGTTCGTGTAAATATACACACGGTGCTGCTCGTCAGTTTTCTTACTTGAAACTCGGCTTGACACGTTACCGCGTGTCTAGATAGTTTGATTCTCGTCAATTTACATTTCTGAGTGACTCACGAGGAGGAAACTTCGATAACAAACCAAAATCAATCCGAGTTGCCGGTAGGTTTGTGTCACATTGGATTGAAGTCGATATTGAGTAAAATGTAAAGTATTTACCTTCACAATTAAGTGTATAGTTGACTATGCCCCTGACTACTTTGAATATCAGTCGTGTTATTGGTATAACAACATTCGCTAGTAACAAATAGGCTACAACATATTTTTTTATACTGTGTATAATAGTTTAGTACTTGAATAGCGATTAATTACCTAGATAGACTTTGTACAAAGTGGTGTAACATCTAAGTCTGTCTCACCTATTGCGTCAGACTAACTGCTTTAACACGTTAAAGACCGCATGCCCACCGGTGGGTCACTCCGCAACGACAGTAAATTTACACGTTGGGACCGGGTGATCTCCCGGGGGCACTTTAATTGAAATAAATCTGAAATAATATAATGTATAACTCAAATTATTGTATACTAAAAAATGATAAAAAAATAATATAATGTAATTTCTTATTGTTTAATAAGAAATGCCGTCCCTATGAGATATAAGATTTTTCAATGCGGTCTTCAACGTGTTACGTAATACATGTTTCAGTTGAATGGCGTGAAATTACAGGATGCAGAGAGATGTCATTTCAGTTTTCATAATGGTGACGCATGAGTGGTACTAGGGTCGTCAGATTTGAAGTGATCTCTGGGATGCTATTTGTATATATAACCGTTGCCACTTATCATCTTGTGGGCAACTTGATTACCAGTCTATTAATATTAGTCTATATAACACGACAGAATAAAATACAATAATTATATAAACAATTAATAGTTTAATACTTAAAGGTATGCACGCTTATTTTTTTTTTTGGGTAATAAATTAGTTGTAGCAGGGGCACACTTAATTTGCATTTGTTGCAAGGGTGCCAACTTAGTTTGCATTTGTCCAGAACATCATTGCGAAGTTAAACTAACTCGTACTTTAACATGTTTTTTTTGTATGAAGGTCTATTTCATATTATAAGTATGTATGTATAATAATAATTACTCTGGACAGTTAACACAGTGCCATCTAGTCCCAGTAAGCAGAGCTTGTGTTGTGGGTACTAGACAACTGATATAAATACTTAGATGTTTTTAAATGCATACATGATATAAAAATGTTTATTCCGTGCGAGGAATCGATCCTGCGACCATACGAAGTAAAGCGGTGTGCTAAACCGCTAGACCACCGTTGACGTCGTGCGTTTCCACTAGCATCCTATATGTGATGTATCCAAAATCTTCTACAAATAAAACTATTATTATTGTTATTATAAAAAAAGATGAAGTTATAAATAAATATTGTATGAATGCAATGTCCAGATCTACGGGAGCCAGCCCAACAAGAAGTGAAAGCAGTGATCTGATATCGTTCTCCAGTCCTACTAGCAAATCAGCGCCCAAAGATGCACACGCCTTACTAAAGGAATACATTGATCAGATTAACAAGTGAGTATGAGTAAGGTTCATATATCTATCTAAACAATAACATGTATTATATGCACTATGTACAGTATACTCCAAAACGGTGTACTTAATGCAGTGATAATATTCATGAAGCTCAAATATATTGTTAAAGAAGCAAAGTAGTAAATTGAAAATATTTTTCATGATTATCTTCCCCCACTGGCACCCCTCTTGTATTATATAGTTAGCACAAGCATGACTACCATTCCATTATCGTCCATAAAATGAATAATCATACAAACAGAACGTCATCTGGTCAATTTACTATGAAAAATACTTTTCATAGTAAATTGATCAGATGACGTTCTGAAAATATTTTTCCGATTTGCACTTTATATCTTTGTTCACTTTCCTGAGTATTTTTTCTTTTGGCTTTACGACTGACCCTTTATAAGTTTAAGGTGAATTCTAGAACAAACTATAAGTCAATAATAGTCATAATTTAATTTTCTCATTACTCATGACTCATCTGTTTCTTCATGTTTTATGCCGAATTTAATATTGTCACCGTCTTTTTTAAATGTTACGACATTGTTTAGCTATTTTTAGTAGGGCATGGGGAAGTAGTGAAATAGGATTTTATTAACTAAAAATTACATGATAATCCTCAAAACGGCAGAGACGCGTTTGCATTCTTCTACCATAACTGCGACGCCTGTGGTATGGCTCCCCGTAACTATGGGGCAGGCCTTTTCTTGTCATTATAAATCATCTATACATCAATACATATAAATAAAATTGGAGTATCTGTTGTAATACTGATATAACCGTTTTTTACGACATGCATATGAATATAAATACGGTTCATACACCAAAAAACCACTTTTTACAATTTTTGTCTGTCTGTCTGTCTGTTTGTTCCGGTTAATCTCTGAAATGTCTCCGATTTTAACGGGACTTTTTTTGGTAAGTAGCTGATGTAATAGGGAGTAACTTAGGATACTTTTATTTTGAAAAATTCTTTTATTTTAGAAAAATACAGTTAAATTCCACGCGGACGAAGTCGCAGGGACGGCTAGTCTTAAGTATTACGTAGAGACATGTGTCATGTGTGTGTATAGGTATAGGCGTTTATTATTCCGTGTTATAAAGGTTGAATTTGAATATAACCAAAAATCTTGTGTCAATGCAAATTCAAATTATACAAGGAATATAAAGTATAAATGATATACTGTTGGAAGGAATAAGTAATAATGCGAAGAAGGGTTGAAAGAGAAGGTTCTTGTGATAAATGATTTGTTCAGTTTCTTGATAAATTATTAATAACTTTATTAAAATTTGTGTTTAGTTTTCAAAAATATTCGATGTACCACTAATACGATTCAGATATAATAATGATGGTCGTTATGAATATTTTGTGGTGAGTTCGGCGTTCGCACTTTAGTGATATAGATAATGTGCTGATAAATTATTATTTTGATAAAAGACGTGTTTTGTTCTGATAGTATATGATATGCTCAGCTATTTCTAATTGCAACGAAACAATTTGTTTGAATAGGTTAGTGATTGTTGTTGTAATAAAGACTTATATATTATAAAAGACTTATAAAGGTTTCTTATTATTTGTGATGGTAATGGTTAGCAAGCCAAGTAACTTATTACATAAATTTTTCCTTTGTTTATAATTTAGACTTTATTATTTACTTTTACACTTGTCAGATATGACTTTTTAAGTGTTATATTTCAATCAGTTTTTTAAGTTAAAAGGCAATGAATGAACTGAAAAGCGTAATAAAATTTGACTTCGTTTTTTGAAGTCTAGTCTCTTAAATTGTTTTATAAGAAATTTCAAATTTATTTAAAGTGTTATCATACTTATCAGAGTGTATTTGTTTTTCCTATCATTTAATTGTATTGAATTAATTGCATGATATACAAAAATAAATAAAATGAAGTTAGTGATATATGTTACTATATATGCTTAAATTAGTTACCTAACTTAGATATAATTTGATAATGTTTTATTAAATACTAATAACTTTAGCCGGGTGCTCATATTTTTTCTAGTTTTGTTTATATTAACATAATATATGCATTCTGATATAATATACCATTCAACTGCGAAAGAATTTTACAAATCAGTGCAGTGGTTCTGGAGTTTATTTTTTCTTCTTACAATCACTCTCTCTATAATACTAGTATAAATGTTCTATTAAGTCTAATCTATCATTGAATTTAAAGTAGGTAGTAATTAAACAACTCTAATCTTCAACTAAAAGCTGCTGATAACTTGAATAAATATATAAATGTTTAGTATCATATGTTTGCTGTACAATCAATAGCGTAACATAACAATGTAATGCAGTTGTAAATGTTTATCGTTTGAAAGACATTGTTTAAAGTCCATTGTAAACATTGTTTAGTTTTTTTAGATGAATAACTAACCTATGTTTGCAGTAGAAATGTCCACCCGCTTGCGCTATCTGTTTGACTGAGAACAGTGGAGAATGATAGAATGAGAATGTAGTAGTACAGATACATTCATATGTAGATGAAGTAGTGAGAATTCACTAGGAATAAACTACTATAATTTCAAAGGGGACCTACTGATTCTCATCCAATATTCAAAATAATTTCCTCACCCCCAACATTGGGTAGTAGGGTTCGTAGTTCTGTCAAATGAATCATATCATAAGGGCAGTTATTCTCTCTTTATAATATTACTATTTTTTACATTGCACTGAATAAAATATTTTTCTTTCTTTCTTTCTTTCTTTCTTTCTAGTTTCGCCATAAGTACTAATATATATAATCGTTTCTTCAATGCAGTTTAGAACTACATACAGAAGAACTCTCATTGAAGTCTTCAGATCAGTCGTCTGGCACAATGAATAACCAAAACTACAATCAAGGACCGGGGTATCGATACCCTCCTCCCTATACGTACAACTACCAATATCCATACAATGCGATGCCTCCCTATCCCACCGTGCCGTATGGAATGCCAACACCTGGGCCAACGCCTGGGCCAACACCAGTGGCAACGCCAGTACCAACTCCAATCCCAACACCAATGCCCAATTACCAATATTATCCACCAACAATGGTAGTCCAACGCGAACCTCCACCTGCATATGCTCCCCCGAATACCCCGGCGTATTCGCCGTCATATTCATACGTGCAAACACGGATGTCTTCGCCGTCTTCGACCCCATACGTCGGCTATCCACCACCAGCTGCCAACACAACATATAACTATAACACGACGAATCTGGTAACGAGACCTGCGAAACCGAAACCGAATTTGTACCCATCATTGGCCCAGAACCACTCGTACCCGCCGCTTCAGTCCACAGCACAGAAACCGACTACCACAAATAATAATAAAAATAAACAAGTGACGAGTGAACCTTCTAGAGACAATGTGGAGAGCAACAATTCTAAATCTGCCGAAGTAAGTAGTTTTATTATCAACTTCTTTAAATTTAATAATAAATTTACTAATTGCGTAAAATGTATTAACCCAGATATATCACATACTTAATAATGACCTACACTAAATAAAAAATATACTCATTTTGGGAAATCCACTTTAAATCGAATATGCTGTAAGTCGATTTTGCAATATTTTTTGAAATTTAGTTTAGTATGTTATATTTTAATGCTCGACTAGTTAACACAAAGAGATTTTGTTTTATGTCAATGCATAGTAGTTCATTATTCAAATTTACACCCAAATGATAGTGAGTTCAAATAGGTCCTTCATTCATTCATTCATTCATAATTTAAGCTTTAGAGCTACGCTCTTGTCGGTGGAGCTCTTGCCACTTTCCGCGATAGGTCCGAAAATAGGTCCTACACCAAAAAAAAACTGTCAATTGATATTTCTGTATGAATATCCGGTGAAGGAAATATCGATAACGAAACCAAAAATTAGTCGAGAAACTACCACGTTGGTTTCAAATATACCCATCAAAATGTAGTCATGATTAGTATTGCGTTCACAAGGTCTATTCGATATTGATACTGCTAGTTTAATGTCTTATGATTTTATTAAGTTCAATATTTTGAGATATATTTTCTAAGAGTACAAAATGGTATCCCGAACACTATAGTCAAAGACGCATGGTTTTCGAAAAATTATGAGATTAATAAGTACCTGAATGTGCTAACAATTCAAGACAAAATAAACCGATATAACTAGAAATATACAGACCAATATCTATGCATCGTAATTCATTGGCAACACAGCTCTTGGAACCTTTTCCTTGTGAGAAGGTTCTAGAGACTGAAGAAGAAGAGTTTTAATAAAAAGGCAGAAGAGGTGCTGACTCTTTGCCTACAATACAAGTAGCACTCAACACACCCGCTTATAGTCTTGCGGCTGAATTCCGATTTACAAGGAAATAAAAATATCCTATATATATACTATGGTATTATGCGGCAATGTTTATTTTCGTTTTATGTAAAAATAATAGTTCTATGACTACTCTACTACTACATAATCCAGATACGCAATCACCGTTTTTGCTGAAAATCGAACTATTTTAGATAAATATAAATTTGGTTTGTCCTATTGTTATATTATAACTGAAACATATGTTTATTATGTATTTAGCTTGTACTTTTATTCTGTTTGTTTTATTAACGCTAGTAACATCGTTGTGGAAAGGTGGTTCAAATTTAATATATTTTCTACAGGCAAACGAATCAAGCGATACAGTCGGAAGTCTGCCTAATTCTCCCAACCTGATAGACTTCGGCGGTAGAAACAGTGGCCCAGGTAGCGTAAGAGTCAGTGTGCTTGAGGCGTTTGATCCTCTACTAACTGAGCAAAACAATGTTGGTGAGTGGTTACTGTTTCATTTCATCACAGCAAATTTGTCATACGTTTGTACTACCAAATGCAATCTCATGACATTCTTAATAATATTCTGTATTACTAACAAAAAAAGAAGCAAAAAGAGATAATACATGAAAGTCGTATTTCAAAATTTTATTGTTTGTATTTATGAAGTTTAATTACACATATTATGGTCCCCAATATTTGGTAGTTCAAAAAAGGCATTAGAAAATGAGAGTGGATTCAGACAATATTTCTGATTAAGGTATGCACTTCAGTCATTGATACTGGCGGCTGAAGTTACACACTGATATTTGAGAACCCTCATTTTCAATACACATTCATTTTCATTACATTTTCACTTAGTCTAAGGGTACAGTTTGAAGAAAAATGATTTATTTTATATGGTTGTACAAGGATATAAGACTACTTATTTGTATTTAGAATTTATATCTATATTTTGCAGTATTTATTATAGGTATAAATATTAAAATATAATATATATATGACTATAATTTATTACTGCGAATGGCTGGCTGTAAATAAAATGTATTAAATAATATATTTTATTCAAAGTCAAAATGTTACGTAATAAAATATCAAGTGTCATTATTCTTCTATGTGTGGTTGCATACATAATATTAAACATTTTTTTAAATAACTTGGTCAATAGAAGCTTAAGTGTGAATGAAATCAAGGAGTTCCTTATATCCCAGCACTAGTTGCTGGGATATAAGGAACTCCTTGATTTTATAAGAAACCAAAATATTGGTATTTGCAACTGAAATATCAAATTTTTGGTTTACTTTCCTATGATATCAAAATAGCTACTATAATTCATGTTTTTTCATAATGTGATAACCTAATGTTATTAGTTATTATTTATATTCTTTTTGTTTTTATTTCAATTAATGGTTGTATGGGATTTAATATATTGTTTATGAACTTAATAGAGTTGTTTAAGTGCACATACAAAGCACAGTCATTGAATAAATCATACCATGGTTCACGAAATCATTTCTTTTGCATTTCTTTGTGTTGTGGCTAATTCAAGTAAATGTGTTTGTTGTGTGTTAAATGTGTGCATTTTGAGTTTCTGTTTATAATTGCAATAATGTATAAAAATCTTAATACTACTTAAATAATAATATAAACAATGAAGAAGAATGTATTTAAGGTAAAGGTGAACTGGTAGAGAATAATAGTAATATGAAGTTAACATATTTTATTTGGTAGAAAAAGTTAAATAAAACCCCTCGGAATGTTATAACGAAATCGGTCACCTCTAAGATTCCTTTTTTTACCTTCAATAACGCAACAATTCCCTGTCACACGGCATGAGTCTATTTCCATCATAAATGTTGTTCACCTACTCAATTATATTTTTTTATCGGCAGTGTATTTGCTTTTGTATCGATCAATTGGTAATTTAGTGGTACTGGATTTTCAGCGAAATTAAATGTTCTGTGTAATTATTAAAAAATATATTGAATGTTTTGTATAATAAATAATTATCTTTTTTTATAGAATATGAAGTAGTGAATGATGGCACTAATAGTGTGTATGACCCCCTCGATTTACTTTACGGTGAAACAGAGATGCGAGATACACCTATATACGCCACTATTAATAAAAAAGAGAAGGTCAAACTGCCGTCGCCACCGCCTAAATCAATACCTTCAATGCCTGCAGTTCCTAAACGGCCTACTACGGTAAGTTTCCTATATTTTGGTTGAAACAAAAACTTAAGATTTTTAATATAGGACCTTTCGGCTTCTTCTGCACGTCATATTACCTTTCCGATCGTCCCCTGTCTTTCTTCAGATCGAACCTCCGTCCAATTCAGACGGGGATCGAAATTACGACGGTCTGAACCGAGTGACACCTAGCGGTGACCTCAGACTAGAGTTGTGGGAGTTGGCCTTCAGCCGCTCCCTAAGTTCTTACGCGGGTTTGGACTGCCATCTGCACTCGCCTCCTATGGTCCAGAAAAGCTCAGCTACGGCCAACGGCATTAGTTAGTCCTCTAAATAATGTTATATAATGAGTTTTGTATTGCATCTGTTTTCGTTTGTTTCAGAATAAATTGTATGACTGCATTGTAAAGACTACAGATATAAATTACAGTAGTGAACACAAAGCATTTTTAAAAATGGTGCTAGATGTTAGAAGTAAGTTTTTTTATCTATCTATTATTTATTAATTATCTATATATGCATTTACAAAATATTTTTAAGTATTTGTATTGGTTATCTAGTAGCTATAGTATAATTATTCAGGATATTATAATATTAATTTCTGACTAATGACAAAGAGAGTAAAAAAATGTGGCTTTATTTTCATGTGGTAGTATTCTTACATAAATTACAGGATATAACATCTTGTCCTCCAAAATTGAAATTTATGGGTAGTGGTATCATGAACGTCACATGATAACGTGATATCCATGGTGCTGTTCATATGTATAGGCCGTTACAGATGGTAATATTGACGATTATGCATGGTCGTAAGCATTTTTGGCTATAATATACTGAAACATAATTATTATGAAATGGGACTCAAGCTGTACTGTTCTAGTAAAGTACTGTTCATACATATTTTTGTCGTATAGTGTAATGATTTTTATTATTAATACTGTAATGATTTTTATTACAGAAAAATTCGTCCATGATGACGTAACCAATCCTGGCCATGTAATAGCAGCGAGATCCGGTGGAAAATACCCAGAAAATACTAGCATAAAGATAATAGTCCATAACGAGCACACTGATGAACCAATCACTTTTACATCTGATGGTATATATGTCATTTATATACATATAGTTATTATACTAGTTGAACCAGCAAACGTTGATTTGGCCTATGCATAAAGTGCTAAAAATGCTATTAAGAAGTTGATGGTATTATATTAGGGTATAATTTAGCATTGTATGTATTTTATAATAGCGAATCATAAGAATATTTTAGCTACAAAATTTAATTTTTCGGAGCGGACAGATTGCATAACAACAAACGCAATAATTTTAATACTTGTTTTTTTGAATTTTGTGTATTTTCATTTAAAGACAGCATATTTTAGTATGAATTTAAAATTTGGCCATTGTTCATTAATTAAGTGAGATTGAATGATAACTCTTACTTTAATTTTCAGTGGAGTCTACGGTGGAACATGTGATACTAACAGTGTTATTAACATGTTCTATTGATGAGGATATGCAGGAAGATATGTCTGCCTACATGTTGCGGGTAAGTGTTTTATTTTTAACGTAGGAAAAGGCTAGAAATAATTAAGGCCGGACACGGTATCTCTGTTTGCAGATCAACTTGTACAATGTTTACATCGTCTTATGTTATATTATAGTATATATAGTCTTAATTGTTTTGACCATTGTTTTGTACTATAGCTTACTGTAGTTATCTTAAAAATAAAATCTCATCTCTTTCTATAGCTCAGTAACTGTTATATTATATATACTTAAACAAAGCGCCATATGCGCTTCAATACTCTGTTCCGTTTCTAATATATGTACATTCTGATCCGTGGGCTAATTATGTAGCTTCGTTCGCAACGATTTTCGTATGTAACAGTGAAAATGACGTCATCTGTCAATAATGCGATCATATAGACGCCATTTGACGCTGTCAACTAGCATTGCAACGTAAACGCAACTTTACATATCGATAAAAATTATTTCTATCGAATGTCGATTTAGTAACCTCGTTGCAACGTCACGTAATCGCTATTTTGCCGAAATGACAGCGTGGAATTGAAACGGTTTTTACATTATGAGAAACAATTTAGAAGGTGTTTCTTTTGGTTACAATCCTTAAAATATCAGCATTAGCAGCATTATTTATCTTGTTTTGGTAATTTTCAGTATTACATATATTTTTATTATATTAAATATTACGTAGAAAGTCGTGAAAAGGTTTTATTTTTATTAAAATGGGAAAATTGTCACAACACGACATCAGTGTTGCCAATTCGATATTTTATTTTCGTCCCAAATCACATAGAATGTTGTATTAACTAGAGTAAATGTTTAATATAAAATTAGGGTTGATTATGATATTAATATAATTAAAAAACTATTTCAATGAATATGGTGCTCTGTGAACGGAATACGTTTATGATGCTCTGTGATTTGTTTAAAGTAAATAAATTTATTTGTTTAAAGTTTTTACAATTATGTACAAATTTAAAAAGATGTGCCCATATCAATTCTAAATTTATATGGATACCTACGTACTTTACCTGTTATCTTATAGCATATATACTTTCTTTATTTTATTTTATTAAATGTCTATTAATAAAATTAAAATAAAAGAACAAGTTATATTTTGTAATTTTTGAACGCAATAAAAATTGTTTCAAATCAACCAACTAGTGTAACAACCCAATAAATTAAAATGTATCCCTCTAAAGGTATAAGCTATCTAATGTACTGACTTTTTAAATTGGTCGGATTAACAATATTCCGCTGCAACTTCATAGTAGTGTTTTATCGATAGAAATGATTTATGTTGCGGTCATTCGACCTTACTTGATCGCATTTTTTAAATTGAAATGATTTCATATTGCATCACAACTTCAACAGAAACAATTTCATATCGTGTTACATAATTAGCCCACCGTACTCTTTTGTTGTTGCGACGAATGTTTTTCTTTAATAAATTATATTTCTAAAATTGATTCATTTTTGTTATAAAATACAATATTTTGTAACATACTATTTTATTTTATTTGTTCTCACGTTTACCGTGCGCAGTAAAGAAATTATAGGCTGGTACCATAGCGGGTGTTAATAGAGTAAATGCGTTTGCAGGTGTGGGGAGCAAAGGAGTACCTGACGTCGGGTAGCACGCTGAGCTCGTACGCGTACGTGCGCGAGTGTGTCCGGCTCGAGAAGGACGTGCGGCTCGTGCTGCACGCGCGCGCTGCGGGAGAACTGGCGCGCTCACCGCGGGACGACGCGCGTGCGCTACACCTGCCGGCTGAGAGTCTTCTGCCCGCAGCTTCGTCCGCGCCGCTTACCTTCAATAACCTCTCCATCCTTCTCGGTAACTACCTTTTGTTTCTACATAAGCCACTACGTCTGGTGGATGCCTGTGCTTGTATCATTCAGACCTCTCGGATCACTCGCCGTCTCTGTACTACCCACTGGTCTAATGTCTAATATCTAAGTCTAAATAAATGTGCAGACATTTGCAGACGTATGTGCGCATATGTCCTGTTCAATCCGGAACTTATTCTTCTTGGCAATTAGTAATGATTATTATTTCGGTTAATAATAATTAGTAACGTGTATAGCACATGCATATAGGCATTGAAGCCTACAATAATAAGTTTGTTGTTAATTTATTGTTATGTTATTTTAATGGCCAACAATTTATGTCCAGTTATTTGACATAAATTTCACTATATATAATTTGATGGATTCAATTCTATTATTGATACTTATAGAGACATTAGAAGGCGAGTTATCCAAAGCGATTGGCGTGATTGGCGGTGAGGGTAGCTGCTCGCCGAAGGCGGTATTCCAGGCCGTAAAGGCAATATGTGCGCTCGCCGGTGGTGTTGAGACATTACACATCACTCACACACTCAACTCATTCGCTCAGGCGTGCGTGGGAAAGGTAAGCTCTTATGTACTATATGCAAATTAACTGATGTAAGAAAATCTGCTTTATCTAAGAAATGTATGTGGTTGGTCTCTAATAAAAAGATTTGACTTTACTTTAATTAATATAATACAATTTACATGATGTAATGATACTTTTAGGATGTCTTATTGCTTAATCGGATGTCGGATTGCTTAAGTAATTCACTAAAATATTTAATTTTAAGTACCTGATTTAGCTAAGATTTCTCAAATATGCCAAGTACACAAATATAATATGCGTTAATGGATTGTGATGATTAATGATGAAGCGTGTGGTGCGTTCAGGCCAGTAGCGACGTGGTGCTGCCAGAGATCCAGTCGGAGGCGGGCGCGTACTGCGCGGTGTCACTGCGTGCAGGATCAGCGCGAGAGACGGCGGTGCGGCACTGCGCGCGCGTTCGGGACGCCGTGCGCGCGCTGCTGGCGCTGTACGCGCGCGGCCGCCTGCTAAAATGCGCTAACGCGATGATGATGCCCGCATTAACGTCCATGGCGCGGCACTGCGCGCGCTGCTGGCGGTACGCGCGCGGCCGCCTGCTCGACTTCGCGCTCGCCGACGCGCACGTGCACGCCGCCTGCCCGCACAGTGCGTATAGCGTCCACTACACAGCTCGGCGCGGCACTGCGCGCGCTGCTGGCGCTGTACGCGCGCGGCCGCCTGCTCGACTTCGCGCTCGCCGACGCGCACGTGCACGCCGCCTGCCCGCACAGTGCGTATCGCGTCCACTACACAGCTCGGCGCGGCACTGCGCGCGCTGCTGGCGCTGTACGCGCGCGGCCGCCTGCTCGACTTCGCGCTCGCCGACGCGCACGTGCACGCCTGCCCGCACAGTGCGTATAGCGTCCACTACACAGCTCGGCGCGGCACTGCGCGCGCTGCTGGCGCTGTACGCGCGCGGCCGCCTGCTCGACTTCGCGCTCGCCGACGCGCACGTGCACGCCGCCTGCCCGCACAGTGCGTATAGCGTCCACTACACAGCTCGGCGCGGCACTGCGCGCGCTGCTGGCGCTGTACACACGCAGTAGTCTTCGTTATTTGTTTTACTTCCGCTCGACTTCGTCCACGTGCCCACGTAAAGTGTTACTAATTTTTTAATGCTTGATGCGAGTAAGTACAGTATATAGTATGTGTGGAAAGAAATAGAGAAACAATTAGTCTTGAGCCACCTGTGAATAATGACGTTGTAGACTACACTTAGTTACCTGTGGTGTATGTGTATCCATAGAAGCGGCGCCATCGCATAAGGTGGCAGAGTCGACGCTGTTCTGCATCGAGGCGTTGCATGGGTTGCTGGCGTGCTGGTCGCACGACGAGTACCAGGTGCACGCGCAGCTGTACTACGGCACGCGCGCACTGCACGCGCCCTACCTCACGCAGCCCTCCAGACTCGACTGTGCTGGCTTCTACCCGCGCATCATATTCGACACATGGTATGGCATCATCATCTTCTGCTTCACCTTATCTTATAATTCAACACAAAAAAATATAGTGTTAAACCAGTAGTTCCTGAGATTATCCCGTTTAATCTAACGAACCAAGAAATATATGTATGTATAGGTAGTGTGAGGGATATGAGGCTCATACCCCACTACATAATGACTCCGACCGTTCTGTTAAGAACGTATCGAATGAGAAGAAGAAACTACTATAACTAAAACTCACGCTTGTCTGTTATTAGAAACATTGTCATATACATCGTTATTTCTTCAGGTTGAGTTTAGAAAATGTACCAATAAACACCCTGCCGCGCGAGACCCGTTTGGTGTTAATACTGTACGGACGAACCCAGCGGGCGGTCGATAATCAAAACCAGAGCAGCGAGAACAACCAGCAAACTGCTCAGGAGGGTGAGGAGAACGGAGATGTGCAGTACGAACAGGTGGAGCTCGGATGGGCAGCCATTCAGATGTTCGATTATGACGGGTGAGTTGATCAAGAATATTGCAATGAAAAATGTATATTAGAAAGACTCGCGGGAGCACACACTATTTTATAGACGACGAAGCACACAGGGTGGTTGCGCGAGCTTTATGTCGTTTTCTTTTTCTACTTTTCCGTGTACCTACACTCTTTCACCCGTAAAAAATGTTTCCTGCATGAAAGAGTGTGCGTGTAAAGGCTGCTTTTGCCTATTTTTATACGTACACTGTTTGCCGCATAAGAGAGCGTATATTTAAAGGCAGTCATCTCTTCCTTGTTCCCAAAGTAATACATGTGGATATTATAACAATTGTGCAAATCGACATTTATTTCTCCGTTCTCTCCTATACCGTAAAACTACTTTATTCTAATAATTATTTTTTAAATTTATATGTGTTTGCCTATACAGGATGCTGGCCTCGGGCGCGTACGTGGTGCCGGTGTGGGCGGCGGGCTGCGACCGGCGCACCGGGCCCGCGCCGCCCGCCGCCCTCGCGCCCCCCGCCGCGCCCCTCCTCACCATCGGTACGTGTCCGCTGTGTGTGTGTGTGTGTGTGTGTGTGTCTGTGTACGTACGTGGTGCCGGTGTGGGCGGCGGGCTGCGACCGGCGCACCGGGCCCGCGCCGCCCGCCGCCCTCGCGCCCCCCGCCGCGCCCCTCCTCACCATCGGTACGTGTCCATTGTGTGTGTGTGTGTCTGTGTACGTACGTGGTGCCGGTGTGGGCGGCGGGCTGCGACCGGCGCACCGGGCCCGCGCCGCCCGCCGCCCTCGCGCCCCCCGCCGCGCCCCTCCTCACCATCGGTACGTGTCCGCTGTGTGTGTGTGTGTGTGTGTGTCTGTGTACGTACGTGGTGCCGGTGTGGGCGGCGGGCTGCGACCGGCGCACCGGGCCCGCGCCGCCCGCCGCCCTCGCGCCCCCCGCCGCGCCCCTCCTCACCATCGGTACGTGTCCATTGTGTGTGTGTGTGTCTGTGTACGTACGTGGTGCCGGTGTGGGCGGCGGGCTGCGCTCTTTACCATCGTATTGTGTGTGTGTGTGTCTGTGTACGTACGTGGTGCCGGTGTGCGGCGGGCTCACCTTCGGCAAGTGTCCTGCATCGGTACGTGTCCGCTGTGTGTGTGTGTCCCCGGTGTGGGTCGCTCTTTACGTACACGTGCTATGCCTCACCTTCGGTAAGTGTCTGCATTCTGTATGTACACGTGCTGCTGCTTACGCCTCACCGTCGAGACATGTCCACTCTGTAAATACACGTGCTGTTGCTTGGGCCTGATGTTTGGCACGTCTCCACTTTCTGTACGTACATGTGCTACTTGCTCACTATCGGTATGAACGCACATAGGCCTTAGCGTCCATCTAAATAAACTAACCCAGATCAAAGACGATATGTTAGTTAATAGATTTGTTGTTACAGAAATTCCGCTGTACGATCATAACGGCGTCAAGTGGACGAGCAGTGACGAAGGCGAAGAGAAAACGTTATCTCCTGAAGACCTCCCCAAGTTCAACTCCTTGGACAAACTCACACAGGCGCAGTTACTGCACCTCATAGAACAGGGTTCCTACAATATAATGCCCACTGAATGCCGAGAGGTATATAATAAAACATATGTATGAATTTGTAACTTACTTCAAATAATTCAACATTCATTCTATTAAGATTTTACTCCTGTAATGGAATATTTACTATAATTATGTTCTATATGACTTCTCGATTCATTCAAAATAATTACGATGCTGTAATGCTTAACGGTACCAGACCGGAGAAGACACTATTAATTGTAACAAGAATGATTAAATGCAATGAACTAGTTTATATAGTAATGATAATTGAATGATGTGCCTGCGCTAAACGCTGGCGGGGCACCAGTGAAGGATGATATGAGCGTAAAGTTAGGTGATTTTGCCCTTCATGACGAATTTACCAGATATAAACCACGATGGTTTCCAGGACTGCGTGGAGGTCGATCTGACATGGTATATTGCTAGCAATGGGGTAACTATTCTCATTATTTACAATCACCTACCCCCTCTCGTACATATCTTATCCATGGCCGGTAATGACATATTAATGGATTCGTATGACAGATGCTATGGGAGAAGCGGGAGTACTTGGTGGAGCTGGCGGGCGCACTGCCGCTGGTGTTACTGGCCGCTACCAACTGGTACGGTGGACATCGGGAACAGTTAGTCGCCTTACTACACATCTGGCAGAAACCGTCGCCGACGAACGCCATGCATCTCTTACTACCTTGGTTAGTATTTATTGAAATTTATAGAAAAGTGTTCACTCTTTCACGCCTGATTGCACGTATGTTCAATGGCATTTCACTTTCTTTTAAAAATGTATATTTTATTTCACAGATTTAATTTTTATAAAGTCACGTTTTACATTTATTATTATTAATAACTATAAGCAGGACAATTCATCATAGTCAGATGTTCGCGATTTTGCAGTGATAGTTAATTATTATAAAATGGCGTTACAGCACGTACGATTGAAGAATTCGGGATGCGCGAAATGGCGACGCGCGCTGTATCGTTCTCTTTTTCTACATTTCAATGCACATTCTTTCCTGCGTGAAAGCCTATTCGTATTTAAAAGAGCGTATGTATAAAGGCACCTATTGAAGAGTTAATTCAACTATATAACACTCTCGTTATATTATTTTATTTACCTTTAATACATTTAAGGAGACGGGCTCCTTAGTTTCACACAGGTGCAATTTTTGTAGGAACTTGAACGTAAAACACGGGTCATACTACTCGCTTATAACGTAGTTTTCTTAAGGGCAATTTCGTCTCATTTTTTACTAGCAGGGACTGCTTGCACATAAAATACAGTCGCCGATAATATAGTTTTATTTTTACTTTCGTCTCTATTATGTTGAATCAACTGGCTAATTTAATTAGTGGAAATAATATGCAGGTAAGATTACAGCGTATGTTTGTGTGTTCCTCGTCAGCTTCCCGGACGCGGCGGTGCGGGCGGTGGCCGCGGAACTGGTGGGCGGTCTGCCGGACGACGACCTGTGCCGCGTGCTGCCGCAGCTCGCGCAGGCGCTGCGGTACGACACCTACGACTGCAGCCCGCTCGCAGGTACCACACGCACCATACTCACCATCTCACTCACGCTCGCTGAATAATAATAATAATAATCTTTCTTTCATTCAGAAGGATCGTTACAATATTATTTGTACAACAGGTAGATACACTTTCGAGACAATATCAACCCTTTCAGTATTTCTGCGTAGTCCTGGCTTCTGAACTAGCATTAGCCGTATGACAGAAGCCAGTTCCTTCCCAATACGTGAACTTTTATTATAGATTGATGAAAACTATTATAACATGATACATATAAACGATATTTTACCTAAAGATACATATTTATTATTATTATTATATTTAAAAATCAAAGTTATAAGAATAACAAAGATATTGAAGTACACATAACATTTTGCACTATATTGTGTGTGTCTTATGTAGAAATATAATGTATGTGTGTTTATATGTATCTATGATGGATATGTAAGTGAGTGGTGTATGTATGCATTTGATGCGTGTGTGTTTGTAATAGAAAATTGAATGTGCAAATTAAACTTTGTGATGTTAATAAAGAATGTTACTGAACGAAAGAATAGGTACTCACAATCTCACTTACACACTCAGAATACGTACTCACAATCTGACTTACACAGTCAGAATACGTACTCATAATCTCATTTACACACTGAGAATATTTTTATCAATTATTTATGGATGATAATGGTGTTATGCACTCGTTTGCGCTAACGGTTTACGCTGGCGAGACATTAGTGGAGAATGTTAAGATGGGCACTAGGTGAGGTCAGTTAGAACATCGTGGACATCGTGAAAAGATGCCCAGGTGAAATGAGATAAATCTATCACTAGGGAGAACCCCGTCGAGACTAATCTGACTTGATAAATTTCTAGCAATGCAGTTTATAATCCACATTACTAAGTATTCCCTTCTCTTAAAACATTTCTAGTTTTTATTGTAAGTTTGAGATAATATGCACAAAATACTATTTTTAATTTGAAAAGGTTTTAAACAGAACTATTTTTAGTAGCAACATTATTTTTATTCATCTAGAAATGTATGCTCTGTATTAATTATTAAACAAATTTTTGTAAACATTGTATGTTATGATGTATGAGCTGTTGTAATTATTATTATGCGTATGTTTTCAGAGCTGTTATTGTCGCGTGCTTTGGCCTCTCCAACTGTGGCGCATCGACTGTTCTGGCTGTTGGTACATTCACTACCTAATTTACCGCAGGTAACTTAATTTTCTATGAAACATTTTCATTGCAATAATTATTAATTATCAAAAACCACCGTCAAAACACTGCTTGTAAACTAAATATCTCCTTTGAGTAAAGTAAACACTATTATGAGGAGATGAAAACCTTCGATCCTAAAAATATCCACCAATTCATCTTCTTGTCATTCATAAAAAAAATCATAAAAAATATACTGTCTAGCAGGAGTTTGTATTCGGCCCTATTTAACACCCCTTTTTCGAATGAACCTGTAAAGACCAGCTGCCTCTAATGCATTAGAATAGTCAGCAAAATCAAATACGTTCTGAAGGATAGTGACAATGAGTTTGTCATTAGATATCAAAGGAAGAATTCCTCGGGATTTCACTGGAGGAGAACGGCAGCGAACCGCCAGAGGTGGAAGAATGTATGGTGGCCACGTGGCGCTATGAGCTATTGTATCGCGCTTTGCTGGCCGTCTGTGGGGACAACCTCGGCCGCACTCTGCATCGACAGCAGGAGCTTGTCGCGGTGCGTATTACAACAAAATATCTTGCTATTTTACTTTTTTACTAATATAGTCGAACTTTGAATAATTATATTAAAATAACAATATGTAAACTTACGTTTACATTGCAGTGCTAGTTGACAGTGTCAGTATAATAGTATTATTGACAGATGACGTCATTTCCACTACGTTACACACTACAATCGTTGCGATAGAAGATACATAATTAGCTCATAGGTCTAAGAACCTAACAATAAACCAAATCCCTTAATAAAAAAAATACTAATTATTTCTTTTCCCCGATATTGCTTATGATGAACTTTATATGTATGTGGTGCAGAATCTGAGCGAGGTGGCGATGCTGGTGAAGATGTCGAAGGAGGGGCAGCGGGGTGCAGCCCTGCGGGGCGGCGCGGCGCGGCTGGCGGGCCGGCTGCGGGCCGCGCCCGCCGCGCTCCCGCTCGCGCTCGCCGCGCACGTGCACGACGTCGACGTCAAGTACGTACACACTAGAGTCGCAGCGCGGCGCGGCTGGCGGGCCGGCTGCGGGCCGCGCACGTGCACGACGTCGACGTCAAGTACGTACACACTAGAGTCGCAGCGCGGCGCGGCCGGCTGCGGGCCGGCTGCCGGGCCGCGCTCGCCGCGCACGTGCACGACGTCGACGTCAAGTACGTACACACTAGAGTCGCAGCGCGGCGCGGCTGGCGGGCCGGCTGCGGGCCGCGCACGTGCACGACGTCGACGTCAAGTACGTACACACTAGAGTCGCAGCGCGGCGCGGCTGGCGGGCCGGCTGCGGGCCGCGCACGTGCACGACGTCGACGTCAAGTACGTACACACTAGAGTCGCAGCGCGGCGCGGCTGGCGGGCCGGCTGCGGGCCGCGCACGTGCACGACGTCGACGTCAAGTACGTACACACTAGAGTCGCAGCGCGGCGCGGCTGGCGGGCCGGCTGCGGGCCGCGCACGTGCACGACGTCGACGTCAAGTACGTACACACTAGAGTCGCAGCGCGGCGCGGCCGGCGGGCCGGCTGCGGGCCGCGCCCGCCGCGCTCCCGCTCGCGCTCGCCGCGCACGTGCACGACGTCGACGTCAAGTACGTACACACTAGAGTCGCAGCGCGGCGGCGCGGCCGGCTGCGGCCGCGCCCGCCGCCGCGCTCGCCGCGCACGTGCACGACGTCGACGTCAAGTACGTACACACTAGAGTCGCAGCGCGGCGCGGCCGGCGGGCCGGCTGCGGGCCGCGCCCGCCGCGCTCCCGCTCGCGCTCGCCGCGCACGTGCACGACGTCGACGTCAAGTACGTACACACTAGAGTCGCAGCGCGGCGCGGCCGGCGGGCCGGCTGCGGGCCGCGCCGCGCTGCGCGCTCGCCGCGCACGTGCACGACGTCGACGTCAAGTACGTACACACTAGAGTCGCAGCGCGGCGCGGCCGGCGGGCCGGCTGCGGGCCGCGCCCGCCGCGCTCCCGCTCGCGCTAGCCGCGCACGTGCACGACGTCGACGTCAAGTACGTACACACTAGAGTCGCAGCGCGGCGCGGCCGGCGGGCCGGCTGCGGGCCGCGCCCGCCGCGCTCCCGCTCGCGCTCGCCGCGCACGTGCACGACGTCGACGTCAAGTACGTACACACTAGAGTCGCAGCGCGGCGCGGCTGGCGGGCCGGCTGCGGGCCGCGCACGTGCACAACATCGACGTCAAATATGTACCATACGTACTGTACGTACCATATGAATAATACGTATAGTACGTTTACGTATGTACTATACGTACTATTCGTATTCACGGCCCCCGGTTTACCATCGGTTTCGGTGTGAACATTTGCATTCATGATTTTTTTGTATTTGTTTTATTGTGTATCATACACAATAAAACCAATACAAATGAATTATCCTAGAATATTGTTATTATTATACCGGAAAACACTTTTTTCTTTGCCACACGGAAAAGTAAACTAATGAATAATATTTAAAATGTATAAAAATATTTTCTTATTACTATTACACAATTATAGTCTGTACACTTTGACGGATGTCTTGATAGTTAAAAAGTTTAGAAAAATAATAAATTTATATATTGTATGACTTTAGACTGTTTTTTAAAAAAAAATCTTATTGATGGCTTTTAATCATCAGAGTATTACTTTTCTCTTTTCCTTCACAACTAAAACCAATAATCATAAAATTAAAGATATAATATAATATATGGATCCGCATTGTAGTCATGTCTAATGTAATAATTAGTTATTAATTATTTACGTAATGGTTGAATGCTGTCCTTTAGTAATAATGAAAATTATGTAGAAGTAAAACACTGTTTCACGAAAAAAATCTACTTTAAAAAAGTTGTGTTGTGATTAAAAAATATATCCTAAATTATTGTCTCTAAAAACAGTATTTCTTTTCAGATCGTGTACATATTTCTCATCGAATACTCTACCTCTGAAAATAAATTTCATCGGTATAGACGACGCCGTCATTCCAGCAATGTTTAAGGTAGAATACATCTTATATAAATTCTCGTGTCACAATGTTAGTTACAACAGTCCTCTGAAACGGCTTGACCGATTTTTGTGAAATTATATATCCATATTCAGTAGGTCTCATACCTAGACGGCCTATTATATATTTTTCATATTCCTGTGTTGTTGGGTTGTCCACCCCTAACATATTTCTAAATTTTTTTGGACATCATTATATTTTTTATTTTTGAATATAATATATAGTATAGTAATATTATTGTGGATAAGAATGCTGATGTAATGCTGAATAAACGTTTTTAAAATTATTAACTTAATTGTCATTTATTCACTCAACATTGAGGGCTGTTTACAATTTTCACCAAAAATTTTATAAAATGTTTTCTACTCTGTTTAGTAATTTGTCTTGTTTCTGTAGGTGGGCGATGATCTTCGACAAGACTCCTTGGTGCTCCAAGTGATAAAGGTGATGGACAGTTTGTGGCTCAAAGAAGGCTTAGATCTCCGCATGGTCACTTTCCAAGCACTACCCACTAGTAATAAAAGAGGTGGGATATTATCACAAATATTTTATTGTTGGCAGTAACACTACTACACAGAACAATTATGTATAATAACTTAACGTGTTATGTCTTAACTGTGAAACTAACTATATAACATTTATAGAACAAGCAGAATATGAGCAAATTTCATATTGTGTGTATTAAATGTGTTTTGAATTATGATGATTGTGAGCCAGAGCTTGTTTGCCAACGTAGTGGTATGAAAATATATATAAAATATCCATGATATTCGTCTAGAAGGCTGTATGGTTTCAATAAGGCATATAATTAAAATAACTAATAAGAATTATGAGTGTTCGAGAGCTAGTTAAATTAAAGTAAAATAATTTCTCAGACCTTGACACTGGCTTCCACGTACCGCCAAATATCAAACTACAAACCGCACACCGAACTTAATAGCACATTAGATTTAAAACATTTTAATTAAATATAAACTTATACAATTTGAATTGTTTAATAAGTTTCCGTATAAGCTATACGAAAACTTCGTAAACTGTTCTAATTCTATGTTTAAATATTTAAAAATTTAACTCATCACGCATGCTAGCTGCATGTCACCATATACATGGATCACGTAGCAATTATTATAAATTTTCTTTCAATTAATATCATTACTTTTACTTTTATTTGAAAGAATAATATTAATATTTCATTGAATTATTTAGGTATGATTGAAATCGTGACGGAAGCCGAAACCCTCCGTGCCATTCAGACTGAATGGGGCCTGACTGGTTCCTTCAAAGACAAACCTATCGCCGAATGGCTGGCAAAGCACAACCCTTCAGAGCTAGAATATCAACGAGCTCGTGACAATTTTACTGGTAAGTCTAATTTGATACTTTTAGTATATTACGAAATAAGTGCAAACACATTTGATTTTAAATAAACTCAACCATAAAACTATGATGCGCACTGTTGCTTTCTCACCTTTTTACTGTTTTAAATCACCGCGCTGCTTATTGTCTGGCTACGCGTGGTCAGTTCGAAATTTTATAAAAAATAGCTATAGTATGTAGTAATTATGGAATATAACTTCACTTATTTTGATTATATTACACTTTACGAGCAAGTGTCTTGATAAATAAAATTTACTCGACTCTATGAGAATACAGTTTTTTTATTTATTTGTAGTATAACATAAGATTAGACTAATCTGCTTTAATTATATTTATATAGCATCGTGTGCGGGATACAGCGTCGCAACATATCTACTGGGAATTTGTGACAGACACAACGACAATATAATGTTGAAAACCTCCGGCCATTTGTTCCACATTGATTTCGGAAAATTCCTTGGTGACGCGCAGATGTTTGGAAATTTCAAAAGGTAAAAAATTGTGTAAATTTATTTTACAATATTATTATTTACTATTTTGTTTTCAAGTAATATAATATATAACTTTCATTTGCCCGTATATGATCCTGTACAATGTAAAAACCTATAATTTGTTCCATGTTTCTCTTTTTTCTGCCATATCTTTAATATCATTGACCCATCTCCATTTCTTACTCGTCTTTTGCCTGCCGTTCTTAGCTATTTTGTTAAGTGACGATTCTCAAGGAGGACCCTTTTATTTAACTGTACTTCCACTGGGAATAAACATTCTATTGCAATAATGACTACATCCTTTTGACATTTGTCTACTACGATCTCCTATTCGCTTTATACATTTTAATTAATTAATAGTTATAGTTAATAAAGTGTTCAATTCTATGTTCAGTGTCAATTAATCATTTCTGATGATTGATCAAAATACAATTTTAACAATCAATTATACGTCGATAAAAGATTGTATATGGTTCATTCAGGGATCGTGCACCATTTGTCTTGACTCATGACATGGTGTACGTGATAAACGGCGGCGAGCGACCTACGCAGCGCTTCCAGCATTTCGTGGAGTTGTGCTGTAAAGCGTTCAACATAGTGCGAGCGAACCACGACCATATATTAGACTTGTTTGCGCTGGTAAGTGTGTAATCTACCAATGTTTACATGACCGAGTATTGTCTTGAGATTCTGTTTCACTATTATTATCAATTTGCGTCCTCGATGTGTTAATGTTTTGTTTATTGTTAAAGTCTATGGTCAAATTGAGAATAGATTTATGTTGTTTATATTTAATATTATTTGTTTAGAGGTCGTCCAGTAGTCGAATATAAACCATTGGGCGACCACAAGTAATAAATAATTGTGTGTGACAGATGACGATGTCGGGCGTGTCGGGCGTGACGAGCGCGGCAGTGAGCTACGTACGCAGCGCCCTCATGCCTTCAGCCACCAATGCGGAGGCGGCCGCCGCCTTCTCTAGGCTCATCAACTCCTCTCTCAAGAGCAAGTTAGTACAAGTTTTTTTTAAGTAGTGGCCCGTAGTAGCGATTTCATCGCATCTGCAAACCAGAATATTTTTGCCACGCACAACTACATTCTGGAATCACCTTCTAGCTAGTACGACACGATAACGAAACCTTCAAGAAAAGAGCTTATTTCCTCTTAAAACGCCGGCAATGAACTTGTAATTCCCTTGGTGTTGCGGGTGATCATGGGCGGAGGTAATTACTTACCATCAAGTGAGCCACAAGTTGGCATCTACATAATCATGTTTAAACGGCTCGGCTGCACGGATTTCAATAAATTTGATCCACAAATAGATCCTAGTTTAATATATACAATACTTTTAATCCAAATTCTCACATTGTATCCCGTGGTATATAGCTAATATTTAAGTATTTTTTAGACCTATCATGCTAAATTAATTAAACATTATTCATGTGCCGAGTAATAAATGACACTGAAAGTTCCCATTTTGTTTGCAGATTCACACCGATAAACTTCTTCCTGCACAACATAGCTCAGATGATGGCTAGCGGCGACCAAAGCAACACTTCCACAGAACTGCTGTCGTTCATGCCACGGACTTACACGTAATGTTCTTTTTCTGAGCCCCTTTTTTTTTTTTGTTTATTTCTTTATTATTAGACGTTGCTTATATTGCTAAAAATGACCTGTATTTATTATGGGCTTAAAATTACAATGCAATACCAATTGCACTATTTGATGCAGAATTGACAAAGATATAGAGTAACATCAATTTACTTATAATTTACATAAATAAAAGATGTGATGTAATTCATAACCTCAGTCTTTGGAATTGGTTGAAAATGAAACTATTTCTTCACTCATATTGATTTGCTTTTGATTATAATCTGAATAACGATTTAAATTAAATCTAGTTGTACATCATTGTTTCGGAAAGAAAAAAAAGAATAGGCAGTAATAAATAATTTCTATAAATTCAAATTTATATCTATTGGTTTATATTAAAAAAAACATGTTAATTGAAATAATAAATAGAACCAAGAGTAGATCTGATGGTTGTATAATGAAAATAATGAATTTTTTGTAACTTAAAAAATGATTATTTTAAATTAACATTCAGTACTTATGAATTTGTTATTAATGCAGATTACTGTCGAAGATATACATCGTGTATATGTGTGATAAAGGTCTTATTCAAGATAATACATTAATTAGTATTGGAAAATATTTATAATTAAATATTTATGGTGTTTCATAAAATTAGTATTTTTAAGATTGTAAGGTAATAATCGATGCAGAAGGAATCTGATATCTTAATTATTTACAAATAATTAAAAAATAATAAATAAATAAAAACAGACCTGAAAGCCCAAACGAAGGGTTAACTTCAGACGACCGTAAAACGTTATGAGCCAAATGCTGGAGATATAATTAATAAGTGGGACAAACACAGAAACATGTTGATTAGAGACGCGTAAGCTTGTCTTTATATGTTTTACTAATATTATTATGTAAGTTTGTGACGTTCATTTCTCGAAGTTCATTTCTCCATTATTTATACAGGTTGTTCCAGTAAATAGTTACTATAGTACTAGTTTATTAGGACACTTCCTATAAAGATTTTATTATAATTATTTTTACATGTTCATTTATTTTTTTATTTTTAAAATGTATATCTGTTACTCATACTGTTATATGTTACACAGATAATGATAACTCAGAACAATAAAACCTAGATATATAGTTAGTAAAAATCGTCATTCGTATGCATCTTATATACCTACTGATAAGTTCTGTATCAGTTATTTAATTGTAAAGGTAATAAACCTTCTTATTATCCAATAAATTTTATTTTTGTTTTACAGAATGGCCCAAGAAGGGCGTTTAGTGAGTGTCGAATGTCTTGGCTACGAGAAGCGGTACGACCCTGAGAAGCACTATGTTTACTCACTACGCATCTGTCGGCAAGGTCAAGCCACACCCTCAGTGCTGTACCGTTCTTACAAACATTTCACTGAGCTCTATCAGAAGATATGCGTACTTTTCCCTTTGGCAAAGGTGCACAGGTACGAAAATATTAGAATATATAAAAATTTTATGTTTTTCAGAAATGGAAAACAAGTTGGCCACTTGAATGTGGGAATTGTAGTCAATGTATGACCAGAGGAATTGTGTGACTTGACAACCCTTATGTTTTGTCATTTTAAGATGACCATCAGGTTACGCTTCTGTCACTGCTATCTGTCTAAACAATTCGAAATAGTTCATGAAATATAAGTGTTTGAAAAATGCTTGATTAAAAAATTCGGTTTGATTTCACCACAACAATGGCAGTTGACAATGTAGCTTGCTACCATATAAGGAATAATAGTTGTGAATTAATAAATAATGTATAAAAAGTTACACTTGCGGCAGTAATTTGCGATACAGATTTATTTTATAACTTAAACATTAGGTAAGGTAGGATTTTATTATGATTGATGAATATTTTAGCAACCACGCCACGCAAATGGCAAAAGCTAGAATAAAATAATAATAAACAATAGTGAGTTACACGATATATCTATAATTTTACAGCATGGAAACCATTGTATATACTAGGTTTCCATGTAAGTAGTTATAATCTACTGTAAGAGTCATGAAATAAATTCAGTCCCAATAAAATAATTTTATGCATCTCTCTATGGGTTTTTACATTATATCTAGATTGTAGATTATTACACTTTAAACTTGTTTTCCTAAAAATATAAGTGCATACCTGAGCCCAATTAGACATAAGTTACTTTCACACATTAATTTACTTTAATAGGAACGTTTAACTATTTCTAAATTAAAAATGAACTGAAAATAACTTAACATCTGAGACTAAATATTTTAGAATATGAGTTTCTTACTTTGGCGCCATAAATAATATTTTTAAACAGAATATTATCATTTTGTCCCAATAGTATTGTATTACTGGCTATGTAAATATTAAGATAGAATATTAAGGGATTTATCTTTACGCTTTAGTATACATTCATAAGACTTTAAAAATAATAAGACGAATATATATAATTAAGACTAATTAAATAAGACTATAAAAATTGCCCGTCTGGGAAAATTTTACATCTTCTGTAGCCTAGTTAAATACTATGATTTTTCTCTTTAATCTTACGCATAACTCTTATGTAAACAATACGATTTAATATAACATTGGTGGCCAATGCATCAGTACATTCGTATAAAAAACATCCAATCAACGTGAACGTAAGAACCTGCAGGCGTAGGCTAGTTTTAATTGTCATTATCCTGCTATCTACCCATATAAGACTTTCCTTAATTATGTTCTGATAATCTTAATTTTGGTTTATATCTGGTATATCTAATCAAATTCCTTATTACAATAATAACCAATTTATTTAAAACAGAGTACGCCTATAAAATAACAGTAATTAATATACAACAGTATTACGTTCAAGGAAAAACACTACTCAGAATCACATCCTAAACTAGAGAGAAAATTCTGAATGTAAAGAGTGGTATTACTTATATCAAAAAATATAAGCATCTACTACTTATATTTTTTTGATATACGTAATATTTTAAAAGTCTGTACATACACGTGATAAGAACCCTTATTTATTAGGGCAAGATTCACTTAGCACTTCACCCTTAATGTTTTTCACAACTTGAATACAACAATTTAACTTCACGCTTCACTATTTTCAATTTCCTCTTCATTATCATTATTCTTATTATCATTACCAAAGTTATAATTTAAATCCATTACAACCTGCTTGCGGTTATTCGTACTCGGCCCAGGGCCCACAGGTCTAGTAATTTGCTCTCTATGTTGAGATATCATGTCCCAACTACTTACTGCATTATTTATGGGCTTGCTGAAACTTGTGTTGCCGGTATTATCCTGCTCATTTCTAATAACTGGCGGAGGGACTTCAGAATAAGGTGGTGGTCCGTCATGTATAAGTACGTCACTTACCACTCTATTACTAGTTGATGGCATTTCTTGTCTCCTCACATGTATATTTGGCTGAGGTTCGCTCTGATCAATTGATTCAGTTCTTTTCTCTTGATTGTTAGTATTTGATTTTTGCGCAGCTTGTTCAACTTTTGTCGTCGTTTTGTCTTGCTTTTGCGCTAGTTTTTCTCTTATTTTCTGTGCAGCTAGGTATTTCTTTTCAGCCTTCCTCTGTTCCTTTTGTTCCTTCTTCCTTTGTTTCATTTGTTTCCTCAATTCCTTTTCTTGCTTTTTTACTTCATCTTTTTGTAGTTTTATTGCAGCTTTTTCATCTTTCTTCACAGCCCTTACTTCTTTCCTGGTCTCACGATTTTTTTGTTTTTCCGCTGCTTTTTCTCCTTTCGCCACACGTTTGTCTTGTTTATGCACTTCTTTGGAAGTACTCGGGAGCGAGTTCTGTACTTGCACAATATTATTTGTTCCTCCTGGATTTAAAGACGCTTCAGATGAGCTTTTGACCACTTGAATGGAAATATCGATAGTATGTAAATCGCTGGTGCTTTTAGATGGTCTCATGGAAGGTGTGGGTTCAGTGCTCGTAGTGACATTTGCTATAGATGGCGTTGTTGTTTTAGGTGGATCTTGTAAGCTTCCATATCCTGTAAATAAAAAATATGCATATACATTACTTTGACGGCGTCGGTAGTCTAGCAGTTTAGCATACAGCCTTATTTCCAATAATCGCAAGTTCAAGGTCTCTCACGATACAAACATTTTGTATTCATGAGTGACATGAATGATCAATACAAATAGTATTGGTCTAAGTGTTTTCTATAAATATTGTAATATGTTTTTACAAGAAAAAAACACGTAAGTAATAAATTAGTTCAGTTATTCTATCAGTTAGTTTCCATGTTTAAGATCTGCTCAGAGTGGGACTAGAAAGCGCTGAATTTGTTAATTGTCCTGGGTCATTATAGTGCTATAACTGTAAAATATTTACAGTCGGCATATAAACTCACAATGCACTTCCCAGTTCTTCTTTTTTCTTGTCCAAATATAATATAGAAATTAATGTAACAAACTCACCAAAGAATTCTTCTCTATTTGATCTGTAGATTCCAGAGGAAACTCTCTGCGTATTTTCTTTATTCGGTGGATCAGATAGTTTCAGCGTCGCCTTGAACTTTAACTTAAGCATGAATATAGTGCAACATATTCCGCAGAAAAATGCGAGGGTCCCCACATAGTTTATTTGATTCTCCACTGAAAATATAATACATTATTGTTATTCATATCTTATTGCTCATAGGCTGATAGGTACATCCGGTGTAGGATATTCGAACTTGTGACGTACCTCGATGTCTCTTGCGTGTCCAGTGTATACAAACTTACTTAAATATGCATGATACATATGAACATCCTAAAAAGATGTTCTAGAAATGTTAATGAAAACCGTATCGAAATTCATAGCGGTGTTTAGAAGCGAAGATATAGATGGACAAACACATCGATTTTGCTTTATACTATGTATATATAGATATAATTGTACTTACAATCTGGGTTTCTCAGTACAGCCATATTTATATTTTAATTTACTTATATGTAAATAAGTTAATTAATGTTATGTTTCAATTGACAAGTGATCCGCCCAATACTGTATGAGTCCATACTAATAATAATAGATTAGATTGTAGTACCTCTACCACGTTATGAATAATAACAGCAATCTTATCTACGAGAAAATGATTCTATCAATCGTGTATCATATAAGAACCGTTTCTTATCTTACTACTAAATACTCACGGAATGCATTGGCATACCATTAATATTATTACGCTACTTGTATATAAACCAGATTAAGCAATGTATAGTTGACGGCCTCGGTGGTCTAGCGGTTTAACACACCGCTTTAGTTCCGACGGACGCAGGTTCGATTCTTTGTACGATGCAAACATTTGTTTTTACTATTATTTTTATATAATGACTCGTATCTGAAAAATTAACATATTTGTGTCTATAGTTTGCCATCAGGATTACACGTGGGCCGCACGAATACGCAGATCGTGGCCCAACGTCGGTTCAGCGACGTGCAAGCATTCCTCACGTCGCTTTTCAGTCTCGCGGATGAAATCGCCCACTCCGACCTCGTGTACACCTTCTTTCATCCTCTACTGAGGGACCAACAAGATATCGAGCCGCAACGGACCAAGAAGGGTATGTTATGGTTAATTACTAGTTTTTTTACTCATGACTCTTGTAGAAGTTGCCTATTTCTGTCTTTATCGCTTTTCTTTTTTAAATTATTGATATGAAATGGTGCCTGTGCTTGTAATAACGGTATACATTAATGGAATGAGAAGGACTGTGTTTTATCTGACTTCTAGCATCATTGCTAATAATCCCTTCCCTCTCGCTAACCCAAATAATATGTATATGCTAAATTTCATGAAAAAAATTGAGTTATTAAAATCGCCTCAGTTTACTTATCTTGGCAAATTTCTTACAATACTTCGTACAAACATTTTTTTTTATAAAAGGTAATGGTATAATATTCTTGGCTGCGCTAACGGTTTACACTGGGAGACCGAGGACTGGTCACTAGTGGAGAATGATAAGATGAGTATGAGGTTAAGTAGATTAACCCATCGTGACAAATTCATCAGGAATTTATCTCGACCCGTTAAGGTCTACCTGATATGGTATGGTACATTGCTAGCTATGGGGTCATCAGTTTACATTACTAACAATCTTCTTCCCTTCTCCCCATGTATTACATTAGGCAATAAAGAATGCAAACATATTGTAGGTGAGTCAGTCGAGACAGAAATCAGCGGGTCGGGCGCGCTGAAGCTGTCGGTGCAGTATGCGGGTGGCGTACTCTCGGTGCTTATATTGCACGCGCAGTCACTCGCCATCACGCCGCAGGGTCTGCCGCCTAATCCTTACGTCAAGGTAATAATGATTATATTACAATACCACTTGTACTTTGTACTAACCACTGATATAGTAACATATTTGCCATATTTTAATAGTTTTGATTGCAAATATCATATTTTTTATAACAGTCTGCATTTAAATTTATTCTCTAAATATATTATATTGGTATGAATAATGCTCATGCATCTGGCATAGTTACCTAAATTATGACATAAAATTATATTAATTATATATATATAATTAATTATAGATGCAATGTATCATTATCTAATAAATATTATAATAAAGATTTTATCTATCTATTATATATAATCTCTACGATGTGGTATCAGCTTCTATTAGTTCGCCGGTCACATAGTTTGTTAGAGGGTTTTCAGTTTTTTCTTTTATAGATTTCCTTTGCTCTCCTATTCATTATCTTTTATGATATCCAGGAGATGAAAAGGAATATCAATGAAAGTATACGCTCATTAATGCTTTTAAATTATTTCATATTCTCTGTTAACTTTATAATGTATTGTTGCCTTTAGACGTAGTGATGTAATTTTTTTAGAATCAGTCTGTTGTTATTGGTGAAAGCCTATCAGTAGCTTAGTATGACGTCTATATTGATTTTATTTAAGATATATATAGCCTTTGTTTTCCTTTAATAAATAAATTATTTAATTAAAGAAAATCATGGAATATTTTAATAGTCATAAAATTTAATTAATACTATTAAATACATTTGACTCAAAGGTATATTTTGAAAGTACACTCTTTATGTTAAGGAGATAAAAACCATCACTACCAAAATATCATTAAATTCCTGCCCGCGACTGAATTTAGTAGGAAACTATATGTATATTCTATTATATTGTTACAGGTATATTTAGTACCGGATCCAACCAAAGAAACGAAACGCAAGACGCGCGTATTAAAACGCAACTCGCATCCATCGTTCATGGAGATGCTGGAATACCGGCTGCCGATCGAAGTGGCGCAGACCAAGAGTTTGCAGGCCACCGTGTGGCACTACGACTCGCTCCAAGAGAACCAGTTCCTCGGAGGAGTGGTAATACCACTCAGCGCGTTATCACTAAGGGATGAGACGGTAGCGTGGTATCCATTAGAGTATATACCCCGGTAGCTAATATTAACCCGCTCCGCGATGTGGAGCACGGACCTTACCAACCTTTAGTTTTGTACTGACAAACGTGGAGTTATATACCAGAGAATACTAACTATAATATATACAGACGGAAAACTTGAGCACTAGCGCAATCTGGAAAGTGGTATTAGTCAAACAAAATAATGAGCATAACCAAATATATCGTGAACATCACTAGTCCAAGAACTTAATCTGTGATATCAATAGAATTGATCATAGTTATGTGGTTTCTTTTATAAAACCACCTTTTCCAGAATGTCTGAAATCTAGCTGAAATGCTGAAGTTTTTATTCTGTAATATATAATCTGTGGTTAAAGTTTGCGGCAAAAAAAAAACTTGAAAAAGACAATAGACAATTTACGCAGTAGTTTGAAGTTAAAATGGTATTAAATTTATTTGTCGGTGTCTATGACTAATGACTAAAATTATGTATGTATAAACGGCACTAAAGATTTAATCATAATTTCAGACAACATCTAATAAATCTATTTGAATTATTCAACTGTTTTGTCATTTTTTCTCAAGCAATATTCTGCTTATGAAAGAAATTGACAAACATTCCAATTAACACTAATTTAATGATATTATAGATAAATAAGGTAGTTAAAATATTCCACTGAAAACAATCATACGTTCATTGGTATCAGTGATTTTGTTCTTTTCATGTACGAGTACGCTATCGTCAAATAGTCGTAACAATTCATAAGCGTGCCTCTAACGTTTCAACGAATTTAACTTGCACATATCAACTTGTGTATTCATCGAAATTACATACATAAAGGGACGGAACATCTTAAATTTTATAACAAATAAATATATAACACAAAATGTTATACAATATTGTGCCAAATAATCGCGTAACATTCACTGAGTTATTAAATCGTTGCTATGTGTATAAGAATTCGATTGCGAATTTAAAACTGCATATCATTCAATATGGACGGGATTACGTTTCAGTATTGGTAATCAGGAATGTATCTTAAATACGGAATAGCAAAAATAAAAACTTACAGTATGGGGTTTAGAATGCATTAAAATTTCCAAGCGTCTCGAAATTAACAATATTTTTTTCATAATTAAATGGAAATCATGTTGGGGAAAAATAATTTGTCCATCATTAAACAGCATATTGGAAAGGGTAATTTGATTTGCCTTATTTTATTTAATATATTTAAAAGTTATAACTTGAATAATGGCAAAGAAAGCAATGTGAAACTGTATTAGCAAAAGGGAGTAAGCAGTGAGAGATAAAAAGACTAATGTGATAATTTCTTTGGGCCAATTATTACATCATAAAGACAATTGTAAAGACAGTTGGTAATACCAGCTATTAATTAAAATCAGCTGCTTGTTTTAGTTTAATAATCTATTATTTAATTTCAATAAGAAGAAATAAAAAATATCTTATTCTAATTTTGTCACTACATAGCTGCTGAATTTTACCTTCGCACCACCGCCTGAAACTAAAATGCCATCCTGATCATATGGATGAATGGCGGTCCTCCACAGTGCGTTTTTCCAGAAACTTTTTGCCACAACCACATTGTGAAATCACCTTTCAGCAATGGAACTGATACGATATTAAATCTTTAAATGAAGAGCTTTAAATCCTTCTTAAAAGGCCGGCAATACACTTGGAATTCCCCTATTTGCCTTTTCTCATGTGCAACAGTAATCACTTACCATCAGTCAGTCTCCAATGCTATAAAAAATTACCAATGATTTTTCCTTAACATTGAACTAGAAATATCTGATTGGAATAATAATCTCTTAAATTTTTATCGATTCAAATACAACCCGATAGCGGATTGTTTTGAATCGAATAATCATCGAGATAATTATGCAATTGTTTTATACAGCTTTATTTATTATCTTATGATAGAGGTTTGTGATAATGAAAGTCTACTTCAAATATTTAGTTTTTTTTAATGAAATATTAATGGACTTACACAACATATTTTATTAAAAGTGTATTAATAAAACATTTGAATTAAACTTATTTTGTATGAGATTGAAATTTTTAATCTGAGTATTTACTAATGAGATCGTTCTATAATCTACTATATTTATTCTTTTACAAACTACATTATAATATTTTTACCTAGAAAAACAAATTTACATATATTTTTTTCATCAATTATTATGTTATATATTTATTAACTTAAATTTACAAAATGTCTAAATAACTTACAGCTCCTGTAGGATGTATGTTATATATGGTTTCATCAACCTTATAAGTGTAACGTTATCTCATTAACCAGCATTACTCAATCGAATCAAAATCAAAATCAAAATTTAAATACAAATATGTTACCTATTCTTGAATATGGTAAGAAAACAAAGAGAAATGAAAATAAAATATACTGTATAATAAAAATCTTTTATATTGCCAAAAAGGTCAAATAAATTGCTTTGATTTTGCTTCGCTTACGTTAAAACTTAAGCATGCTGTTTAATATAAATACGTTTTTTCACTAGGAACATTTGTTCAAACTTTTCAATGCGGTAAAGTTATTCACTGTATCCATTGTAATCGCGTGACAAGTTTTTTGACATTCCAAATTAGCGTATTAACTATTTTTGTATTACTTTATAAACAAATCAGTATAGTTTGTGGTGCTTAACATTTATGATTGCTCGGTGGTGTTGTTTCAATATATTATTATATATAGTTACTTTCATAATATGAGAGTTTTGTATTTATTAAGATCTGAATGGATTACTATTTTGCCTACGAGTGGTTTAGGGTTGCCCATAAATTACGTGACACGAGATTAATTGTTTTTGGTCATTTCCTTGCCCTTCGCTAAGCTGGTGACAATTGTGAAACTCTACTTCTCTATTGTTAATATTACATATCTTACAATTGTATAATTAGAAACGATTCAATAGAAAATAAGCGACTGTCACGAAATTAGTTTAATTATTTTATGGCAAAATGTAGATGAAAAAATTTACGAAACTTATAACTTCCACCTCATGTCACACTTCGTCACTCCGCCCCACCCTTAACCTGTTACGTAATTTATGGATACCCCGTTTTGGTATTGTATTAAATTTTTTATAACTATTTACACGCGCTAGTACGTAAATATTTAATTGAGATTCTTAGTAAGTTTTAATTTCGTACAAATCTGTGTTATGTCGTCTGCTCTGAATTGATACTAGATATTTAATGTAGCCTAGACTATTATAATTATAATATTTATTGGAAATGAAATATATTATTTGGTCTATATTAATTGTAATGGTGTTTATATTATTTTAATTTAAGTTAAAATTCACAAGTATTTTTTATTTTTCATGGTCAATGTATTTACAACATAATCTCTAAATTAAACAGTAACGCTTATAATTATAAATAGCAAGTCTTGAATTGATTTGAATGTAGGCATTGTATTATAATGCTTCCAGAGTTTGCTCAAGCTACATTATGGCGGCGGGCTATAAATAAATCGATCAGGATATGTAATAATATGGACTGACTATTAGCAGCCTCTTGTATATATTATACAATAGTTTTTATATGATTATCAGTGTAACACAATCATAATAAATAATGTTGTTGTTTTGCATATTGTAATAAAATAATAAAGTTAATAGTGTCAACTCAGTACAGTGTGGTTTTCCTTTAATATTGTCTTTATAGGTACAGTATATAATAAATATACATAATAATACATAATCCTTCTGCACCTTCCTATCTCCGCGATATATACATCACATTCGATCCCAAAATAGATTAGTCTTAGCTGGAACCTATTAGATTGTGGAATTCAATAAAGCATTGGTATATTTAAAAGCCGCTTAAAAAAATATTATCTTTCACAATGCTGACGTATTATTATACATATATATGTATTACTTATATATTATTTATGTACAATTTATGTATGTCTATATATTTATATATTTGTGTATGTTTATTCCTTCTTATAGTGTGACTTATTAATATTTATATAATTTTAATGTCTTCCTTTCCCTTTTTTTCTTCTCTTTTCTCGTACACGTATGTATGGCTGATCTAATGACCAAATTATCCTATAACATTTTCTAGGTTTGCTGGAAGAAATCTCTTTTTAGAGATAAGCTCGCCCTTGTACATTACTTTTATTTTATTATTGCTATTTTTTTTTTCCTGTGTGTGTACAATAAAGAATAAAGAATAAATTTAGTCGAATATATACATCCCCACAAGCTGGAACCTACAATAAAGGAAATAACGCTGGAAATACTACTAGTCTCGTACAATGTTTTCTCGAGAGACTACGGCATGTTTTCTCGAGAGACTACGGCATGGGGTTTTTGAAGAAGGGTATATTAGGGTTTCTTAATTGTCGAATGAGCACGTTACACCCTTTTGTTTCAGGTTACGGGAACTGTTTATCATCCTATGCTTATTTGTCGCCATCGTAATAAAAAAAAAGTATATATGTATGTATATGTACACTTTGTGTGTCAAATTATATTTCAACAAAAAGAAAAATGCAGGCATCGGCGGTACGCTCGCCTCTCTGGCTCGTTCGATTCAAATATACCCAGCAATTTGTAACCTGTCAAGTATTGCATTCACCATGACAAAAATAATTAAAACTGGCTCCGTTGGCTAAATACCTACAAGAACATCGCTATTGCCAATACTTTATCAGGCGACTCCTGTGGTACTACACATGTGCTGCAATTCCGAAGTAATATAGATATTATGATATCTTAGTATCATATCATGGTATAGTGTAATTTCTTTGTCTTGAATGGTGAGAACCCATCAACTGAAACACCTCTAACAATGCAACCTGCTTGGCACGCAGACAATTTCGTACAAAGTATATCCTAGTCGATTTATCTATAGTGACAATCTGTGAGAAATAATAATTGATAACCTCTCTTAGTTTAAAACTCCGTTATAAAAGAACAATTTATTATTAGCTATTAAAAATAAATTCGTTACGCATTGTGATTCAACTAATATAGATATTGTAGTCTTGTCGACACGTCTGTTTCAGAGATAATAATAATGTAAATATATATTTTTAGCATATCCTTGGGTTCGATTATGCTAGTTTTTTTATTAAATGTATTTGGATCATGAGTTGCTATCGTCTGTGTTAATGCTATAATATAGTTGGTCATGGATGATAAGATGAGAATGATGTCAATAAGTCTATTGCGGCGATAGTTCCCATTATAACAGAAGACCCCTTTTTTGATCGTGATGAAAATCTTCAAAAGATCGTCCGCCTACCAGAGGAGTGACGAGAGTGTGTGGGAATCTTACTTAGTAAAAAACCACACAGTGTACCTACAAACACCAATGCCGTAATTACGAGGTCGCGTTAATATTCTACCACGGCTGGCGACGTTGGCCCGAGCAATAGATAGTGTAGGGCTGGCCCATCTCGTAAGAGCGACATATTTTTCTTTTTAGTTGGTCCGCTGCCTCCCTCAAGGCGAGCACATCAGCCTCCATGTGGGGAAGCCGTGGGCCGGAGTCGTGTACGACCTCTAGGATGGACTATTCTTCCGGGGATTAGTGAAGTGGAAGGATTAGACTCCCACTATTAGTCCGTTACCTTCTTCCACAAGATAACTTCCTCGCAGAAGGAGCTTACTGCCAGCTATGTATGACCACTCGCTACTCGTCCTACTCAGAGCTACATTCGGCAGTGAGAGATTGACCACCATCCACTATACGAGTGAGGACACGGCGCTCATTCATACAATTCCGCAAGCGTGGTCATCGGATCACTTCTCGTCTACGTACTAATGACTCTACCCGCCCCAATATTACAATTAATATAAAAAGAATCATAAGAAATAATAACATACCCTTCACTACGGTTATCCCAGATAATGTAATACAACTTTCGTTATTGTGGTGGACTTAACATTGACATTGGGAATATTTAAAATAAATGGCAAGGGACGACTCTACTACTGTCTTTCTCGGAATATTTTTGTTTGTTAATAAGGTTTCCATGGTCGGAGTTTTAATGAAAACAAAATTTGTTGTTATTCACATTTAACCTTACAACCTGAATGTGTTGGAGTAGTAAAACTGGACCACGACGTTCTCAAGAAATAAATTATTATTAACATATACTATATATGCATAATCTTACCTTGTTGGTCCAAACACTATAAACTACACTGCAATGTCAAACACTAGCAGTAACTTTTATTAGGGCCCAAGGAAAAAAACAAAAAAACTTATTATTTTTTGATATTTTTATGTTAACTTTAATCTACCTGGAATTTGGAGGTGTTTTTGATTACAACAGCAAAGTGACCAGTATGATTTCGAAAAGTAGATGCGATGGTCCAAGCAGTCCAAGCCGTTATATCCTACTGGAGGTCCATTTTTAACGAAATTGATTCTTATTGTATATAAAAAATGAGTTTCATAATAATAGTCGAATTCAGTAAGAACTAGGGATTCTTCGATCGCCGAGCCCGATATTAAGGTAAGGTTGCCAGATGGTCTCGATAAGTTACTTAGTTTTAGGCAATAGTTAAATTATGTAGCTTCCAATGTTTTGGGTTCGATCCCCGTACATTTCATATATTTTTGTATAGACGAAATTTTAATTTTCTATTGGTCTGGTTGTTTTATAATGTTGATACCTATGTTATTTTTAATTTACAGAAAAAACTATAATGTCCATTTCTTGTTTAGTATCAAATTAGATTTAAAACAATATTTACTTAGTTTACAATAAATGTTCCTGTAATATGTCGCAGGATATTTATTTATCTTGATCATTTTATGCACTTGTTTTATACCTACTTGCATCACAGTCATTGCATTTATGCATTAATGTATTTTTATCCTTTATTTTATATACAAGTAAGTGACAATAAACATATTATATTATTTATACATAACAACTACTATTATTTATGTATTTGGAATAAGAATTATTTCTTATGAGATTACGTTATCAAGAACAAAGTTATCAAAACAGCGGAGATAAATGTTCATTAAGTACAATTATATTTGTATTAAATTTAAAGTATTAAATACAATTAACTGTTGTAAGTAATAATAAAAATTTGTTACAATAAATTGGTAGTTAACTAATTGCTTTAGATATTTGTACAATCATATACCGATCCGATATTCTAGTTATGGTTGCAAATTAAAAACAATTACTTACTAATCTTGGGTTGCATGTATGACAGGCTTCGACTCAGGAGAACTCCGGTCCGGTTAAACTGGTAGATGTTGGGTGGCTCTTGGCAGAACATTGTGGTTAATATTCTCTTCGCTTGGCAGTACCACGCCGCACGGCCCGTCGTTCTGACGCACGGATCACGCAAATCACGCACGTTCGTTCACAAATAAAATTGTATCCGATTATAAAATGATCATCGATATGACATAAAATCTATTCTTATATTGTTATGGTATACGTGAATCATTAACTATTTCTAATTAAAGGGGTAACAAGTAAAATTTAGTCCGTTATCCTTAAATTAAGTGAAAATGAATGATACAACAGTGAAGTCTAATGATACTTGGCAGCGGATAAAAGAATTGGCACAGTCATGGCTGGAAGACCCCGGTGTGGAAGAGTACGAAGGTCTGAACATCACCGCGCTGCAGAGAGATGAAGCGTATATAGTTGGATCTGCTGATAGAGATATTGGAATCTACAGCGTCTCCGACGATTGTTTTAGAGTAAGTCTTCTTTTTTTATTATTTGTATACATTTGCATTCAGACTACTAAACAGGCAGCGGTTGTACGAGTATTATGTGATAACTATAGGGACTTAATATGTATGTTTTGGTTGAAAAACTGGTTTCACGGGAACATCGTTGTACCTTTGATTTGATGTTACCTGACTTCACATCATGGTGATACAACTCACGTTGAGTTGTTTTGTTTGCAATATGTTTTTTCTTATTGACAGACACAAGTCGCTCATATATCCACATATATTTTGATGTAATTTAGTTGATCATGTCATCTACTCAAGTATCTAACAGCTATTAGCTGGCTAAGATTTTTGATAAATATTTTTTATTACCTAACAAGCACCCAGATATGACTAAATATAATATATATATTATTAATTTATATTTTTTTTATAATGAATACATTGTCAATTGCAAAGAGTTGTACCTACGTTCGTAGAGTAGGTACCTGCGTTATAATTATATTTTAAAGTTAAATGACAGTCATTCCATTTAATTAAAAATCATCATCATCATTTAAGAACTACACATTTAATGAGACTTTCGCGCCGCGACCGTTACAATTTTCGTAGTGTCTCTACATTTTCATACTACCTACTTGATACCAATTTGTTCCCTAATCTATAATATTAGACAGAATTAAATATAATTTAATCTTCCTCCCCACTGTTATCCTTCTATACTAATTTGAATAAGGCCGTTATATAAATTTAAGGGTACTAAAACTTTGTATAAATAGTGATAACATGTAGAGTTGAACATTTTACAAAGTTATAAACAATTCTAAAGTTACTATATAATTTTCCTTACTTACTATATATAGTATTCGTTTTTTATCTTTATTGATAATTAATACAGTCAAAGCTTGACCAAGTCATTTACTAATCTACCAAGAAATTATTTATACAAACAACACTGAAACGTAAAGATGTTAACATATCTAGGTATAATATAGGCACTTACGAAGAAAGTAACTTACGGCAATGACCAGGAATATTGACGTCGTGTCATGGGAATTTCCGGGCAGTTTTCATTACCTATTTAATCGTATAGAACTTTAATTGCCTATTTAAATATAGAGAGAGTGAAAGAAAACACGCAATCTAACGATAGCCTGGGAATTTACGGGGAACAGAGTGCAAGTGAAACATTAACTTTTATGGTTGAGTAGACAAGAATTAATAGAGTATATTTATCAAGTGATTAAGTCGGATTTGGCAAAAAATTAACTATAATTTTGGGGGGTAGGTCAATTTGCCATAGCTTTGGCAAATTACTTAGTAATATTTTATTATTGGGTATCTATAATATTTTAGTTAGATTTAGTTATTCTTGATGAAACTCTAGCACTTGAAATTGATTGTGAATTTACAAGATTAATATCGGTTGACACTTATAATTATTTGATATTTATTAAAATAATTATAATTGTTGCGGTTATTTTAATTATTATATAGCTATTAGTCGATTTAAACTTTGTAGAAGCCTAAAATTCTATAAAGGAACTGTCTTAGTAAAAAAGAGAAAAGTAAAATTGAGTTTCAACTTCCTATATATATGTAGTTTGTTATATACTTACTAATATTTCTCTATTATTTTGCAAATGAAAGTATTAAAAACTTTCTGTATTCAATACTAAAACACAAAATATGCCGATTCAGTACTTGAAAGTGAATAATTAAAATTTGTTTGTAACCACTTAAGACAAAAAAGCAGTCATGTAGGTCCGCTCAAAGAATGTGACAAGTCAAAAAATGGTAGATATTTACGTCTATCTAAAATAGTGTGTTTATATGTTTCAAAATGGTTTTGTTCTAAAAAAATAACAATAAAAGTAGAATATTTATATTTCTCTTTAAAAGCTTTTGAAACTGAATTGTTAGACATTAGGTAGGTTGCGTTATGAGTTGTCATTAGTTTCTATTTCTAGACTGACTACTGTTTTTTATATCCGTTGTTATTATGAATATGACCTAAATACCTAACCGTAACATGGTCTCACACTTGCTGTATATGAAAGTACCATAGTGCTCAACGAGCTCTTGAGATGTCTTATATCACAGCAAATAATAGTATTCTCCGACACATTGAAAAAAGTTTAACAATTTTTTTTATAGACAAGAGGTTAAAAATAGGCGTAGGCGTCTACTGAGCCTGAGAGCGAGAGATAACATAAATAACACGAGATATTTTGGTGGGCGAATAGAAAGTATTTTCATCCCTTAAGATCCTAAGACTGATGTAAAATACTTTTTTGGACGTGGAACAATTTTGCATACGTATATAACATTTACATACGTAAATCGATGTGGCCCAAAAGTCCTGTAATAAGAGCATTAATCATCACATATCGATTTACGCATCTACGTAGCTTAGAAGAATAGATATCCAATAGATAACTGAGAACACTGATCTGGGATCCACAGAGCATTACTGTCTAAATGAGGGTTGTTCCAAGTCTTATTTAGCAGTGGATAATAAAATGTTGCTGATGATGTTATGAAACCATTTCCATATGGGCATAATATATTAGCCGCACTCAGCGGATCTTTTAACTTTTTTGATTTGCACAATTAATACCTCTGATTACGTGTTGTTTGACAGATTATAACATTACTCAAGCATTGGGCTATCTAATATAACTAGAAGTTTTGTAATACGACTGACATTCTCAGGTACCAGTGTATTTAAATAGACTCTTGTGCTTTATTAATTACATTACTATTTTTTTGCGTAATTAGAAGTGCAAATAAGCTGACGACTATAATGGTGGCGAGTCAGAAGTGTCGTCTATAAACATAAAGAGCCCTACGAACCTCATGCATTGCTATACCTGAGGACTGAGATGCAATTGTAATTTTACTGAAACTCTGTTAACGAAGCACAGCTTGCAAGGTTACTTTACGATTGGCTGAATCAGCAGAGACAGAGGTACCCATGAAGACGAGTATGTACAACGTTTTTCTCTGGTATATATACATGTATGGTCGGGGGAGAATGGAATAACCTTATGTAAAAAAACCAAACTATTAAAATATCTAGACGCCGCACTGCAGAATATAGTTTTTCCCCAATAAAGGTTTATATCTATGATTAACACACTGGTTAGTGGCCAACCGTCTTGGTAGGTATAGATTTATTTTTAGTTTTCCTTTTCTTGCATTATTAGCTTCAGTGGTCTAGCGGTTTAGCATGTCGCTTTACTTCTGATGGTCGTGGGTTCGATTCCTCGCGTGGTGCAAATATTTATATTCATGAGTATGATTGTTTGAGTCGGTAGGTGTTTGCTATATAAAAAAAATTATGTTTTTGTATCAGTTATGTAGTACCCAAAAGACAAGCTTAAGCTAGGTTAACATGGATCTAGATGGCGCTGTGTGAATTGTCCTGAAATTATTATTATTATATTCGGACTCTGAATTAGCATGTTCAATTTGGAAAAGTCAGGACACTATATTATTAAATCAAATGTAGAGCTGTGAGATTGTGAGTACATAAGTTTTACCTTGTCATCCCAATTTGTATTAGATATATTCATATGATATCAAGATTAACAAAACAATATGAACGAATAATATGAATAAATAACAAGGTTACATGTATCTGATATTAGATGACCTTAATTCAGACAGACATTTAAACTTATATCTAATTTAGTCGATGTGTTTAGTTTTTTAAATTATTTTTTTTTATATATAAAGGTCTTTGCTATAATATTTTTACTAGAGTTTTACCCTCGGCTTCCACTGCAGATACTATACACTATTTCTCTCCTAATTTGTCTGGTCAATCTAGACATTCGAAGGTTGTCCATTTTCGACATAACAGATAATCTGTGTCCGTCCTAGTAATTAATTTAAGCGTCGTAATGGACCGAGTTAATGTGTTCCCTATTATATGGTTGAGTGATGTCTGGCTCAACCGTCATACTTGTGAGCGGGTGCTGCTTTGGTTGGTGCTGGTGGTTACTGTATCCCAAATTTAAACATGTACAACCATTATAGAAAAGATTATGAGCTGAATTTCTTTTCAGTTCTTCTCATTCCGAACTGACGGTAGATTTGATATGTTATAAGAGTCTGTAGGTCACATGAATGACGGTAGATTTGATATGTTATAAGAGTCTGTAGGTCACATGAAAAGGCATTAAATTTCATTAAAACCCGTTCACTTAGACTTAAAAGGATAAAAAATAAAGAGACTTATACACATTCTCATTTATAATATTTGAATAGATTTTTAAAACGTCGCTAGCAATTGCATTATTATGTTTTATTATTGCAGTGTCCTTTCGAGCTACATAAAAAAATCGCCGCAGGAACGAAAGAGACATGGGTCAATAATACTGCACGCCGTGCCACGTGGCGGGTATATACAAATACTACAGAACAATATATTACTACTAGAAATACCACGTAAGTAAACATTTTGTTATTATTTGTATTGTTTAACTTAATTTTATCGGATATCCATCCATATTATGTTGGTGAACAACTTATAAACTATATTAGTAAACTACAATTTACATCCTTTCAATTCATGTATCTTTGTCTATGTCCAAGTCCAGAAGCACTGGGTCCGCAGCAGTGCAATGTCCAGTGTCTCTGGAGCAGACAATCCAACATATGTACAACTAGGTTTTATACTTAGGTTTTACATGTTGTTAGAATGACAGATAAGCTGACTTACTTGAAAATAGTAATAACTGTCGTATTGGTATATTTATGAAAAGTACCACAGATGTCAGATTATCCGGTATACAACACCTGAGTGTTACACTCATGCATGCGCGTAGTCACGGTGGAGCATTTACTCCACCCTAGCTCTGACCAGTAAGGTACCTAATCAAACCTATATAAAATACAAATTATCTATGCACTAACTACAATACTTAATATCAGTAAGAAAGTTCATACTCGACAGTCGACACAATAAATAACATGGGTGTAACACTATGGACACTATCGTGATAAACTCCAAGTGAATTTACCACGATGGGCTACCTGCCCTAACCTCATGCTCATCTTATCATCCTCCACTGGTGCTCCGCCAGCATAAATCATCAATGCAGGCGAGAGCATATTTCCGTTATCATCCATTAATAAAAGTGTCTGTGTTTTCTCTCATTTCACTGCCTTGTCACCTTTCAACCGAGACACATTTTATAAAGCAAGGTACTTGGCTGCTAAAGTCAGCAGGATACTGGTACCCACGTAAACGACTTTCACAAAGTCTGCCTCGCTTACTAATATGTATTTTCCCATAATATTATAACATTACTATATTTTTTATTTCATATCACATTTAGATTTACTATTGGATATTCCAGCATCATCATCAAATTAAATATTCTAAATATGCTAATAAAAAAAATATATTCTTTTATCAATTTATGCTCAAGGTTATTTGATTTTATCCTCAATTTAGCAAGATCGGTATTTATTTCGATACGAATATATAATTTTTGGCAAATAAATACAATGGGTATATAAGTATTAACTTAACTTCTAATAAGGTATACTTTGTACATAGTATTTGAGTATGATTATTGTATCCGTCTATTATAATATATGTAGGTGTTTATAATAAAAGTATTTATAATAAGGTCTGGATGGCATGCCCAGGGTTATTATCAATACTAACCTAATTACTATGCCCTTTAGCAGGAAATATACACAATTTAGTAGCGCATTATATATATATTCATATATTATAACTACGACGGTGTCTGTCTATTTGTCATATATTTTTTTACCTTTTCTCGAACAAACAGCTGAACGGATCTTAATGAAATTTGATATGAAAATAAAATTGTATCACAAAGACGACCACAGGTTATATTTTATCTAAAAAATGACGACAATCAGACGATGGCGCGGAAAAAAGCTTGTATGTACCTATATATAACATATATATATTAAAATGCTATACATACATTAAATAAAAATAATTATATGTAAATATTATATGTATTGTTCAATAGGAATATGATATGCCAACTGAGACCTGACTTGGGACAGTTCGGCGTGTACAGACTTAACGCCAGCGGCGAGGGTTGTAACTTTACTACCTCCAAGGAACCAGTCGTCATATATAAACGTAAGTACATTTATTTATACAGTACATAAATTGTATATACGTACTATTACGTACTTTATTCTCCACGCTTAGCCTGCCGTTTAGGTATTTGTTAATCCTGCTAATATTAGTATTATTACTCATATTACTCACATATCGTATAAGTTACAATATACTCATATTATATAATACATTATTGATATACTACGTATTAAAATTAGTATGTATAATTACTCTTTGACGCAGAAACTATTGCATAGATTTGAATGAAATTTGGAACACAGATTCATAATAGATCCTAAACCGTGCCATCAAACCATGTTCCATATCTTGTCGTACCCTTAGTATCCAGCATCTTACAGGAAGAAGACCTAGGCCACCGACTGTGTAATTGTAGCGTTGTAGTTGCCAACTTTTAGTTTACCATTAATACGAAAGAAGAAGATCCTAAATTGAAACATTGTATATTCTCTTACTGAATTTACGCGGGCAGGGTCCTGGAATATTCTGCTAGTGTTTGTATATAGAGTAAATCTGGCCTCACATTATTAGGTTCAGTCAGATCATTGTCGCGCCAATAGGATTGGCGTTCCTATTGGCGCATTTTAAAGAGGATGGAGCATAGGGCCAGACATGCCAATCGTATGATAATCGCATAGGATAATCATACGACTGAACCTAAGAATATTAAGCCAGATTAAAATGAAGCCATGTTTTTGTTAGAAGTGCAGAATTTTTGTAGTTTCTTTACTTGTTTCAACAAAACAACTGTTTTATGGATTTATGCATGTTTTATGACCACTATTATGAATTTGTTTGCATAAATAAATAATTGCTTCGAAGACAAAGCAGTCTGGCAATAAAAGGCCGTCTGTGTCATCTATTGTTATTTAATTTTGAATGATAATTGCGAATCAGTGTTTTCAAGATATGTAATCAAGAATTCAGTGTACGCTATAAGAAAGTGGCTACATAATAATATTGGGAAGTAAGACCATCACCCGTTTGTTTTGAGAGACTTCGCGGCCGTATTATAATGGATTCGATAAAATAGATGGATTATTATTTAATATTAACCGTTCTGACAGACAAAGGTGTTTAAAGTTTAATATATTGGAAATATGATCTTACTTAAATGGTAGGTGTGGGGTATGGGGTATAGGTATCTACGAATATTCAAAATACAAGAATAAAGCTTTGTAATAATTTTTACAGTATTATATGATAGCACACTAAATAATATACCACTAAGAAGTCAGAATTACTGAATAGTTATTAAAAAAGTATGGTACTTGAATTAATAATGAGCGTTTTTTTTTTTTCGAAGTTTACGGATTCTTTTTCAAATAATGGTTCCAAATATATTAATTGAAGTATTGTCCATCGCTGGCCACTACCTTTTTCCATCATTCTGGTAATTTTCGGATGCCAGCTCGAAAAAATTATTCATCATTTGAGGCAATCCAATCATGGACCCATTTTTTAATTGTTCATATGAACCAAATGATACTTCAGCTATTTCAGACCCATGTGTCATCGAATGGAATAAGTAATAGTCCGAAGGAGCAATGTCTGAAAAATACAGCGGTGGCGGCCTGTTGATCGAAACATTTCATTATTTTCTAGGTAGATATATTATCAATGGTTTTAAATTTTTTTCTAGAGTGTGTCAATTGCAAAATCACTTTGTTAGTAAAGTAAGAGCTTTCTTTTAGATTTTAGCCGATTTTGTTTCAGTATTTGAATGATATTAATTAAGTGTTTGAAACTTTAACATTGAAGGACTTTAATGTTAAAGTATCAAAGACGATTTCCAAAATTTTCCTTTTCTAAATTAATATATTTTTTGTTACGCATGCGACGTGTGTGACAAATTTCACTAATTGATTAATTAAAGTAAATGATTAAATTATAAACATTTGTAGCAGGAAAAGAAATTAAATTCAGGATTATTGTCGACGATAATAATTACTGCCAATTTAGAGTTATTTTTTGTATTTTTTTCATTTCATTTCATTTATTTTTACTAATGACCTACACTCACTGATAACTTAATTGATCAAGTTTTGTTACAATTAATTAAATTGAATTCGAAATGTGAAATATATTTAATAATGACTGGTAATTTAGAAAAGAACTGTATATTAAATTTCTATGGCTTTTACATATTAAATTAATATTATCTGAGATCCTTGACCCAAATACAACAGAGGCCTTCTGTAACAGCAGCCGGTACTTACCTGCTAAATATATCTGTGATATCATTGTATCAGTCGATGGTCATATTTATCTTCACACTTGTCCTCTTTCGTCATCTTGTTTACCTACATCGCGAGTTTTATTATTATCTCTTATTGCTTCAACAGTAACTTTTTTGTTATTGCATATACTGAAGTATTTTGATATATTATAGTTTTTTATGTCACATGGATACAAAGGTCCACTTGAGAGAAAGTGGCGACCGTCGTGTGTAACAATATCGTTATCACAATATATACATACATATATATATACTGCAACGTATTTTGGGAAATTCTGTAATAAGTACTTGCAATTCGCTTTATGTACAAAAATATAGCCATACGAGATCGCAAATATTTCGGTTAAAGCTAGCTAGTCGGTAGGAGAGTTAGTGATATTGAATTAAAACATCTTAAGGATATGTTGATTTATTTTGTTGCTATAAAAATATGTCAATAGAAACAGAAATAATCTTTATTCAAATAAACTATAAATAATATAAGCACTTGAATAGTTATATCTATTTATGCTACCTTCGGAAAGCAGTTTCATCATAAGAAGAATGAGCAAGAAACTTGCGTTCTGCTCTTTTATAGAATTGTTGTTCTAAGTACAATAGTCCAGGTATATTTTCAGTGAAATATACTAATACTATAAGGAAACCTGATTTTGTTATAAAGAAGATAAACTCCGGAACCACTGCACCGATTTGAGATATTCGTTGAATGTCTAAAAGGTAGGTACATAGATAGAGAGTTACTTAGCCGATAATATATTAAACTGAAAAAGTTATGAGCACCCGAACGAAGCCAGGACGAGTATCTGGTTTATTATAAATTCAGATTATTTTGACGATTTCAATCAGTACTGAACTAATTTATTCCAAAACATAAATGGATAGACACAGCTATTACTAAAATGTCACTGTGGCTGCAATGTCAATGGCATATTAGCAATGACATTGTTATTAGAATATTTTTAAGATTGAAACGGTACTGACTCGATCACAATTGATTTAGGTTGTTGGTTATACCCATTCGCATTGTTGGTATGCGATTGTGGAGTACCCATTCTTTGGACTTTATCCTTTTGAATGTATGCTAATGTTAACCATTGCATTGCAATTGTTGGAGGTTACTCGAACTTCTTTAAATTACAGTACACGTTTGTTATTAAAAAAAATATATGTAAAACCTGATGTAGTATATGTATGTTTAAATTATATGTATTTTTTATATTATACAATAGTGTATTTTATCTACAATTCATCTGGTGGAATTTCGTGTCTCTCATGTCATAATTTTTTTCATACAAATAAATAAAATAAATGCATACATTCCGTTTTGTGTAAATTGGTCTTTAATTTGTTGCCGCTTCAGTCACAGTTGCTTTGGTAGAAAATATAGGGGATTCAAATTTATTAGAAAATATAAGTATTTAAATCTAAAAGTTTTCGTGCGCGATTGTATTTTCGAACGCTTATGTACTAAATCAAATATTTTCGAAACTATTAACTTGATAGCATATTAGCATTATTTTATCTTTCATATTCAATTACATCTATTAAAACGTCACAATTTATGAGACGTACCTAGTTTGTTGTACATCCATTTGTTAGCTTACCTATTTTTGTTCAAATAATATTTTGTTTATTAATACACAATTTACAATTCTTTCACTGTAATTCTATACCATGCTCACAGACCTGTATTGTAGAAATTGGTAGATATATTACGGTTATGCTATCATTTGACATGATTACGTGATCTATTTAATATCGCATGCGTCTTCGTATCTGTAATACATCATAATATCGAATAACGATGAATTTACAATTAGATTTACAGGTCCTCTCTAAAGTGTAATTAGCCTTGTCATTAATCCGTCATAAAATTAATTAAAATACTTAGCTAGATATACTTCATTAACTAGCTTTTTCGCGCCAATTAATTTGACACGTTTATTAATAGAAAAACCGATAATTGTCGTAAGCGTAAACACTGACCGGTATCTGGATTTTCAGGTTCTATGGACACGTCCCACGGCACATTTCCTTTGATCGAAACCCCGATTATCTTATTTTAATATATATATGCATTACTTAAAATACATTTTCATTATACGTAATTTCTCCGTCTTAAATTTATCTTGATTTTTTACTTTTAAATAGTATGTTTTCTACGGATTTTTTATGACAAAAGTAAACCGGAAGCGCTGCACCACTTTGATTATTTGAACCCAAATTCTTTACCAGAGTGATTATATGCTATTGATTAATATCTATTAAATTCAAGCTTAAATCAACTTATTAGTTTTTATCATACTTTGTCGTTTTGTATTCAGTATAATTATACTCAAAGAAAAAAAATAGCGCAAATACTATAAAAATATTACTATCGTTGGTACTCATTCTGTCAAGTTATTATTTCATTCTATGGATACAATTCCTGATTACAACACTAGCATAAAGTGAAGTCATAAGCTGCGATAAATCTGTCCAATGAAACGAGGAGATAAATGGAGCGGTCACGCACTAAAGACGGTGAAAATTGTGAAAATCTGGCGGCACTAATATTTACCTACTGTGGCACACCGCGATGGGCTCGGAGAAAGTGATAACATAGCTTCACGACTGTTATCCTAGATGGGGTAATCAGAGGTATTTTCAACTCCCATCATCGGGGTGAATGCAACTGTTCCAAGCATGAGCATGCTTCGTTCAGTATATTGGAATCTAATATGGCGAGGTATGAATCTACCGCTGTCTTTCAGATTTATATCTTATTAAAGAAAGTTATATTCTATAGATTAAAAAAGACAGATTTTTGGTGTCGGCATCTGTAACACAGGGTTAGAAAGGGCAAAGTAAAGTGAATGAGAAAGTTATTATATATTATAGTGTATCTTCAAAATCCATTTCATTTATTGATACAGTTACATAAAAGAGAAAATATATTAAATTATTCTGTTAATATATGTGTTCTGTTCTTCGAATTTTATATCTCCGGAAAATATTTATGGATGGAAAATTGTTGATTTAATGAAATTAACGTAACTAGCGGCGCGACATCATTTACATAATATATCTTAATACAAAATTCCAATAATCTACGACTATAAAAATAGTTAAGTGCACAAGTGACATAATCAATACTAAATTGAACGAATTCTAATTGACTTCAACATTATCATAAAACTATTTTATTGGTTAGATATGTTTAACTTAAGAAGATAAATTAAATATAGAAAATATTCACAAAATTTAATATCATTTTTTATGTTGACAAATACCTACTTACCAACATTTTTTGTCAAAATTTAATCCTATTTCATTCAGCCATCATTTTTGTGAAACTTTAACACACATTAACAGACTAAAAGACAATATTCGCCACGTCAATATTTTAAAATTTGATTATACAAAAAATAAATACCTATAACTTACATTATCAAGTACCACATAAATAAATAATAATTTTATATGAAAATATAATTAGATTAGACGGGTTTTCATCGTGGATAATTTAGGTTTTATATGTAATAGCTGGTTATCTTGAATTATTTATCTCTTGTTTTTGTCGGCATTTCGGGAAATCCTCTTCCTCTCTTGGTGGATAAAAGGACCTAAATTGAATATTTCAACTCCAGCTATTTAGGAAATATACTAATATGATAGGATACGATCATCCCAATAAGATAAGGCTTCTTATACAGGTTAATATCAATACGAGTATATAGTATAGCTGACCCGCGCAACACACTTACATGACATTTATCTTTATATTACACGCAATTTACATAACATCTTTTAAAATTATAGCCTATGTGTTATTCTGATGTATAAGCTATATTACTGTAAAGTTTCATCAAAACCAGTTTAGTAGTTTTTGCATGAAAGGGTAACAAACATGGATGTTTGTTATCATGTCCATACTCACAAACTTTCACGTTTATAGTGTTATTTAGATTAAGATACTATTTCATTTCGTGTCAATAGGTAAATAATAAGTAGTTTAAGAGTATATAGGTATTAAGATTTAACCGTAGTTAGAACTTGTTTTAATAGATTAGAACTTATTTCAATCACCAAGCAGCTTGCTTTGTAAGCTGTGTTTCTGTTGAGGGGTACGATTAGTCTGTGGAATTACAGAGTATGATATCTTAGTCCGTGATGGCAATACATAAATGATATTACGGAAATCACATGATAACATGATATCCCTGGTACTAATTATGTATTACACATACATACATTATCTTATCTATAGCTATACTACAAACTACCAAGTAGACCATCAGCTCGTTTGACATTCCAATTACGTAATATAAACATATTAAAGAATTGAAGATGCAATAAACTAATTTGTACCTCTGTATCCAATATTTAGTGGGCGGGATATATGAGGATGCGACGAGAGCATAGATCTTACTGCTCCAAATCTTTTGTATCGTCTAATTGACTTGATGAGTCCCATCCGTTTGGTGGCACTCGATCCATAAGTTGGTCGTAAAAGTTCACAATAAAATAAGAAATTTTACTAACAAGTGATCTAATTTATTTAAACAGGCTTTTATTAATAATTATTAAAAACTGTTGCGATATATAATAATATGATAAACGATATCTACGAGTAGGTATATCTTATTTCTAATAGGTATAATGTATTCTGTACCTAAGAATTTATCAAATTGTATTTGTTATATAATCTTAAGTACTTAGGTATATTAAAAAGTTACGTAATACTTAGATACACGAACTTCGAAAGTGATATGCATAATTTTTCTGTAGAAACGAAATACTTATATATTAAACAATAATTATTTACCATTACCATCATTTATATCTAAATAAGAGGAGCAGAGGTACTTGCTTCTACTTACTCCATACTACTTCTTACACCATGCTCTTGTTTCATTTATCAATAGCAACTCGTTCCATACATACTAATTTTAATTAGAAATTATTATTTACTTAAATGACCGTACAAATCCTGGGATCTAACGAAAATTATGAATATGTTTCATTGTTGAAGCTATGCTATAGTTTAAGGTTGTGGCATCTTCCTTATAAGTTTTAGATTTTACAATCGATAAATATTTCCCGATATTAGTCACATATTAATTTAATAATTTTTTAGATAATCAGGTTTTTAGGACAGTATATTCGTGTTAACAACACGAATATATATTCTAGTTAATTTATTGGGTTTATCATGTGGTTGTTGTAGGTATAGGAACTGACTGGGGTATTTCCAGTAATCAATTACTAAAAAACTAGACAACTTGATGGTTATTCTGGTCTACAGGAATGTTGATGATGTCATTTAATAATAATAATAAAATAAAATAATTAGCATTATTTATATTAAATAATACATAATAATAGCGTTTTGGACATTATATTCACTCCAAAAAGAGATTACGACTTTTAGCAATACTTTGACATTGTATGTTATTGCTGGACATTTTACATATTAAGCATATAAATATAATATCATTGGTAACTAGGAAACAAATAAACATGAAATTTTATACATATATAATTCTAACGCAACCCATTTCTAAGCTTTTATATGTAACAAATTCTTAACAGTTTATTGTAATTCCCGTATATATTATAAAAGAGATCCCAGAAGGCCATCCTGTCGTTGTATATTCGGCTCTCAGTCCGAATGTTGGTGTCAATAACCACATACGGCCTTGTGTCTTCTGTTACCGGAGACCAAGTCACTGGCAAAAGGTCCGTAGCCTTTGGTGCGGGATTCCTTGAAACATACATTAAAAACATTTGTATTATTTTGAAAGATCACACTGAAAAACTGTCAGCTTTGTTAACATATATGTATTTATAGTACTCACTTAGTACAGGACTTTATCTACATATTTAAAATTGAAATGAAACGGTAAAGTACAAGTGTCAATCTTTAGATTTTGTACATATGCTCATAAACATCGCAACTTAGTAAGCATTTGTGTATAATGTCTGGCACCGCCATTGTAAATGACGACACATAAATCTGTTATTATTATTATTACAACGAACTTCACAATAACCATCGGATTTTTAGACTTACCCATATTTAACAAAGTTAGTCCATATAGTTGTTATTTGATCAATTATTAATTTATCATTATCAGTAACTGGTGCGTCGTTTGCTGAATTAAATAAATAAAATATATCATCTGAATGCCTTGCGCCTTCAGCGTCAGAATCACCGACATAACTAAATACATATTGGTAAACCTGAGCCTTCTCAGTCAATAAATTAGTAATTGTTCTTTGAACTGGATGATTAAACACAAAATCAGATTCGAAATCTGCCATTCTTGTAAGCAATTCTTCTGCGGGTGAATCCCCTATATAGAAGTGCCTGATACTCAATGCAGCCTTATTTAATTGTTCCTCATTCATATTAAAGCTATTGGCTAATTTTGTGTAAAAAGGATCACTATCAAAATAATCCTCATTGTCTGCACCTAATTCTTGGCTTGTATGGCCAATTAGAACCGGTGTGTTTCTTACTTTGTTTTCGTTAGATAGTGCAAAAGGATCAGTTTCTATGAAATTATCAACGCCACTGAATGATTTTTCTAGGCATGGTCTGAGTTGTAAATTTAAAACTGTAGCTGCTGCGGTCACCAAAGCATGCGGTGTGTTGGTTAAAAATTCTATAGCTTCCTCAGTATCGCTTGTATTTAACCCTAAATGTTGTGCTATTTTTGTAGCTGCATCTATATCTCCATTAACGAACATTCCGTAGCTTTGTGGTGTCCCACTTTCAGCTATAATTTTGTGGAACAATTTGTCTTTCGATGAATATAAATGTAACAGTGTTGAAGACGCACCAGCACTTTGTCCTGAAAGTGTAACATTGTAAGGGTTGCCACCAAACGACGCTATATTTCCTCGGATCCAAAGTAATGCTGCGTGCTGATCTTTAAGTCCCTGATTACCTGGTACTAAAGGAGTATCTAGACACATGAATCCGTAAGGCCCCAATCGATAATTAATTGTGACAACTATAATATCATGCTTTACTAAATTTTTAACTTGATATTCTCCAGCACTCCCAAAGCCAAACACTCCACCATGAATAAATACTAACACAGGAAGTGGATTAGTTGAACCAGCTTTATAGGGTACATAAATATTGAGTTTTAGGCAGTCTAATGTCTCTTCGCTATCTTGTCTACTTGGTAAAATGTAAGATTGAGGGCATTTCGTTGAACCATCGTAGGCATGGAATACCTCCTCTTCGAACTGAGAAACTTCTTGAGAAGGCTGAAAATTTAACATTTTCTCTTAGCGTGATATAAAATTACTAATCTTAATTAAATTTACTAATAATGTGGAAACTGTAGTCAAATAAATATTATATAAAACCATTTACTATTATATTATACTTGTAAAATTTTGCAATATGAATACTACAACCGTCTAGGAACACACAAATTCATATAAATTGGTTCAGCTAACAAACACACGTACTGAAATTATATAAAATATACATAAGTTAAAACAATAGCCTCAAGTTTTGAATACTGTAGCAAGATAACTTACCCCGAATGGCTTTTCCAAATCAACATTAGCATATGGAATTCCTAAAAATTCCGAATATTCACCATCAGTAACTCTTCGACCTCTCACCAGTCCCTGTTTAATTAACACTAGAGGATCTACCCGTATATCAGTACTCGCTACATAGCTTATAACAAATAAGCTTAATAACATAAACTCTCTCATAATTATTGAAATTTATTTTATTTTTACTTGATCAATATCTTTGAGTACTTAACATTACCAGTTCGGTTGCTAGATGTACAATGCACTTGAATGACATTTCTAATACATATAATACATTACTTTTATCTTGATCTCGATATGTTCATCTCGATGATTGATAATGTTGAAGTGGAGATACGGAGACAATAATGAGATGTCCGAGAATTTCATGTGATATTACGTTCTTTATGTAACCGGAATACTAAGGAAGCTGCTTGGCGGCTGAAATGCTCAAAATAAAGGTGACCATTCAAACGTCTTCGTATAAAATCTACCTCCGTAACTCAACATCTCTTTTAGTTAAAGAAGACTACAGAGAGAGAGAAGTATGATCAAAGTATATTTATAGATACTCCTGCTGCTTAAATTTTTTTTAACGACATAACTCATGAACCTATTATTAAATAATAGCACAATTACTACTGTTATAAATTTAAGTCGACCCATTTAAGGTTAGAAAATTTCTTTTACCATTCAAATCCTACATTACTAAACAAAAAAAAAATTTAACTGTAACAAAATAGTCTTCAAAATAATAATGTCCAAAGTTTCTTAATAATTTTCTCTTCTTTAGTAAACCACAACGCAAAAAGAAGGGTGTACATTTTCAATTTTGAATTATTTGTGAAGTACCTACGAATGTCGTTAATATTTAAATATTTTCCTTCATTTTTTAAAGATTTTTTAACTTTATTTGAAGCGCTGTACATTCTTGAAAATATGACTAGGTACATACTTTGTAACCTCTCTTTCTCTCACTAACTTTCCAAAATTGTCATAACCTAGTAATTTATACTTAAAAAGAAACGAATTTAATTGTGACAATAATGATAAAGAAAAGAACGGAAATAAATAAAAAAAAATGGTTCATAATTGGCGACAGTATTGGGTAACATGGACAAAGGAAACAAAAAATGCAGTCGTAATTAAAACTATGTCTTATTTAAAGTTGATTGGAGATTGGTTACGTAAAGTTACGTATGAACTGTCACTACAAATACTTAAAATAGTTTGTTTAAAACAAAAAAGTAATATTAATCCTCCTCAATCTTTATTTTAGTTATATAACGGGTGCAACTCTCAAGGAAATGTAGTTTCGCGATGAGATAACGAAAAAATAAAACCGGTATAATTTAAAGCGAAATGTCTCTGGTTAGATAAGTGCAATCACTGTAATGCAAGCCGTTCGACTGCATACATTTATCTCTTGCAGATGTTGGCTTTAAACTGTAGAAATCAGAAATATAATTCACTTTCTTATAATGCTCCTTTCTTATGTCTAGATCTACATTTAAATATTAGTATTAATATTATCTTATCGGTGGTACTACTATCTTGTGAACTTAGTATCTACTAGTAATGCCTTCACTAGTATTATGACAGGTGGGACAGACAGAGACATTGTCAGTATATATTAATCCGACGTAGTAGGAGGCACCATCAAGAATTAAAGAGCATGATGGAAGATCGCGGAAAGTGGCAAGAGCTCTACTGATAAGAGCGTAGCTCTTAAGTTATGAATGAATGAAGTAGGAGACACCGTTGTCGATGAATCAGTTAGAAAAGTCGACCAGAAGTATGTTTTGTTTAAATAATACTTTAGAATTATTTGTTTTAAATAAACGCAAAAGCAATGGATACTATATAAACAATGAGCAGATTACTACTATTTGTTTTATTATCATCTTCCTGCTTGTAGATACTGGTTTTTCGGGTATTTTTATAAATATAATTTTCACGCGTGTCGTAAATATCAACTGATTTCCTCAAAGGAGGAGAAAGGTTCTAAATTTAATACAATTTGTTTTATGATTTCATTATAATTTTTTTACCGATATTGAAGGTTTTTTTAAATTAAATAATTTGTATTTATAATGCAGTTCTATATAAATTATATCAAGATCAGTAGTTTCTGACATTTTCTTGGTGTCGGTTTTTCGGCCTAATGACCAGGGGTATAAATAATCGTTTTAATGAATACTTTAAATTATGTAGTTAATAGTCGTAATTGGCGTGCTGTCAGTCATGAATATAAAACTAATAACAATATAAACTTGCAAAATTTGGTAATAGTGCTATTAATACCGTTATTTTATCCGTTCTTGTTGCCCATTCAGTTGCAACGTTGCAATCCTGTTTTAATTTAATTGCTCATGAATTGATAACCATATTACCTAATACAGTGACGAACATTATTTCAGTTCGGCATAACATACATGAGACTATTATATAATTATCTGTTCTTCTAATCTCCTGCTGTATACTCATTCTCATCGTCCTAAATTCTCTATTCAATCATTGACTATTGCATCTTTGGAATACACTTCCTGTTGGTCTCAGAAGATGTCAAACCAAATTCACGTTGAAAAGAACCTTCCGTGAATATTTTCGAAATTTCTATAACGGTATTCAGACAAATTACTATCTGAAGATATATTCCATGAGACTATATGTATATTTATTATAGTTTAATTTATATTTAAACCATCAGCTTATATATTTTGTATGGGTATATACATATTATTTTTCTGTATTTTATATTTTAATATTAGTTCTTAAATTGCACCGCCTTATTATCTCTGATCAGCGCGACGGTTGACTGGTAGAGATTGCCATTTCGCATTAAGTCCGCCATTATACATGGCGATGGCAATTTTAGTGTGCGAAATTTTTATTTTTGTCTAATAAGTTAATAATAATTTCTGTGTAATAAATAATTATTTGTAATCGGACTTGAATTTTATTATAATGACTATTTACGTACCGTAAAAATCGGAGATTCTACACTCGAAATTGTCGATCACTACGTATACTTAGGGCAAACTATCCAGATTACCTATCCAATTTCGAGAAAGAGGTCAATCGTCGAATCCAACTCGGATGGGCAGCGTTCGGGAAGCTCAGATATATATTTTCGTCCAAATTTCCGCAGTGTCTCAAGACGAAGGTTTACGACCAATGTGTGTTGCCAGTGATGACTTACGGAACAGAGACGTGGTCGCTAACTACGGGCCCCATCGACAAGCTCAGAGTCACTCAGAGGGCAATGGTAGGGCTATGCTCGGAGTTACACTGCGTGATCGAATCAGAAATGAGGAGATCCGCAGAAGAACCAGAGTAACCGACATAGTCCGAAGAATTGCGACTCTAAAGTGGCAATGGGCAGGGCACATAGCTCGTAGGACAGATGGCCGTTGGGGCACTAAAGTCCTCGAGTGGCGACCACGGACCGGAAGACGCAGTGTGGAAAGGCCTCCAGCAAGGTGGACCGATGATCTGGTCAAGATCGTTGGAAGGCATTGGATGCGAGCAGCGCAGGACCGATCGTCGTGGAGATCTTTGGGGGAGGCCTATGTCCAGCAGTGGACGTCTTCCGGGCTGCGATGATGATGATGATGATGATTTACGTACAATAATTCTAACGAAACTACTATTATTGTAGCTGTACATTGTATTCTCATGATGAAACAGATTAATAGGTAGAATTTTTATAGAATGTAATATAAATAAAATCTTCATACAAATGCATTAACGTTTCTGACATTACAAAAAGTGTTTTTTTGGTGTTATAACTACAACGTACATATCGATTGTTTTTCAATAAATATTTAGTGTAAAATAACGATTCCTTTATTAGTGTTATATGTATGATTGTTTGTGCAGCATTGCTCCTTCTATTGGGAGTACTGATTGGAGCATGGTTGTTGTACGGAATTGTGAAGTTGATCATGTCTCGGATACGAGTAACTGGAAAACTGCGATATGGGGACAAGGAACTAGCGATACAGCAGCGACTGCGGGCACTAGACACCTTCAGAGGGTGAGTTTGTAACTATTATTTAGTATTCACTATGGCGTCATTATTTTATATCACCATATGATTAACAATTAAAAATACTACTACCGCCATATAGACTGCCTCGATAGTCGCGGGATAACATCCATCCCGTGCGAAGCCATGACGGGTCTTATTACAAATCTTTGAATTTTTCGGCTTGTTCTATATTATAACACGCATATACAATACATATATAAACCTTCCTCTTGAAATCTATGTATTTCTGATATAAGTGAACAGAGAGCGGCACCGACTTTGTTTTATAATATGCAAACATTCTGATTTGGCATAGAACTAATTTCTATCGTATAATATATGTTACAATATCGCCTAGTTAGAGACTAAATTGTCATCGAAATTGAAGACTAATATGACTTAAAGAAAATTGTCAAACATTATTTTTTAATATCGATATTAAAGTCATAAATTGTACGGCAGAGTGGCTATCGTAACTACTTAATTTACTCACGTAATTCAAAGTTTTCATATCCAATTGCTTATTTTCTATTTTCGAAAGTACCTAGTAGTGATAAGTATTATTTCTTTTTATTCATAAATATCTTGAATTTACCTATATTGGTAACCAGACTAATGTTATAAATACTAATGCATGTCTTAATATTTCTTTGGGTTGTTTACTGTTATTTTCTTTTTCTCTTATTTTTTATAGTTTTTTTTTACCGTTTTACAGTTTCTTTATACCGACTGTTTTTGTAATTTCATATTCTTTATATTACCTTACCAAGGATTGTGTCTTGTTTTAAACCAGCCTAAAACTGTCCTCTGTCCTCCGTCACAGTACATATACAATAACAACAAACTTAAATTATTGCGATACTAGCCAAAACACTAATTTGGCCTGTATATTGTCTACTGTGACGCCTCAACGAACGGCTGAAATTTGACGTGAAGTTAGAAGGCATTACGATTACAGATATAATAATAATAATTACATAATAAAACCCTGGTAAATCTCACAGCCCCATCTAACCTCAACCTAAGCAGAGCTTGTGTTATGTATTGTTAACAATTGGTACCTACCTACTCAGATATTTTTTTTGTTAATCTATACATAATATACATAAAAAATATATACCTAAATACAAATGTTTACACCGTCTGAGGAATCGGACCCGCTACGACTCGGTACAGTCTAGAACTCTAGACTATCGAGGCAGTCAAGGCGACCGTTACAATTCCAATTGTAGAAAAAATACAGGTCATTCAGACATTTATTAAAATAAATAATACCTACTTGTAGTATTAATATATATTGTACGGTGACAGACTATGTAACAACTGCAAACGTGTTTGGCGAACGTTTGTATTCAGTTGAAAAATTAACCGCATATGCTTGTCGGGTCACGGCTTCAATAGGCCTGCAGCGGTTTGCGAAACTCATTTGTTACAACACCGCATAAGAAGATTATTGAGAAATCGTTATCAGGGTATATATGCATTGTATTCGATCGATATAAATACTTAATTACTGTTTGCTATCCGGATTGGAATCATAATCCATATTTGAGTAGCTTTTAATAGCATTGAATTGTTGTGAATCGTATTCTATTTATAGGAAGGTTATTAGATTGAGATTTGTTATATAAACTAGCTGAGATGGCAAACGTTGTTCTGCTATATCAATTAATATCGCTATTAAAAAATAGACATTTATGGTAGGCTGAAAATTGAGGTTATATGTATTTTTAATGCCGAATAATTATCATTACATAGCATAAAATAAAGTCGCTGTCGCTGTCTATGTGTATGCTTAAATCTTTAAAACTAAGCAAAAGATTGTGAAGCGGTTTTTTTTTAAATAGATAGCTTGATTCTAGGGGAAGGTTTATATAATTATTATATAATGCATGTACACCCGTGCGAAGCCGGGGCGAGTAGCTGGTAAAAGAATAAGAAAATGCCCATAAAAAAAATTGGACTGTGCCATTCTTATCGCGTAGGGGTAAAACAAATAGATAACCGCCTTTTCTCAGACCTATCGAATATACTTATAAAATTTTATCAAAATCAGTTAAGCCCTTTGAAAACTAAAAGTATGGTAACTAACACGAGAATTTTATATGTATATGTATTAGATTTTTATTGTAATGATGCGGATATTCTTCTGCGCTAACAGTTTACGCTCGGGGGGACCAGTGAGGATGACAGGATGAACATAAAGTAAAGTTAGTGAGGCTGTCACGGCAATTTTACCAGGTGGTTTGCAGGAAGGTCAGCATGGAGGTCGATCTGACTTGCAATATTGCTCACAATAAGGCCTCTAATAGCAATAACAGTGCACTCCCGCTGATGAATATTTTAAAAGTTACTACTGAATCTCCTAAAATAAATTCAAACCACAACTGTGTGGTTTAAAGTATATATATACCATATATATACAATGTATGTCTGTCCTCGTTATAGCATTTATCTCCACCTCAGATGGCTTTAATATCAATGCATATACTTACTATAATACTAATATCAATAATAATACAGTGAAAATATAGTTTACCGTAAAAAACAAATGTTCGTATTTATCATATTAGTACGTAATAATATAGTTAGATTACTAATACAGTTTGTTGAGTATTAAATAAAATAATTTAATGATTTATAATTACTTAGAGTGCGTTAAACACTTTATTTACATATTATTATGTATATTATTCAAGTTGAGACATTATTAATTACGCAATTAGTATTAGTACTCTGTATGTTTATCTCTGACTCAAAGGCAAACAGCCTGAGTGTTATAAATTATATTGAATTGGGTTTTTAAATAAAATTAAATATTGATAAATATAATAAAATATTAGTCTCAGATGTTGACAGAATTCTAATATGTCTATACATATAAATAAAATTGAAGTGTCTGTTTGTAACATTGAAATAACTAGAATAATGAATATAAATACGGTACATACACCAAAATAGCATTTTTTACATTTTTTTCTGTCTGTCTGTCTGTTTATTCCGGCTAATCTCTGAAATGACTGGACCGATTTTGACGGGATTTTTTTTGGCAATAAGAAAAATAAAGTTAAATTCTATGCGGACGAAGTCGCGAGAACAGCTAGTTATATATAAATATATTTATATGGATATCAGACATCACGTTATTAACATTATGAGATTAAAATAAAACATTATGGGATTAAAATAAAATAAAAATACTTAACAGTGTTTTTATAAGCAGTGTTGCAGTGCGATTATTAATAAAGCAGAAAGGCTTTTTAACTCTTTGACCAACAGTTCAAAGTCCCTACACAATTGGATTTTTTTAAGGGCAGGTTGCGTTCTTTTCTGTTGGAACAGTGCTTTTATAGTATTAATAAATTTATTAGCAGCTCGGTATAATTTACAATGTGAAATATTACTGAATAATAATATAAATAAATAAATATTTTATTTTATTCTTGTCCCGTTAGCATTAATAATGGTTTTTTTAATCAACAGAATAGCCATAGTGTTTATGATCTTCGTGAACGACGGCGCCGGTGGTTACTGGTGGCTGGAGCATGCCACTTGGAACGGACTCCTGGCTGGTGACCTGGTATTCCCTGCCTTCCTCTGGATCATGGGCGTCTGTATACCGCTGTCTGTTAAAAGCTCATTCGCTAAAGGAGTTCCAAGGTGGAAGATAGTGCTACAGATTGTGAGGGTGAGTTGTGGCAATTCTAATTGCACATTAGAAATGTGTGTTTATTTGAATAACACTATGAGATTATTACATGAGATAATTGTAATATAGATATTTAATGAGATATCTATATCTATTACAATTATAAAAAGGTAAAGTTTATTAATGTCAACGTTTAGAGTAATCTTCGATACCACTAGTCATACTTTAAAATTTTTTTAGTTCTATTTCACATTATTATTTTAATAGCTCCTTGTCATTATAATAATAATATGAAATGAAAGAAAGAAAGATTATATGATGTATACAATATAGCGAAATAAATATCAAAGAGTAAAATTCTGCGCGCAACATTCCGTTCACTTTTAATTACACCGCTTTACTATAGGTAGGTAGGTACCTATAACTAGGACCTGATTATTTTAGCAGTTGTGATTTCTTTCGTCACGTAAACAACTATTTCTTCCTGAGAATCAAGGTTTTCCTAATAATAATAACTTAGGACAATGAAAACAACGCCATCTCACAGGTCACAAGCTAAGCAGAGCATGTGTTATGGGTACTAGACGTCTGATAGAAATAGTTTATATTTATAGATTTTTTATCTTTGTAAATATATACCGAAATTTCTTAGGTAGAATAATACAAACAATCATATTAGCGTATATAGTTGTATGATGCGAGGAATTGAATCCCTAATCACAATTAATGCGTTGTGCTAAATCTGGACCACGGAGTTTGTCTTATATTTATCATTATCTTGTGTTTATCATGCGCGTTTGTGTCAAAATATAAATTTAAAAGTTTTCAAATTATTAATCAAGAATAACTTAGGTAGATATAGCTATGATTCTCACGATCATATCATTTGTTACAAATTACTGTGTAAACTGTAGTATAACTAAGTTTTTTATAGTATTTCAATTTGAACTAAGTAGTCCTTCCTTCATTAGACTTCTGCAACGTTAGAAGTACCATGACACTTCTAACTAAACAAATTCAATTCACGTCCATCATACATTTTACCTATAAAGCCTAAACTTGCGTTTTTTATATATTTTATTTCAGTTCAGTATACAGTCTTTATTGAATACAATTAGGAAAACTCTACTGTTGTTCTTGTCAAACTTGAAATTTCAAGATAATTTATTCACTTAGTTATATATGCCTAAACATAACCTATATTGAGTACAAGGCTTTAAATGAATATTTAAAGCCATGTACTCGTACTTTTGTCAATTAAGTAATTATTACAGTAAAACTTATATTTTAAGACAACGCATAAATTTGTACATGAACTAACAAGGTTGTAAATATCTCTGTTCAATTACACACAAGACACAATCTCGATAAAATCCCGATATAATTTTACTCACACACGCGTCATTGCAGAATATCTCATTCGAAATTCTTTGCTCGCGTGACGAATAGCTCGATGCACACAGTACTTTCTCTATTACAAACATTTGATCGCTTTTATATGCGCATCGTTCATTACGTGGCGTATTCTATAGAGCTAATGATAATAGAGTAGTCAGCGTCAATGTATTCGCAATATGTTAAATTGGAATTTATGTCTTTATTTGTACGATATACTGACCTAGTGTGGACGCGGCATGGTTTACTTCGATCTCGAGTGAAGCTTACTATAATGTTGACAAGCAATATATGTATGTCTTAAGTTACTTTAATAGAGTATTTTTATATATGTATATAGACTATGTAGATAGGACTCAACCAGAACTATTGAGCCGTGTTAGTGGGCGTTATATTGGTAGAAACAATTACTGACTCATTCTGCATATTCCTAATATTTATAGAGATTTGTGTGGAGTTGTAGATACATATTATTATTATATACATATATTGTAAATCATTTTACAGTTTAATATTCTATATCAAGTATTTCTACATTATTCAATTCTAAGCCAAGCATCGCCAAACTGATAAATACGATTTATGAAGGACCCCTATTCTGTAAATTAATGCAAACATGTACAGTTGTATAAATATTGTGTGAAAAGTAACAATAATGGCATCTACTTAAAGTGCACAGGCATTTACTACCTGATAACATATATTTAACACTAGCAGCATTCCACGGTGATGCCCGTGTGCAATACGGATGCAGTATTGCCTATAATAGATGGAAGTATTTTTAAATTCGGTCCATATACATGAGATCTGATCGGTTAGCCCATCGTGACAAATTCACCAGGAATGCATCCAGGATCCATGGATTCGAGGGGGAACTGCTAGGAATGGGATCATCAGTCCACATTACTAATAACACCCTTCCTCCCCATATTTCCTTCCAACTCTAGGAAGGATGCTCGGACATAATTTAGGGAGCGAATGACTCGGCCGGAAATTGATATAAATCTTCTTCTGGTGTGCAGCGTTCCTGCATGATGTTCTTATTGGGCATGTCGCTGAATACAGTGTACGGCCGCAACATGCTGCAGCAACTGCGAATCTTTGGGGTCTTGCAAAGGCTGGCCGTTTCATACCTGATTGGGGCCGGGTTCTATGCACTGACGGCACCTAAATATTATACTCCACCGAGGGTAAGTACGGCACGTCTTAAGTTATATTTTCTCATGTATTTGGAATAGCAAACAAACTATGGGTATGTGATATCTGAAGTCATATTTATTATGTAATTTAAATGGTACAAGTTGACCGTCCATCTGATGGTAAGTGGTAACCGTCGTATATATGTCGCATAAGGAGTATCCTGATCCGTCAGTGTAGATAGGCGTTAAGCATAATGATGAAGATATCAAATAACAGGCGGAAATATAAATCAGATTTTCTCTGGATATTTATCAATAATCAATTATACCCAATTCTAAAAATAAAATCACTGAAAGTGTATAAACTGCGATAACTTTTATATTCGTCGCTCGGACTCAGTGCCATCCAGCAACACTTGCATTTTGTATTAATTATACTGTAGACAGCGCTGTCATAACGAGAAATTGTCATCTATATGTGAACAGTGCCACGGACATCACGATATGTGACGGCCATGATACTACTTATGCGTTATAGTTCCGCAGGACTATCATGTCTTATCCTGTAAATTCACTGCTATAAGGCAGCGAAATTACAAAATTACAGAGTTCTTTATTCGATCGTTGTCATTATGTAGTGGGCTAAGAGGCTGGTGTCATCCAGCTTACCATTTGTGTCTACTGGCTGCCATTCTAGTACATTCATGGAGTGGACCGTGCATAAGCGTAGATAAGAGCATAATCTCATCAACGTAATCACATTTTACTAAAGCATGCTGCTTGGTTGCTAAAACATTGATGCAGTGGCACAGATAGAACTTTTCCTTTTTCTTATGTTGATTAGGATTTCTGATTTGTTTGCCTTCCTGAATTGTACAGATATAGAAACTAAAATGTAACTGATTAATAAGTCATATAATATAAGTATAATAATATGAATGTCTTGCAGGGTTCATGTGGTCAGGCATTGAAGGATGTTCTGGCCTGTATGTGGTGTTGGGTCCTAGCAGTCATACTGGTGGCTGTACATAGTACTATCACCTTCACTGTGCACGACCCTAATTGTCCAATGTAAGTATACCTTTAGTAATAATAATATCTCAGGACAATTCACACAGCGCCATCTAGTCCCAAGCAAAGTAGTACTCGTGTAATGTGTACTACGAACAAAAATTAAAGGCCCTAGGCACCTATCTAGGCTTTAGTCCGCCCCTGTCTGCTTATGTGATTTATTCATTTTACATTTCCAGCGGTTACTTGGGCCCGGGTGGTAAGCATGACGACTGGGTCGCAGAGGATTGCGGCGGCGGCGCTGCCGGCTACATCGACAGACTTGTGTTGGGCGAGGCCCATATGTTCCAGAATAGTGACGCTAAAAGAATATACGGCGGACTTCGTACAGAGCCTGAGGGTTTGTTAGGTGAGAAGAATTTTAGTCCATCTATACTCTAGTTAGTCAGTTATCTATAGTTGCCACAACGCTGCTATAAGAGACCTTTCCTAGGGATAATATCCATCTTTGCTTAGATTGTCTCTAAATTATTTTAATAGAATATTTTCTAAGTGCATTAATTAGAAATCTATTTTTATTTATTATTGCATTTATTCATTTTAACAGTCCTTCATAATTTGAAATATAATCTTTCTTCAAATAAAATGATTAGATTCTTTGATTAAGGAATTTTGAAGAACTTTTATATGTCATAATTGTTTTTATTCTACCACTTATATATTAATAATATATTATTAATAGATATTTAATATAAGACATAAACTACGGTTATATAATACTCTTTTCTACATGTTGCTCTAGTAGTCTAATATTTATTTTAAAGTTATGGCTTTCAATAATTTTGTCCTGATACTGGTAGGATGCCTGACGTCAGCAGTGCAAGTTCTGCTCGGAGTGCAGGCCGGCGTGACAGTGCTGCTGCAGAGATCGCACAAGTCTCGCATCTCTCGCTGGCTCTCCTTTGGAGTGGTGTTCGCTCTCGTTGGAGCTCTCCTTGCTGGATTCTCCAGGGAGCATGGGATCGTGCCCATTAATAAAAACTTATGGTAAGCATTAGATAATTTGACAAGACTTTGTCTCCTAAAACATCTGTTTGTTTGTGTTGCCTTTTCGTGAGATGAGGATCTTGATTGTATAATAATATATATAAATAAAAATATGATATATATATACCTATATATGAACACATATATAGGTATATATATATATATACGATGAATACAGACTTCACACGATGACGTGATTGATATCCGTGGCTCTCTTCATGTATATAGACAACGGCTACTTGGTTGTTGTTGTTGGTAGTCAGCTTGTTTGATATTCTTGTTACATTAAAAATGCCATTCTAAATATAAAAAAAAAACTGTCAAATTCTACCTGCATTCCTTCAGCGGATAGTAAGGGACCATAGATACGTTTACCACTTTCCAGTAGACCTTCAACTTGCATAGTTTAACAGTAAAGATGTGGGGGAAGGGGATTATTAGTAATGGGGAGGAGTGACATCATTATCAGCAATGTACCAATGTACTATGTTAGGTCGACCTACACGTGATTCGCCCTGGAAACTATCTTGGTTAATTCCCGGTTATTTAATAACAATGGGCAAACTAACCTCTAACTTCATGCTCATCTTATCATTCTCCACTGATGCCTCGCTAGCGTATATTGTTAATGTACCATTCCATTATCATAAGATAAAAAAAAAGTTATGAAAATGTTCTTTTACAGGTCCATATCATTTGTACTGGTGACATCAGCGTGTTGCCTGGTGTTGTTGTGCGTCTGTTACACATTCACTGACGTGTGGCGCACTTGGGGTGGCGGGCCCTTCCGAGCCCCAGGCCTCAACGCCATCGTTCTCTACGTGGGACATTCTTTGGCCGCTCGCCTCTTCCCCTTCCACTGGCGCATCCCTATAATGAGGACTCATGGTATATACCTCGTCGAGGCTGTATGGGGAACTGCCCTTTGGGTCATCATCGCCCATGTAATGGCAAAGAAAAAAGTTTTTATCACACTTTAAGTTAGATATATAAATACATAGCATACTAAGCTTTTCGACACATAATTTTATACATGGTGTATAATAGAGTTGTAAAAAAACTTGTATACTTGTAGTGATATTTGTTTTAAATAATATCAGAAGCTATATCCACTTTATTGATATTAACAGGTCTACTCTAGCCTCATCTTAATGACTGTTTTCATTCAATCCATTATAGGACTGTTCTTTTGAAATGTAAATAAGACAAACGAATAAATCGATTATAATGTGTATACAAAGGTGCTAAACGGCTAGTTCAATGTCGAATTTATGAGAATTACTATTTACTATTATCCAGAGTAGATCGACAGATATTCGCACTGCTTTATTTGCAAAAACTTGATTTGAATGAGACAAGAATTTTTTTAACAATATACTCGTAGTAAAGATAAACAGTTTTTAAGATTTTGTTGCTAATTCTGCACTTCATATAAATAATTTCTTATTATGTATTTTGTATATGATGATTGCATATTGCTTGCCATGACTTCACAAAATCAGGTACCCAAGTATCTAATGATCTAGTTTATATTTGAATTTGTATATAAAGACTGAAAATTAATTTACATTTTTTCTTGAAATATTATTTTCTAGTCTTAAAATGATGTGTATAATATCTGTACTCCGAATCGTCTGTCTATGGTTATGTTTACTGTAAGATAGACGAGATGTAATCTTAATATTATTAATAAAATTGGTATTTGATGCCTGCAGATTTTTTTCATTTAATGCCTTTTTTCCTTTATTATTTTTTTTGGTTTACTGCTGCGACCTAGACCGCCGTTGATGGTTGTTAGTTCAAATATGGCCCGCACTAAAAACTTTGTGTAATTTTTCTCACTCACTCTACGGTGATGGAAGCACCGTTAACAGACAAACAAAGTGATATGATACATTTCGTCAAGTGTTGCTATGACCATGTCCTCGACAGTTAGCAATGATTTTTGGAGGAGAGATGGTGGGCACATTGCTAGTAAAGTACCATAGCAAGTTGACGAGCATGCGGTTTTTCTGGAAATCGTCACCATAGGCTGACATACCTGACTGCAAGTGACTTCGCGTGGAGGTCAATCTACAATAGTTGCTGCTAGCAATAAGGTCAACAGTCCATGTTACTAACACAAACCCTTTCTCCCCGGTACCATGGCACTATATACACATATAGTAGTGGGCTCCAATAATAGTTTTATAAACCAATACAGTTGTTCACAAACCAGCATTTATAGTTAGTATTTTATGGATTACAATGAATTCTAATTTCATAGCCTTGCTGGTGTAGCAGATTTAGCTATCATTCCACCCTACTTCCAATGATCGTGGGTTTAATTCCTCGCACGATACAAACGTTTTGCTTCTATGAATACGTTTGTATTGGTTTAGGTGTTTTATGTGTAGATTTTTAAAAAGAATATAATTTAGTATTTCTATAAGTTATTTAGTATCCATAGTACCAGCAATACTTAATTTGAGACTAAATGGCAATTGTTCTGTGTTACTATTTAATATATCGGACAAGAGAAAATCGAGCAAAAATAAATTCTTTGAACCTCGCCCATAAAGCTGATTTTAATAGTTATTTAATATAAGTTAATTAAAACAGATCAGTGGACGGATTAGGAGTTGGAAGGGAATGTGATTCACATACAATAGCAACATGTAAGACGACATGGGTCAATATAAAACCACTAGTTTACAATATTTGACACTTTATTAGCAAGTTTGACAGTAAAATCCGTAAATGTCAATGAAAAATAAAACAAACGTATCAACAAATCATGACTCAAGGTAACAGCGAATAGTTTTAACAAATAAAACTATCAATAAAATTACACTTTAATGAATAACAATGTTACACGGACATAAGGCGGCATGTGAAATATTCATTCGAGTTTACCGTTGCATTAGAAGAATAGTGTTAGGTGTAGGATAAAAGATTTCGTTTATTTTGTTTAAAAAAAAAAGTCATAAGCGCTGTCTATAATGTATTGGTTGTTCTGGAAAGATGTAAAAAATATTTTAGTAGTATTTGAACTGCCGAAGCAAGTACTTCTATTTTCCATGGAAAACCTTACAGCAATTTACATTAAACAAGTAATGAGCAATAGGTACATAAGTATTTATATTAAAGATATGTGAAGATAAATATAATAATAATGGGACTGTAGTCAGCGTTCAACATTTTATATCAGACCTATTATAATACTTCACAGTAACTACTATTTTCTTTAGTGTAAATATTATTATAAATTTACATTAGGTCAATAACTCACGTCAGTCTCGTGTCAAGTAAATATTGAAACATTACGGACTTCTTGTAAATTGGTATTAATTTAGCACCCATAGATGTGAATAACTGATAGTATGGTAACAGTAACTTAGTTTGTCTGTTCTTCTTATTTGACGAAAATGCTTGCTAAGTGGTGGTAGGTCTAAATGAAATTGATTTATTAAAAGATTGATAAAATCATTATAGATGATATACTCCGATAAATAGTTTTGTAATATCAAAATTTGATACGCTTAACTTTTTTTTTATCGAATTTAATTACGTTTCAGTTATCAGTAAATCAATAAATGTATAAATATTTGCATTGTTTCGCAATATATATATATATGCTGTACCTTATTAGCAACTTCTATACATACGGAAATGTCAACTGCATCTCGAATGAATCATTTACTTGCACCCCTAAAATGTGCTGTGTTGCCAACCGCATAAACGCGAGATCGGCATGTTGCTTCCCTGCGGGCTCACTGCCCGCATAGCTTTATGCGCGCACAATTCAACCCACACAAATTCCATAAATTAAAATATTCAACTATCAGTTAATTTATATACGTCGATCTCAATTTAATCACTCATCGTAGACGGTAAATGCCATATTAGGAATTAAATATTACACACGTACAATACTTTATTAAAATATTAAGTTTTTATACGTCTCAGGATATATAGCTTTCGATATCTTTATTCACTATTCTATTATCGACACTTAATCATATTGGTAAAACAGCTGATAGGCAGGCACACATTGCAATTTCAATAATAAACTTGTATAATATAGATGCTAATCGTACTAAACTAGATACTTAACTTGTATAGCGAAAAGACATGTAAACACTTTTAAATAGATAATTTATGTATATATCTAAAATTTCGTTAGAAAAAAATCTCTTAAAATATATTTAATTCTTGTATATTTGACCCCTGATGAGACGGGTTACATTTGTCCATAATATATTAATATGCGCGATATAAATAGAACATTTCCTTATATATCTAAATAGGAAGAACTTTTTTAAAATGTAAACGAGAACATAGTAATTGCACACATATTTAAAGTATTATTATGAAATAATATCTGTTCACAATATATATTAACCGATGATCTTATGATCACGGTCTATATGTAAAATAGTTTAGTATGAAATATAAATAATAAAATATTATGCGAGTTTAAAAATTGTAAATATATTATATTCTACGTTGACATAAAGTATAGTACCATCGGTTACAATACACTGCAGTACAATTTATATTTTACTCACACCAGTGTTCATGGGTGTCGGCAGAATATACAAATCGCGCAAGGCATGTTATAGAATACAATAAAATACATAAAGCCACAATGTTAGCAATTGATAAGTAATTTATACACTTTATAACATATATAGCTATGGGCAGGATTCCAAAAAAATACAATAGTTGATTGTTTTGTGGTACATTGTGGTATAAACAAAACACAAACAGATACAAATGCACAAGTGGCGCCTTCTGCCGACATCCATGCGAGTTTTACAATAAACTTACAGTAATATAATAAATTACGCTACTGATACTATTTAACAGTTCGTAGAAGTCGTTTTCATTTGACGTTTGAGAATACTTTTAATAATAGAACTCGCACGGAAATGTAAACGATACATATATCTATAATTTACAATGAAACAGTTTTTATACATTTATATAATGTTGATATATTAAAATATTTATTTAATATGATTAGAGTAATAAGTACTCGCGCTCACTTTAAGTCACTCACATTGCTAGACAATTAATGGAATGTTTAGTATCAAAATATATCGCAGCCATATCGCCGCTGCGTTCGCTGTATGCAATATTTCAGATATAATTGGCAAGACCAGGGTCTCTTGTCTAGATTATCGCTTTGCAACCATTGAGGTATTAGGGTAACCGAGTAATGTATTAGAGAAGATAATAGGTATACTTGCTCTATATTCTACTCGATAATTATCAATGTATTTTAATAATTAGAAAAATAGCCATCAGTTAAAATATATTAGTACTGTAAAAAAATAAATAATATACAAAGTATGCGAAGATATAATATAATCTATTTTAATGTTCCATCAAAAACAGTACTTCAGCAATCTAAAAAATATACTTTTAACAGTTTTTTCCCGTTTGTATAAAATATAGAGCGTCTTCTCTAGTACCAACATAATACCTCAGTTTTTACAACATACTTAAATCCCAGGTAGCAATTATTCATTAATATAAACTCCATTTTTAATTCTACTATAACAACATCTTTTTTAGTCATTTAGTTATAAAATTACTATAGAATGACGAATAACTAGTTGCCTACTGGGATCTTGATTCTATGTTTAACTGCAAAGATAATAAACAATTATGACCCTGGAATATAATTCATTAACAGCACGAGATTCCAAAATATATACTTTAACGGACCTTTGTATACCTTTACAAAGTTAAAATACTGCTAATAGTTAAGGTTAGTTATATTATTAGATATCCATAATGTCAGTTTGTTTACATTCGTTGAAGGCAGGCCGTTATTTTGTACTTGTGGATTATAAAGCGTAGCATAAAATGAGACTGAATATAGCTAATTTTCCTATCAGCGGGTCTCAATGAGGCCCTATACGGTTCTACGAGAGACTAGACTTAACCGACGTAGTAAACTTGTTATACAAATCGGTATATATATGTAATACATAGCTTTATGAAAATGGCTGCAATATTGTCAAGTATAGGCAATGACAGAGGTCAAATACACAGTCAATAAATATTGATATTTAGTGATCTTTTAAAGTATGTACACCGGATCTCTACATATAGCCTAATATAAATTATGATAATCACTGTAAGTGTTGCATTCAAGAGTAGAATATTATGTAAGTACAGTCGGCATCATAATGAAACTGAATGTTAAATAATATAATATTTTTGTAAAGGCATCAATTTTATTTAAAGTTATCAAATTATTGTAAACAGCGAACTACTTCATCATGAAGTACCGGATTACAGAATAGAACGATATATTGTAACTTTTCATTTAAAATTGAAATACCTATGTATTTATTAAATATTAATAATTTTACATAGTTAATTAAATTATGATCGAAGTTAATAAAATTATGATTGAACGTGCAATTTAGACTATTTTTGATGCTATACCTACATAGAAGTCATTGTAATAAAATTTAATATAATCAAAAAAAAGAGAAGATAAGAAAGAATAGTTAATAAGGCGTACATTACTCTTCATTATTATCTTTAATGATTTGGTATGAAGAAGGTAGAATAGGCAATCACCCAGAAGTAGAATATTAGACCAATTATATTAATGTTGTTCAATATTACAAACCAAAACACTACTTAACAAGACTGCAGCGATTCCCCTTAAAGCCTGCATAGTTCCTCTATTAGATACATACATCTAACGTTATCTTAAATACAAGATAAAATCTCTAGGGTGATAAACGTTCCGCTATAAATGCAAATTCATGGAATTCAATATTATTCAGTAAGGCGATATAGGCATACCACGTACACCGATCGTCTTACAATATTATGCTACAAGATTCCCTATAACGTGCACGCACACGACAACCGTAAGTTTTGTAAATTCGTATAGAGATGATCAAGAAACGAGACTACATTAAGAAGTAATCGATTTCGAAGAAATCAATCGGATTTCTTTAAATATTAATATACTATAGGATAAAATTTATAAAACCTAACATTTGCGCATCATAGAATAGACATGATATTCTAATGGAATATTTATTACATTTGCATTTCATTGATATGATTTCGATGCATTCTCGACTCTTAACGTGAAAAATATAGTTTACAATATAGTCGGCTGTATAAATTTGCTATAAATATGTGACGCAAAGACATAAATCGAGCTAAAATTTATTTATTAGGCCAACAACGCGACAATTATTCAACAACCCATAATTATGCCGTATAGACATGTCCTGCTACATCGTTGGCGCAGCGACGTATCAGAATATTGTATGCTTTGGGTAACAATTTAGTAATCCTTAACCTATTTGCATATTTTAATAAAAAACACGCACAAATTAGAACTTAAATTATGTAACGTTCTAGAGCATAATAAGAATATATTACGAGATTTCAATTAACACATACGAAACTATCGACACTTATGCTAGAGCCCAGTATTAACCCTGTGATCGAGTCGACGCCTCTCACACGCATCTCGGCTGACCAAATCGAATAGCTGTTAAAATAAATATCTAGTGGCACTTGACAGCTAGTACATACACCTAATCGGAACGTAGGCATAACAAATCCAGCACCACATCGAACCTAACCTACTATAGTGAGCAACCATTCAAACGCTAACAGTCCTCCCCATTGGGTACCGCTGGTTCGCTACATTAATGTAAATACATCCAAAATATACATCGGTAAAAATATAGGTACTCCGAAACGGGGCAATGTATAATTACCAACTATCCAACTGTGAGAATCTCTCCGTTTCCGTTTCCTCACAGCCTGTAGGGGGCGGGCGCGCGCGCGGTGGTGACACGCGCGCGGCGCGGGGTGACGTCACTCGGGCTCGCCGAGCGACGTCACTTCCGGGCGCTGCGCGTCACCAGCGCCTGCAGCGCCGCCAGCTGGCTCAGCAGGCTCGCGTTCTTCTGTTCCAAAGAGTCGACCCGTTTCCGGTAGTCGGTGTTCTCTGATACTAAGATTTCGACTTTCCTCTCCAGCTGGTCCATGTATTCCTTCTTTTTGCGTCTGCTCTCCTGTGCTGATATCTGCAAGTAAAATTAGCGAAATTGTACATGTAAATTTGGTCTAGTATCTGGTATAAAATAAAGATGAATTAAGTATTTAAGATTAAGGATCTTGTGTTAAGAGATGGCTAAGAACATCCTAAAGAGTAATATTTTACAATCAATTTTTGTCGAAAATTAAATAATTCTAACTTTTGTTTTTGTAAATGCGATTTATGTAGGTACCTTATTTTTTATTTTCCTTCTTATTTTCTTGAGCGACTTCTCTTCAGCTTTCGTGAGAGGTAGACGGGTCGGAACTGGATATCCCTCAGCCAATAGTGTTCGTTTTTCCTCTTCTGTTAACACTAATGTACCAGTGGAACCTTTCTGCAAATGGGAAAATAATTAAGTTAAGTTAACTTTAATGAGCATCTTTGTGAATTTTGTTGTTTTTCATTACATTGGACAACCCTAGTGTTTCAGACTCATAGGTTACCGCAAGTGTTTACCAACAGATAGTAATGTGGAACAAGATCCCATTGCCAGCTTTGTACTGTAACTTGTGTTAATGCAATGAAAACCTCCCTGGAAACAATCGTGATAAATTCCTGGACCGCTATGCAATAAATACATTGCAGACTACTCTAACGCTTTTCGCCTTTGCAGGACGATAGGGAGAGTGCAGATGGCACCCCAAACCTGCGGAAGACTTATGGAGTGGCTGAAGGTCGACTCCTGCCGGATACGACTTTAGTCTGAGTACACCGCTAGGGTTTCGAACCTCGGCTCAGGCCGTCGTAATTTCAATCCGTTTCAGTTGAACTGGGGATCGATCGGAGGGGCCTATACATACCGGTTGACTGCTGATAAGTGGCGTGTTGATGGGTTGTCTGGAATGATGCGACATGTAGAGGTGGGGGCGGCGGCTGGAGGAGCCCGTGGCGCCAGCTCCCCCGCCCCCTGCGCCGCCCGCGGACCCCGCACCTCCTGCCTCGTGCGCCGGCGACAGAGCACCCTCGCTGTCTGATGACGACAGAGATGACGGCGGCGTTGGTGGCAAATTGAAACCTGGGAATTTTATAATAATAATAATAATATTTATTTATTGCCAAAAAAGACACAAACATATATATGCGTTTTGAATAAAAAAAAGAAATGAACTCAGCTCAGCTCAGCTGATGCTGTAAGTGTAACGTTACACGTACGCTGCACAGCGCTACTTTTCAGTCAAATCCTCTCAAAAAAAATTACGATGTAAGCTACTTAATAAAAAGTCCAGGGGTTGTAATATGGAAATATTTTATATAACACATACAATTTAAACATTACATTACAGTTTAAAGTTTAATTTTCTTGAAAGACGATTATTTGAAACTGTTAATAAAAAATCGTTCTAGTACATGGGGAAAAAGTTCGAAATACTCATATTTTGTTTATGTGTGAATGTAAATGACAAAACAATCTCATTTTCACGATAGCTTTACATTTGTTATATATGTATAAGAATATTCTCTTAAGAACCGTCCACGATTCATTCAGTCTTTTTTGAGAACTCATTTGGAGTCTGCCTGTGTGGAACAGAAACAAAAATGAAAAAATAACAAGTTATATGTTGATTCCAACGCCACATTCAGATTTCAGGCAAGAATAATAGTCTGGTGACTTAACTAAGGAAGTATAACTATCTATAAAACAGCCAAATAAATATTTGATACAATGTAATTCTGATAATATTTGAGAAACCAATTGACTTTCTTTCAAGAATTAAACAAGCAAAGATAGATTAATGTGCTGTATCATTTATCAACAACACAATGCAGTGATTTTGAAAACTGTCACGTGCGTGAGAGTGCACTAGTTCGCGACAAGCGGATGTTAGCCAATACCAAACAAAATTCTTCAAAGAATCGGTGGTATGAATCAGCGTAGTACGAAGGCTTATCTGATCTGACAAACTGGAGATTAACTAAACTAACAGTGAAGCACAGTGAACGAAATCAAATAATATTATTATATTAATACCCAAAACTAAACAAAAACTTTATAACTATTTTTAAAAAAATATCTTGTAAAGCTGAAGACGAACCATGAATTTGAACAAATAAATTATTATGAAATGCTTTTTAATATTGTCAAAAATGTTGAAAGTTTAATAAACAAGCCATCACGAAAAATATAGTTTATACATATTTATAGAATACGTCAATTTGTAGTTCGAAGTTTCTACTATCTTTTCACAATGATTATGATATATTACTAATATTATAAACGTGGAAATTTGTGGATACATGAATTGTTACTCTTTCACACTCTTTTAACTACTGACTGTACTGATTGCATTTTTCACGTAGCTGAAACTTTGAGTACAGTTAATATTCTATAAATGAGAATTAGACTTCTATTGTGTTACCTGAGCCACTGGAACTGGAGGTGACTTTAATAGAGAGTTTGTTGGAGCTGAGAGAGTTGGCCAACCGCGGCGCTGCGCTCAATAGCAGCTGTGGCACCCCTGCAGCCCCCACTTTCTGTAGCACCGCTTGTGGCATGTGAATAGTTCCCGTCTGTGGATAATCAACAACATGTATTACAATAGATAATCTATAATATTATAAAGTTGAAAAATTGGTTTGCACTGATTGCAAATATTTTAAGTATAAAAATATTTTATTATAGATGTTTCATCATTATACAAGACGCGTTATATTAAATCCTGGTTGATACGGTGATGAATATTTTTAATACGATGAAAAACTTTTTTTCCATATTCGCAATATAAATAGCCAAAAGTTTCTGTACAGCCAGTTCTTCAGTAACTTTAATTTCCCTAATAACAGCTTAATCATTGTTTGACATTCTAATTTTGAATTACGAGTTTTCTTTTTTACAATTATTTAATTGCATAACTTGTAGTAAATAAATACATTATTTAATTTTATTTTGCTCTATGGCTGTATTTACATTCATAAAGCCGACTCCAATCTAATCATAATCGTTGTCTACCATTATTAGTTTTTAACCTAGTGTTTAAATTGTTTCACTTTTTATTAAACGATGACTACCTATACGAATCCGTTCCATAATATTCTGGTATTAGACACAATTCCGGTTCTATGCAGAAATAACAACCTGATTATAGAATATGAATAGTTTCATGATATTAGTTTTTATCATTTATGAATTCGAATAGGTAAACTTAAAATATGATGCCAGGTGCCAATTACTCATATTTGAATGGCATTGTCCCTTTCTTAACAATTACGCAAGTACTCGTATCTATCAGACAAACGACGTACAATTAATATTAAGAACAGCGATTTTACGCGTTCATGAATTTTCGAAGAAACTACCGACGTCAATGTGGGATTGGTCACACATAGCGCTGTTTTAGAATACGTTTCTTGACAAGAATTTAAAAAAGGAAAAGGTTATTATGCATGTTACGTGTAATAACCGCGAAAATGTAAAAAGTTTCATAATTAAGAGGTTGATGACGATTTACAGTATAAATGATGGCCTTGGTGGTCTAGCGGTTTAGCAGCTTACTTCCGATGGTCAAGGGTTCGATTCCTTGCACAGCACAAACATTTGTATTCATGAGTATGATTATTTGTGTCGGTCCGGATGTTTTCTACTAGCTAACATGGGTCTAGAATGTTTGAGATTGAATTGTTCTGAGGTTATTATTATTATTAACTAAATTGTTCAGTGGAAAATGTGTTGTTTTTATGAATCGTTATGTATCATCACTGACAATTCTGATCTGGTTTTACCAATATTTTTTATTGGAACAGTTCTCTGCTATATTTATTTTTAGGGGTTTGATTTTACAACTAATGTGTAACTGTTGTTTATTAGTATAATAATAGTAGTAGAAATATATTGAATTTAATAAATTTACGATTATAGATGAAATTTTCGTCATACTAGTGTACGATCTACGAACTAACACAACAATAATCTCTAGTCGAATAAACTTAATGTAAGAATCTTTGAATAGTCTTTATTTTCTATCTACTGTTTAATCGAAAAAGATGCAGAAGCTAAGAAGAACGCACAAAACTTTGTGATAAAGAAGTTTTTTTTGACGAATCATCGAATTTAAAGCAACCTTTCATTCTCGATATAAAAAAATCCATGATATATGTATATTATTAAGAAACGTGCATACCTATTTATTAAATGGCAAGAAAATATGTATGAAGATATAAAGAAATGGCAAGGTTGTAAGTATAAAAGCTAAAAAACGGTAGTCAAAATGTCGCGAGCGACCACTGTAATCTTTTGGTTACATAAGTGTTAAGTTCCACGTTGACATTTAACATTAAATTGTTGAAGTTTAATTTTAGTACCAATCAGTTTAATTGAATGGTCCGGTTAATTTAATGATTATGGTAAAGCAACCAAACTACAGTAGGTATAGGTAGTAGTAGTAATAAGTCATAGTATATTGCTCATGCAGTAGATAAACAATTATATATAAATTCATATTAATATATAATAGGTATGAAGAACGATAACAGCAATGGATAATTTCAATTACTGTACAAAAGAGTTAACAACAAAATGAGCGGCGTAACCGATCAAAACAGAATTGTATTTTTGTAATCTCGCAAGAAACGATATTTCTATGAAGGACTTATTAGATCCCCAAAGCAATTTGCTTCGTAAACTGTGTTTTGGTAGGGCTTATGTAGGGTATAATTATGCAGTGAAATTACAGAATAACAGGCATGATTTCTTAGTACTCTGGAACGGTAACGCATGAACGGGTATCACGGGTATCACAAGATAAAGATGCTGTTCAGGTCGTCAGCTTGTTTATGATTCCAAATACATAAAAAATATTCATAATTTTTCAGATTTGTATTAGTGAAATTAATTCAAAACGTAAGGAGATAAGGTAGAAAAATTATTTATTTATTTATGAGTAGTTGCTCACAACACTTACAGTTAATCCAAAGCGTAATATAGCGCGTATAATAACAAATAATATAACTATGTATATAAAAAACAAACAAACTATACTCAATAAACTTATTAATGCTATCATGAAAAAGAAGAAGAAGAAGAATGCTATCATGAAAAATATTGATCTCTGGCGGCCCCGAAACCAAGCTATTGAGCAGCGAGATAGCTTGATTAGTGGTAGCAAACTGGATAGTGCTTGTGCGAACTGTTGGTGCCGATAGTAATCGACACATGCGCAGTCGCAGGTGCCGCTGTGGGGCGTATAATAATAGTAATACCCCTGGACAATTAATACAACGCCATCTAGTTCCAAGGTAAGCAGAGCTAGTGTAATGAACAACGCATATAAATACTTAGGTTTTTTGAAAATAGATACTTAATATACATAGAGAACATCTAAAACGGTTAAACAATCTTACTCATGAATATAAATGTTAGTACTGTGCGAGGAATCGAACCGCGACCAGCGACTTAGGAATATAGGACAGCGACTTAGGGTTGTCGGATTGTCTATAATTAGTTTTTTCTTACCGTGTGGTCGATGACATAGTCGAGGTGTGTAACAGGTGTGCCGGGTGTCGGTGAGGGTGGACAGGAGGAGGCTGGCGACTCGGGTTCTGATTTGGGTTCTCTCTTCACTTCCCGTGGAGGGGAGTCGCTGGACCGCCGCCTGTTACTCCACGCGCTAGCTGGCATTGCGGGGTAGCATTCATCTTCCATATCTGAAGATAAATAAAAGAAACTTTCGTAAATTGCTTTTACAAATACGGTATATTTGACTTAACATAATTATCTGTAACAGAGCTACATGAATAAAGATATTTTTTATTTGATTTAATTACAATGATTTGAATAACGGCCTCGGTTCTAGCGGTACAATATAACTTCCGATGGTCGTGGGTCCGATTTCTAGCATAGTAAAAACATTTTTATTCACGAGAATTATTATATGTATTGGTCTGGGTGTTTTAAATGATATATACAAACATCATATTCATTTAAACCCACCCAGACCAGGTAGTGTTATGGCTACTACATAAGTACAACAGCTTGGAACTAGATAGTGCTATATGTCAGAGCATTTAAAAAAAAGTTTCGATGATGTGGTGTTCAAAGACAAGAAAAGTCTATTTGATAAGAAGTGGTAACCGTTGCCTATTATGAACAGTACCACAGACATCAATTCGTAATATAAAGTCTGTGGTACCACTCTTGAAGAGGAAGGAATTATTCCGTGCTCTGTAATTTCAATACCATATCACATCCGTAAAGCGAAATTTAGCTTACAACAAGCTGCTTGGTGCCAGAAATTATTGAGATGCCATGCAGACTACTTAATACAAAATCAATCAAACGATGCAGTGAATATAATTGACTGCGATAGATACTTCATTGTTATCTCATAAGATCCGTAGATGGCAAATTATGGATGATTTTGTAAACATCAGTGCTTACTAGTGTAATGCATAAATAAACATTCGTATTTATAATATTAGGTTAAATTAGGTAAAAAGGTAAAAAAAATCTGTGACAGCCCTTGTTTCCCCTGGGTAGTCATAACTTTGTAAGTTTTGTATACATTGACATAATAATTAGAATATATCACTCTGGAATAAATTTACATTCAATCAGTGAAAACATTCTCAAATTAATGCTGTGGTTACGAAATTTACTTTCCTGAAAACAAAATCCGCTGTACTTGTCTTTATAATATTAGTATCAATTTCATTCTCAAATCTTATTTTTAGAAATCCGGTCACAGATCACGATATTATGTGCCTCGTTTTATTTATAACTACATTACGAACACGAGTAGGTACTGTTAGGTGATGATTATTCAATTAATAGATCGTTGTTAACTTCCTAATATTGTAATATTGTTCGATGCAATCACGCGCGTCAGTATCGGAGGGAAATGGCGGCGGCGGCGTGCCGTAAACTTAGCGTGCCTAATTAACACATCTTTGTGCTTTTTAACCCACTTTAAAAGAAGAATATTCTCAATTCAACTGTATTTTTTTGTAATATATGTTACGTTATTATTTCATTTAACAGTTAAATATTTTAAATGAAAGGATGCAGCGACATTGAGAAACAAATTAATACAATGGCGATTCAAATGAACATTTTACAATCGATAGAATTTCGTCATATTTCATGCATTAGTTATGTTGGAGTCAGACAAAAGAAACAATGTAAGAATGTTCTAGAACATTCGTAACTTACTCTTGGGAATGTTTACAGTAAATAATTAAATTAAAAATTGTAGGACGAGGGTTTATTCATATCACGGACAGACTAATAAAAAAAGAAATGTAATACTTAATAGTAGTATTCTAGAGCATTGCACGTGTGAATTGAAGTAAAAGTTAATTAAGTACGATTAATTTATAAACAATGTTTTATTACGGGTCCAGCCATTTAAGAGTAATTTAGTCAAAATTGACATTTCTAATACGAATATTAGAAATGATAATTTATAAATACGATACCATATTTAATTTTTACAAATATTTAGTGCAAACATAGTGATTACTTGCTCAGTTTTTAGAACTGTAAATGAAATAATTCAAACATCAATTGTACTTTAAGTAATTTAAAATAAGAACACTCATTTATTTTTTCATTTATTTCTTCTTTTTTTTTGACTTAAGTTTTGATCACTTTTATAGAGTTATAAAAAATAAAATAAGATATCAAATATTTTATTAATTTATGTGTATTTCATATACTAGTAAGTGATTAAAATAAAGAATACTACTTGTATGAAATCTCATAGGCATACTAATTTATATATATAAATAACTCGTAACACAACGCACCTACAATTAGGCAAATTAATTTAATGAATCGAATTTACAAGCGCATTTAAATAATTACATTATTGAATATTAATCGGGAACGCATGATTAACTCGTCAATTGCAGACGATTTCCACAACGAAACATAACGTTACCTCCATGTAAATTTCATTTTACAAAGTATAGGTACTTATTTGAAGTTAATTATTTGATTAGGATTTATTTTGACATAACATTTATTATCCATTTGAGTATTTTAGATACAGATTTGTTTATCTGCAATCTAGCAAATGTAGATCAAATGCATCTCCGAGGATATTCTATAATAATGATATAAAACCTTCTTGGCGATTTCACCATTATGGGTAAGCTGGCCTAACTTTATCCTTCACTGGTACACGACCTGTATATTTATACCGTTAGCATAGGCGGGTGGACATTTGCGTATTGATTTATATATTTGCTTATTTATTCATTATAAAACCAACAATTTACAATTCAATACATAAAATGAAGAGTATATTTACAACAGTTAGAGAAAGATAATAACAGGTTGTCCGAGACTTAACAAAAGAAATAAACAAAACAAGCAGACAAGAACAATGATTAGTATTAGTAGATACAAATCAAATAATATAAATTGTGCAATAAAAAAATAATAGTAACACTTATTTTAAAAATTATGAAGTAGTCGACAATTAAAAAAATGTTACGCTGTACAATGTTAGCACGTCACACACGTGCTCATAAACGATGCAGGGACGCGTATAAATTTACAAGCAAAGTTTCTCAGCTTTTTTGAAACCAATAGTTAAATATTTCGCGTGGTAACTGCATCGTTTGCATGCGGCTGTCAGTATGACCATGACTCCACAGCACTATTGGCAAGGCACTTGACATTTCAAGAGAAGTCGTTGAAATGATGATCGTGCGTTCACCCAATGGCTGCCTTTCACCGAAATAACGAATGAAACCGTAAATTTAATGATTGACTGTTCGAGAAGCGGTAAGTACAATGTAACATTGCTTATTGGAATAATTTTATAAGATTTTTAAGGCCTTATTAGTGTACCATAACTAATCCCAAGGCGAGATCTAATGTGGCAGACAGTAAAACAATGTACCATGTCTTTTCGATCTCTACGCGATCCGGGACACCATCGTCATTCATTTCTGTGAAATACTGATCTGACATCATGTTCATTCTATCATCCTCCTCTAATGCTCCCCTAGGGTTACTGCGAAACGAATTATTACCTAAACTAATACGGCTGGCAATGGCAGAATGTATTTTCTTTATGTAAAATTAAACAAAAATATGAAAATCAAAAATTGTATATAAATAACATAAGGGATAGACTATTCAAAAGTGCTTATATTTTATTTGAATAAAGATTATTTCGATTTGTATGGTTCAATATAAGAAAAAAATACAAAAGCAGATCTGTCGCCAACACTAAACCTCCCTCAGAAATCACTCTGAACATCGATGAAAACGGCATGAAAATAATTTAATAATAATGTTACTAAAATTATCGCATACATACAGACAAGTAACTATTTAATGAATAGTTATATATTTCTAAGAAACAGAAATAAATAGTTATTTTATCATCGAGCAATTAATTGCTCAATCGTCTGATTTCACTTCAGCAAATAAAATAAATGTGAAGCTAAAATATCAATAGAGTATTATGATATGTTATTTCATAATAGAAATGATGTTATTTTTTTTTTCTATAGGCAGGCAAAGGTTCTAATGGCCGGAGAGCCAGTAACTGATTCTGGAGACCAATTTTCTTCCGGTCGACAACTTTTAACAAAAACAAACGCTTAAGATAATGTTTAGTTTAATGCAAAAAAATTATGTTTGTGAAGGTGCTGCACCTCAATCTAGACTCGGAACCGCACCTGACGCCCACTAGGTTTCATAATACAACTATCATAACCCTTTTAAAAGGTTTCGTCCGGTAGGAAATGATTGGCGAATTTAGGCACATTTGGCTGGTTTTTTATTTATAGTTAAGTGCATTGTTTCCATACTATCTAATTGTAGTGGCATTTGTTCTTTAAGAACATGTCAGCCCCATAACAACCAGACGCAAGATTTATAATAAAAGATGTTAACACGTAATTATCGTCATCCTGTACTATGTTTTTTTTTATCAATTTTATATGGAACAAACGTGCTAGCCTATGAAATAGAATCAACAAAAACGGAAAACTATACAAAATAGTTACATGCCGACCTAAGCTCCATTATATTTTATCGACATCTGAGAATTAAGTTATCATGTATCCACTTTTGTGTATATGTAGACTGCATGAATACTCTAATTAATCAAAATTATTTCATTACGTATTTCACTGTTCTAGATCTTTACCTACATAGACGAAAAGATCTATTCTTAACTAAGATCCTTGATACCGTATAATTAAAACCGCTTGAAATTCACGTCTGTTATAGAATTAAAATTTAAAATATTTAACATGTCCATCTTTAGGTATAAACCATAATTTAACTTTACTACTAATTTCTAAATGTCAATCAAAATGAATATAATCACATAAAGGTCACATTTACATGATAGGTACCTAAAGGCACATTTGGTTTACGAAACCGTGGTAGTTTATAGTCAATAATATGCATTAGTTATAAGTATAATGTATCTAATTAATTTATATATCGATAGGTATCTGCAACTAGCGATAAATGTTTGGGATACCGTACGATACCAATTTGTTTCTTACTAGTAATTATGGTGTAACACGTGCTTTTCCGTTGCTTACAATTTGAACGAGTTATGGAACTGAACTGAAACTGTTGTACAACGAACCTAAATTGTATACTAAGTTACACTTTGTTCAAAGTCGTAATTTTTCTTATTTTAATTATTGTTTAATTAATAAAGTTCACTGAGAAGATCCTTTCTATATCAACTATTCGGTGTTTTGTAAGATGAGTTTCGATTGAAGGGTTATAAGTTATCTTAGTCTTTGTAGTGTTGTTTATGTATAAATGCGGTCGGTTACCACATATCATCAGGTATACCATCCCTATATTTGCCATTTCGACTACATAATAAAAAAGAGGATTTTCGGTTTTACTTTTCTCTCGGCCATAAATCGAACAAAATATTAAGTTATGGTTGTATTAATTTATACAGTTACTTAAAAACTAAACTGTTGAAATACATTTTTATAAGGTAATTTAATGTGATACAGTTTGAAATATATGCTGAGATAATGTGATTAGGATTTCCTTTATTTCGGCCAATTGTGGTTAGGAAATCTGACCGCATTACTAAATTTATTTTTGATTAAGTATTTTTCAAAAACTATGGCGATTAGAATATTATTTCAATAACATATTTGTTGATGTATGGTTATGAATGATTAATTGTAAACTGTCCTGGGTAGAATATTTCTCCAAGACTTTTAATATTCACATATAACTTTATAATGATATCACTGTTCTCGTTTCAATACCTTGGATACAGATAAGCTAATTTCCAGGATTAGGGTTGGGGGTGTGGAAGTTACATTTTAAAATTTTTTATCGCATTTAGTTTCATCAAGTAGGGTATTTTAAAGGAAACTTACTTATCAACCCTGATTTTTTTTCTAATGAACGCACTTGCAAACAGTCGCAGTATAGGTTACTTACCTAGATTATTTATTACCTTTTTGGTCGAGATTCCTAAACAGATTGTTGACTCTCCATATATTCTTATCGTATTCGTTGGGCCATTATGATAAAAGATGCAGTCAAATGCCACGGATACTGACGTCACGTGACTTTGACAATGAGTTAGTAAACACTGTAAACACTATAACAGTCACCTTTGACATTACCTACTTACGGTATTAATAATACGATAAACGCAGTAAACATCTAAGTACTTCAATGTTATTATAGCTGCATGCACTATGCACTTGTTCAAATCAGTAGCCCAATAATGTCTATTCACGTTACGACAGTCAGAGAACGGACGAATATTATAAGTGGGAAAGTTTGTATATGATATATCTAAGATAATAAAATATTTTACTAATATTATAAACGCGAAAGTTTGCAAGTACAGATGGATGGATGTTTGTTACTCTTTCACGGATTAACTATTAAATGGATTTTGATGAAAGTTTAAAGTACCTAATATAGCTTATACATTAGAATAACATATGGACTATAAATTTCACGCGGGTAAAATTACGGACACGGCTAGTCTAAGATAATAATAGTAATTTATTTATTTTTATTAATAATAATTTGAAACAAATTATTACCATTTACTTCCACGTTCCCATACAAATATTGTGAAATTTGTTATTATTATTATTATTAAAAAGTCTTATAAAAAAGATTAATAAAATAAATTCCTACCAATAGTGTAATTGGTAACGTACAAAGAAGGTACTTATTTTGTATAAAAAATAAGTATATATATATTTTTAATAAGTATTGAATTATTATAACTATAAAAATATTACACTTGTATATTTTGCCCAGAGTATTAAATTATTGATAAATTATTGATACATAGGAGAAATTAATACATTACAAGTTTAAATAATCTTATATTCCATATTAATTGTATCACGGAAACATTATGGAATTTGTCAGTACCAATATAAATAAGTTCCGGTTTTTGATTTTGACTAAAACGTTGCTTCATCATTGAACCAAATCTGCAACTTTCTCTTATTTGTTCCACTGATATTTATATAATGCAATGACATTTTGAACATGAATGAAATAGATAACTGGAAAATGTATTGGCTGTCACAATTTCGAGTAACAATGATGTCGCAAGCCGCTATGACTCGTTTGACATAATATTTGCTTTTAGTGACGCCATCTTTGTTTTGATAACAATAGTATAAGAACCGGCGCGACTACAGTTTATTTTGTTAGATTCAATGTACGAGGTCTACAAAACTTAGTATACAAAAATAACTCACTCAGTAAGTTATATTTAAAAAAAAATGTAACTCAGAAAAAGTCAGTCTTTTTCATGACGATATATATATTTCAATGCGGAGACTCGCTCTAGCGTGTATTAGATTTGTTTGATAGAATTTTTCTCATGTTTTTAATTACTTCTGACATTTAAACGTACTTATCATGTTAGACTAAGTAATATATTTTCTTTAAAAACTGTCTAGTTCATTTTATATAGTAACGTAGTCTACGTTACTATATAAAATAAAAAATAAAGAAGAAATCGAAAATTTAATTATAATTTTTATTTTCTGTTTGCGACTTGATTTGTTAAATATTCTGTTAGGAAGGGATATATAGATATTGTCATTATCATTGGTCACGGAGTTTTAAAATAATATGAATATGTGATTATTATTATTGCATACAATACTGTAATTAACCTAATTGTAGATAAACGTTTTTTCATCTCACAAAACATTTACAACATGTGTCAATACCAAACATTGTATTCAATTAGTATTAACCAATCGACTGTGAAATCGGCATTGCGTTTATAAGTTGTAAGGGCATATTTTCTATATTATCTACGTTCTATTACCAAAATAGTTGACTACAATCAAGTAAAACAACCTACATACGATACTAAAACCAGGGACAATATCGGTATAGTGAGGTTAATAGTAGTAATAAGTATATTGTTTAATCTGTGGTCTTTATTGTCGTTGTCGTTAACAGGGATAGAAGGACGAAATATGTAAAATGTAAAAAAGGCATTAGATGTGTAACTGTATAATGTAATAGGACACTTGTAATATTTACTATTATAATAAATTGTTTAATGAAGATTGTTAATTTCATTTTATTTATACATGGCACAGCCGGAACGATCGACATGCTATGAAAACACGGCCCCGATTTCGCTAAATTGGATATCTTGGATATAGTATCGTGTGTAGACTGTTTTAGGTAACATCGTAGTATACACGATATATCCAGGGGCCATATCGTAGCAGTGTTCGAGAGTGCCCTGTGTTGCTTCTCGGTACGCCTCATACGTACTAATATGAGAAACGTGATTTGTAATCTCTTCATGCGTTGATATGACAGTCAATGGAATGCAGGGAAATTTCTGCACGTAGGTATACGAATAGCGAATTTTGCGAGAAGCGATAAAACCACGCGCGGCACAATAAAATCCACTTTATTTACACAACATTGGCATCTCGTGTCGACATTTCCATAAGGTTTCATTATAAACATCACATTTTTTTGTTCAAGGTTGATTACAATCGCCTGAAACGATCACATCCGTTCATACTTCGCTGGCAGTAAATAAAAATTTAATACAATCATAAACATAACACTCTATGTTTTAAGATGTATGGCTTAGAAATTATTGAACTGTACTAAGTAAAGATATAGATAATTTTTTGAATTTTGAATATAAATGAAATAGAAACCTAATTTGTTATATTAATAAATTAAAACTTAACTTACTTTCCTAAAGCAATTCCCAAGATATATACGTTTAAAAGGCCGTTTGATTTGATACTAGATTCAGCTTATTAATTATTAGATCAAGCAATTAGTCAGATCTAGAATCCTATCAACAAAAGAACATTTTGTTGAAGGATTTTGATCAAGCGACACAGTTGATTATTGTAGCTATACTAGTTCACAGTAACAAGCAACATGTAATATTTTAGTCCTTAGTCACATTGACATTCCTGGAAACTGCGAATACTTTACCATATCACTACAAAATTACAAGGTACTGAAATAATTCCTAATTACTTAATCATTTGCTCGTGACTCGACTAAATTGCACATAAATACGTTCAACCGTTTAAGCATGATCGATGAACATCTACGCATCTTTACAAACTTTCACATTCATAATTAAGAAGACAATTAAATTGTCTATGATGGTATTTATGTTAGGTACACATTACGGACAATGTGTTTTCCATAAGAGATGACCAATTGTCATGGAATTTGGCATATTACATAAACACAATATTTGGTACGGAATTCAATTGACTTCCGAAATGGAAAGGTTCTCAATTCGACTGTGAATTTCTTTGTCATCATTACCAAATAGATAGTGGTCTTTTTATAACGACTCATAATTTACAAAAGGCTTATTGACTGCATTTAACTGTAGTCATGATAAGAAGTAATTTACTTGATAAACAAAATATACCCAGATAAAACTTATTTAACAATTAAATCTTTAGATGGTCCTTACTCTATCACGATTGAATATCGTAATGGATTTAAATAAAATATGAATGAAATATTCTTTTAAAAGAATTTACGCAAGGTACAAATAGTTCTTGCGACATTATCTACGGAATAAATATTAAAGTTTGTAAAGATATCAATTCATTATTATTTAATCATGAATTCACTAGTATTATTGGGATTGTATTGTTATTTTTTTAATTTTATTTGGAAGAAAAGTCTATACACTTGGATAGTCTATACACATAGAATATCCACCCTACATTACTAATTTCGTTCTGATTTAGGCAAACTATCGCTTAGAACTAGTAGATAGTTAAACATACTGACCATCTACTTTGGTATGGTGTGGTGAAGATGGTGCGGACTCAACGTCTGAATGTAAGCTGTAGGAGTGTTCTGTCTTTATTGGTGCTGCGCCCAGGGCTGCATCTGTCATCAGTCTGTCATGCAACACCACTCCCGACTTGGAGTCTCTGATCAGCCAATCGTTCATTTCTGAGTCTTCGTCGAGAACCTCCTGCATATCCTGAAAAAATGAGAGCAATGTTTGTAAAGGTCGTACAAATAATCTGCACTTTGCGGGTAGTTGGTAGGTAGTTTTATGGACAGTATATTATTGGTAATATTACATATATACATATATATTATACATATATATTATACATATATATATTATGGTATTGAAATTTGATAGAATATATTGATTGATACAGAAAAGAAAGTACTAAACGTAATTTATAAATAAAATTCATATATTAGCCATAAAAATGAAAATAAAAAATAGATGTTACGCGTTAAAATTACAAAGTTGGTAATTTTTCTAGCGTCATAGTTATTTACTTGGTAATGGTTATTTTGATCATAATACATATTACAAAAATATATTAAAACTATTTCCTGGTAATATTTCTCATTTTACATAGTCGGAAAACTACGAATTATAAATCAAATTACAATTACTTTTGTACATTAAACAATCAATTAATAACTACCTATTGTATTTTATTGAATTATCGTAAAGTCCTTATCTTTGAGAGTACAAGGTGAAATATTCTTATAGTTACTTTACAATATTAATAAAGTTCCTATTGAGATGATGATGTAAGGACTATTAAACGGAGAGTTACTGGCGAATCGCGAGGTCAACATAACTGACTATTAATTCGCGCATCTCTAACATTCTTGCTGCGGCCAACGATCGCGTCCCTCACCTTGGCCGCGAGTGTAAATACGCAACTCACTAATATAGGAGGCACAGGCGAATGGAGTGAACGAACGGCCCTGGTTTGCCGAATACGGTCGCCGACCCCTTATTACGCCTTCCGAATACCTTAAAAGCTTCCGAGATAGGGACATATCAATATTTAGCCTTAGGTGGCGACTTAGCTGAACAAAAACCATCGGAAATATTAAACATTCACAAAAAACGGTAGCATAGCATGTGAAAAATAAAATAACGTTTGGTGAAAAATAGGCAAGAAAGAAACGAAAAGAAAATAAGTATAAACTGAGTTAAAAATTAGAATTTTATTAATTTTAATTATCAATTGAATTCTCGAATTCAATTAATTTATTTATATTTCAATTATTTTATCTCGAATTTAATTATGGTGATTAGTTAATTGCTTCTGTCGCATGTAATAATTTGTATTGTTCTACTATAGACACCGTTTTGGGCTGCTGTTGAAACGACTGCGCAACCGACACGCAATTTAGTATGCAGAATGGAGATTTTTATCTTCATCTTAATTAATGTTTCATGACGGTCTCGGTGGTCTAACGGTTCAGTACGCTGCCTTATTTCCGATGGGCACGGATTGGATTCTTGTACGATACAACATTTATAATCAAGAGTATATTGTTTGTATTGGACTGGGTGTTGGCTATACGTAATAATAAAATGTTTTTAATAATTATTGTACCACTGTGTTAATTGTCCTAAGTTATTATTATTATTATAATTGTAAATCAAACAATATATATAAACAAATGTTTTCACGTAGGTACTCAACGTTATTTACGGATGGATGAGTTTCGTTTCGATGAAATACCACCCAAGTGTCCAAGTCAATACGGACAGTCCACTGTACAATTTACATAACTTTTAAGCCATGCCGTGGTCTTATGGTCATTAAAATAGGTAGGTTGGCTACCTAGGTAGGTACGTAAGCCAAAATATTGTGTAGAGGATATTGAACTCTTCTGTTTGTGATGCTGGATTCGAGATATAAATGGGTGTGCTGATCGTGACAGACGTTTTAATTCCGGTTCCAGCGCTTGTTTCTCTGTGGCGGAACAATGAGTGATATTGTCATTCATTTGTCATTGCATAAATAACAGTGGCAAAAGTCACGCACGTACTATGTATGTACAAGAGCCGGGTAATTATAGCGTGGCGTATCTAACAGTCGTGTATAATCAGTTTTTAGTATTTTTCATAATTTTCTAGTATTCTCCGTCATCACACGGATTAGCGATATTCATTGAATTATATATTTCATATTACCACCCATATCATTGATGTTAAATGATGATATTTCGGTTGTAGAATAAAATGGTTGCGGAAGACTGCTAGCGCATTCCCCTAGCCCTGGCTAAAGACGAAGAGAAGACACACCGAGTCCGGCATTTCGCGTTTACCTCACACCCGGGGCGAGAATTTCTAGAATGATTTTTACCACTTCCAAAAAAAAACGGTGAAATTAGGCTGTGAAATTACGGGATAAAAGGTCTGATAAAAGAAGTCAGGGGTCACATGATAACGTGATGTTCATGTATGTTGGCGACGGCTACTTATTTACTAATACATAATGTTGAAAATTATTTCCAAATTTATATAGTGGAGTCAAACTCGGCATCACATTATGCGAAATAACCTCAACACCAATGCGCTACAGAGGCAGCTATTCTAAATGCCATAAGTCTGTTTTCCTTTACAATCTGTCTGAATGCGTGCTGACCTTTTGCTATGAATGAATGATAAAAATATACGATCTATTCGTAGATATCTCACGTCACGTGTTCGTATTAGAAATAATTTGATATTGATGTGTTCGGATAAGAAATAATATTTTATAGCAGTGGTTTATTCTTAAGAATAAAATGAAGACTATCAATTATTTTTAATGATCCAAGCGTGTAGCAGTGGATTTCATAATAAAAATAATAATACAATCTTGTAAATATGTAACTATAATATGTTAATATTATTGCATATGTATTACAAAATTACTACTCCTAGTTAGTGCATTATATGTAAAGAATTGGAAAAGTCACAGTCACGTAATAATGTAAAGTAATAATAAAGAAAGTCGTCCATAATACTACTACTAACAATTACAACTACATCATATTGTGTTTTTGAAGTTTAGACTACAGCATGGGTTTTTCCAGAACGAAATAATTCCGGCAACGTGCACGTGACACCCCGATGTTTCATGCGTCCATAGGCTATGGTAACCGTTTACCATCAAATTAGCCTTATATTTAACCACTACTATGGTGTAACAAAAATGTGATCAATGTATATGTATGTATGTATGTATCAATGATAGTTTAAAAGCTACCACGGACTTCCTTACTTTTTAAAAACTTTGGGTATAAGGAATGCTATAATTTTTCTGGTATATTATTCTGTATATAAACAATATTAATACGTTTCGGATATGTACGTGAGTCCCTATCATCATGACGGCCTCGGGGTTTAGGACAGCGCTTTACATGCGAAAGTCGCGGGTTCTATTTCACGCACGGTTCAAACATTTGTATTTTTGAGTATAACTGTCTGTATTGGTCTGGATCTTTCCTATGTATACTATGTATGTATTTAGAAAAAGAAGATGTATTTGAATATGAATAAATCAGGCCTCTAGTATATATAATAAGCTCAAGACAAGCTCTGCTTTGCTTGGGACAAGATGGTGCAGTGTGAGTTGTCCAGGTAAGTTATGATGTTGTGTTATGTTATTAAAAAATATTCTTATTCTACAGATGTTAAATCTAAAAATTAATAAATAACGTTGACGCTGTGAGAGAATCAGCTTCTTTAAATACAGACATTCTGCTTGGACACTGTAAAGAACTTTGCCGTGAAGATAAGCCTGACACTTATAAGGCATAAAGTAAAGCGAGTGATAAATATCGAGTTTCGGTTGTTACACACGCGACGATGGCATTTGCATAGTGATGCAATTCTAAAACTGGTTCACGTACCAATATGTTAAAAATATTGCATAATAACAATATGTACATGTAGTATAGCACGTCAGAAAATCGGTCATGACGTGACAACTAACCACTTTGTTTCAATTTTGGACTTTAATAGATTTGAATTTGGTTCTATTTTTTTTTTACATTGCAACATCAAATATATAGTAATAATATATCATTGTACTAGTGAAACGATAATCTAGATTATCGTTTCACAATCAATGTTGTATACCACTAAGAGTTAATAAAGATATGCTGCAACTCTCTAATTTTTACAGCTCTTATTTCAGTCGCCAAGCAACTTCCTTTGTAAGTTATTTCGGTTGAATGGCAGTGAAATCACAAAGCATGGACATGAAAGGAGGATAGCGCATGGTAATAAGGGCATTACATGATAAAGTGATGCCCTGGTACTGTTCACTTATATAAGCGATGGGTAGTGAGTTGTTCGGTAACATGTCATTTCAGTTACAAAAACGCTCGTACAAATACGACCTCTAGCAAAGTTGTACACCGGCTAATTGACACAATAACCGTTTCGTCCTTTATTCATCATCACGACTTGGATGTTGCAGAATCGTTTTTATACTAAAATTACAATTGGAAAAATAATCTCGTCACTATGACTACACTTTAAAACATAAATATACGAGTATATTACAGACAATGATAGAGTTGAATTTTGAATATCTCCGTTTTGGAAACAAGGTTTAATCTTGCATATCATGCCTGCAATGTTTTCTCGATAATGATAATTATAGTCACGTTTTATATATGGATATCGATTGACAGACAAGTGTGTCCCTATCTGGATCGAAATAATAGCTGATACGAGAACGGTACCGAGTCAACCGGATGTGAACCCACTATCGGTCGGTGAAAGTTGATCTTACAAAAAATGCTCCCATTCCTTACGCCGGTTGATATTTCATGAGACGTTCACTTAAGAGTGCGCGCGACTGCTAAGATACTTCAGTGTAATATTCTATTTTCAATTGCTTTTAAATATAGCATCAGTTAAATGGAGTTTGAAACAGGTCTAAGCGTATGGAAGAGGATATAAATACATATTGCCTTGATAGAACAGTACATAAAATTATTTTCGTTATTAGTTATCAATAAACTAAAAACACGAAACGTCGATACCAAGGGACCGTAATCCTGGGATAAATATATATTGTTTATTAGATAGGAAATGTCATTGATATATCTAAATGATTAAAAAATTTTATATACGATAAGAAACCAGACTAAGGTAACTAATCTAATTAATTTCCTGGAGTACCGTTTTCTCAGGATCCGACTGATAAATATAAT